ATAAAAAAAGGAAAATCTAAAATATGAAATGACTGAAACTGGGTAAACTACTATAGAGTGGATGTGTATATGATGGGTTTTTCTCTTTTTTCTTGGTTCAAAATTTTGATGAGGTTATTTTTCAAAATCAGAACTCGATCCAATAGTATTGGGATGGATTGGGTTAATCCGATTTACAAAAAAAATATACTTTTAATTTTTTTGTAAGACATTTTTAATTAAATTGCACAGATCAGAGGATAGTTAAAGTTAGATGAGTTTCTTGATTTCTTTAAAAATATTATAATAAGTTTATCCTAATTTAATATCATTGAACCTAATTCTACCCTCAACATGTATTTTATTTAGTTTTAATTTAGGTTTTTATCAATTTCATTTATTAAGGGAAAATGGGAAAAACGTAATAAATGTTTCATAAAAATTATAATGTGTTTTATGAAAGTACCATTGAAAAGTTTCTACAATGTCTTATTAAAAGAACTAAAGGAAATATCATCTTAACATTATCTATTTCTAAATCATAGAACTAATAAAGTACAGAATTTAAGGAAATATCATCTTAACATTATCTATTTCTAAATCATAGAAATAATAAAGTACAGAATTAAAGTTAAGGTATATTTTGTAGCATGTATTTTAAAGAGAATAATATGATATCATAATATGCAAAATATTATTTATCAAGTTTTAAAAAGAAAACGAACCGAGTCAAGTTGGAACAACTCAAATTATATAGCACGAAGTTGTCTTCAAAATATACTGGATATAATTATGAAGACTTGAACCCATCAAAATGAACATCGAATCAAGACGGATTGGTGGGACATAGTGAGTTTTATTCACCATTAACAAAGAAAGGGAGGAGATAAGAAGGGCAACGAACTCATTCCTGTATTGGATAAGAGAATTGCTTGTTGATGGTATAGTTTTGCCTTATGACGTAGCAGTACCTGTTTTAGCTACAAAAATAGCCGCTCGGTTCATTGAATAAGATTGCATACATACATATATTATTGTAATACATTTCTTTTCATACATATTATAAAAAGAACATTATTATTACCTAATCCAAAATTATTGTTCATGTGAAATTGTGAATAAATATAAGACTTTTCTTTAATGTTGTTATGTCCTAACTTTCTTTAATCATTAGCTGACTACAGAGATGAATATGTAACTCCACTAAACCAGAGCGCATAATATACTAGAGCTATGCCACTATTACATATGCTCAATTTCAATTTCTTCCTCTGAAATGCTGGGTTTGTTGGTTTTGGTTGACTTTTGCATCCCACAAACTGTGTTTTTGGTGGGGTCCACAAGGGAAACCATGTCATCTCCAACTTTGTTATGTCAAGGATGGCCATTTTTATTCCAAAATTTCAATTTTATACTGTAATAGTAAAGCTTGATATTTACGTAACGATTATGGTCCTCACTAAGTGCCCATTATTTTAACTAAAATAAGAGATATTTCAAGTTTTATTTAATCCATCGTTCACGGATCCCCAAATTTAAACTAACAGTCAATTTTGGATGATAGTGTTTATGAGTTGGTGATCCGAGAAGTCTTAGAATTTTTAGGAAAAAGCATAACCGAGAGCACCTTCCAAGAATTTACATTTTTTCTTTATACCTAATGCGATTTGTTGGGTAATTTGCTTTCATGTTTTCCTCAAAGAAAAATATGTTCCAGCATGCTGATTAATTGTCTGCTTCTGCTTGGTCTCGAGTATTTGTAATCATCTCTCATGAGCCAAGTCCAACATAATTTGTAGTATACAGCTATGCAATACCTTAGGCTAGTTTTGAATGCTAATCATTTCACTAATTTTTAGAGCATCTGAAATTCAATGATAATTTTTTTATTGGATCTGATCCTATTGCTTGTATCAGCATCTTCATTTATTTTTCCATTTTAAGTTAATGAGTTAGAATTTCTAAAGTGGTTTGTGTATTTTTGTTTCATAAAATAAGTTTACGTAATTTTATCACTTAGGTTTCTAAGATTACCTTATATTTGATAATTGTTTGTTTGTTTTAAAGATAGGAATGTATAGGAATGTTTATCACATAGACATTAATTTGCTCTCAAAAAAGTTTTGACAGGTTTAATATTTCAAAGTGTTTGTTTAGTGTATAAAATTAGCTATAAAATTAAAATTGACCTTAAAATTATAATTATAACGTTTATAAAATTTTTAAAACTAAAATTATAAATCTAACATGTAATTTTATAAAATTTTAATATAACTAATATTTTTTTTTATCACTATACTTTTATCATCATTGTACTATCATCAATTATTATTATTATTATTATCGTTATAAATGCTGTTTCATCTCATTATTATTTTTATTATAACTTATTATAATTAATTATTTTTATAATTATTAAATTTTCTATTATTTTTATCGTTAATTATTATTACTACTAACAATTATAATTTATGATTTAATTTTTTTAAAATTTAACATAATTTTATAATATTCTAAAATAATTAGAGATATTAAAATAAAATTTAACTTAAAATTAAAAATTTATGCTATAATTTTTTATATAATTAATATAAAAATAATAATTTTAAGCTATCTTTAATAAAGTTTTGTTAACTTCAGTCTTTAAAATTGAGTTTAAGTATCTATAAATAAAATTTTTTTATAAAAAAATATATAATTATTGTATTAAAGTTATAAAAATATAATAAATATTTTTTTAATAAAATTTTACTATTATTAACGATTTATTATTTTTGGTTCTAAGAGTTGAAGTTAATAAATTATTTTTTAGTATTTACATAATTAAAATTAGAATTACAATTCTCATACCACAATTCTAATGCCAAACAAAAGGTGACGAGGTATTGAGTTGTGTTTATATAAACTTGATCCTTCTCGAAAGAGAAAAATGAAAATTACAATCTTCTGAAGTGAAGTGCTGTTGCAGAACTCATACGATAGGGACAAGGAGGAGAGTCCAAAAACGTTAAAACATCCCATGTTATTCAAGAAAAGGTACAAAGGAATAAACTAACTTGGTAACTGCTGTCAGAAGCAAACCCTTTAACTTGAACTTGGATGCAACATCAGAGTGTAACGAAGAACGAAACTCTCCCTCAGCTAATATAAACTTTGGTTTATGATCTGTGAATGTTAAACCAATCTCAAATAAAATAATATATAAATTCAACTATCCTCGTACAGCAATGAGATAAGGAAAATCTTTATGTTTGCGATGATTCTCTTGTCTCCTTAATTTTGTTCTGTCTTAGGACAACAAAGCTCCCAACATTATTTAAAAAATAATAATGAAAAAAGATGTTTTCCTATCCTTATCCCCATCTCACACACAAAAAAAGTTATATATATATAAGACCGAAGGTCAGTATTTACATACAGATCAAATTGAAATAAATCCCAATTAAGCTAAATTTATGTTATTTTATAACTAATGACCAATTAATTGCTCTAAAACAAGCTTAAACATATAATAACATTGTTCCTATATGAAAATTAACTACCCTAATCATAAGATAAACGATAACTACACTTAATTAAGTCCTACCTAACTAAAAATTAAAACCTAGATTTCTCACAATTATTTGCTTTATTATTTTTAGCAAGATACTATGTATATGGTCAACGCATAAAATAGGAGAAGAAAGTGTTATTTAAAAAAAATAATAACGGGTGTTGATACATAAAAATAACATATCAAATAAATGAGGTAAATATATTTTTCAAATTAAGCAATATTTAAGTATAATTACCACTAATCTTTGAAGAGATTAGTATAGTTATCCTTCGAGATATTTGAACAAGAGTTGTGTTAGTAAAATATTATTTAAAATATTTTATCATAGTTTTATTTTTAGATTAACTGTCTGCAATTCTTACTAAATAATCTAACAAAATTCACTCATTGATTTTTAAAAAATAGCATATAATCCATTTAGTAATAAAAAGTTTATTAAAAATGTGTCATTAATGCTACTTTGTTCTTGTTTATATATTTAAAGAAAATAAATTATAGAAATAAATCAGATATTTTTTTCCTTTTAAATAGATAAATAAAAATAAGATTTTTACTAAACAATAATTAAGAAAGTTACCATACATCATCAATTACATGTAAAAAAATACATCGTCAGTTGCAGACAAAATTAATTGCATATTAAAATATTAATTCATTAATACTCTATTACTCTCTCTCATACTTGATAATGCCAGAAGTAAATTTTAAAAATTAATATTTTATTTTATTTTTTAAATGACCACCGAAACATAATGGTTATGAATCCACTAGATAAAAAAAAAAAAAAAGATGAATGCTATATATACAGACAGTGAGATCTATTTACGTCAACCCTTAAACTTTTAATGATATTTTATAACATATAAAATTATCAATTTAAATATTAATTTGAAGATTTTAATAAATTAATTAATTTTATAAAAATTCACGTAAAAAATTAATAATTACTCCATCATATATCAAATTTTAAATAACAGAATGTTTACATCATATAAAATTTAACATGCATAATTAAAAAAATAATTTAATAATGAAATTAATTAATTATATATTGTATATAAAGTTATTAATAAATATAAGTGTCAATTTTAACATTAAAATCAACATATTCTAATTTTTATATATAATATTTAATATTTATGTATGATATTCTACAGCACTAATTTTATTCAACTTGAACGGAATTGTCCAAATAAAAAAGTATATCTGATTCAGAAGAAAAAAAATATTTATATTAAATGTTTCATAAAAAAGAACATATAAACAATATCCACCTAAACAAGGCCAAACTGATGGTTAATCAAATAGTATTTGATTGTTATTTGCTTCTATTTAATTTTTTACTATTAAAGAAAAATTGTTTGATTGTTAATTGTTAATTGTTAATTGTTAATTGTTAATTAGGGATTGATTCAGTTAAAACTCCTGATGGCTAATCTTCTACCTCTAACTGCCAGTACTAGGGTGCGCACATTTAACTTCTAAGCACTTTCTTTCTCTATTCTGAGGCAAAATTTTTCAATCTGAAGAAGAAAGAAGAAGAAGAAGATGGCTAGGTCTGCAAAAGGGCATCAAGATGAATTCGAGGACGACGAAGATGAAGAACTCTTAACTGCAAACACTTCTTCCTCTCTCAACAAGGGTCTCTCTCTCTCTCTGGATTGGTTGTGCAACACCCAACCGTGTTTTTCGCTTGATTGATTGATGGGTGTCTCAAATTTCTTCTCTTTTTGTCACTTCAATTGCATTCTGCGATTCATTTTCATTTTGAAATATGATTATTACGTTGTGACTTGGCAGTCAAGGTGGATGAACCCAGCAGCGGGAAGAGAGTGAACCCACATCGTTCAAAGCATTCAGAGACTGAACAGCGTAGAAGGAGCAAGATTAACGAAAGGCAAGTTTTTTTTTTATTATTATTATTTTAAGAAGAAAAAAAAACACAATTTTTTTGTTGAGGTGTTTGTGTGTATAGATTTTGAGTGAAAGCTTGCTAAAATTCTTATATTAGTGTTTATTGTTTGATAATATTTGGTTGCTTGAAAAGAATACTTATATTTGTGAGGCAGATTTCAAGTTCTGAGAGATCTCATACCTCAAAATGATCAAAAAAGAGATAAGGCCTCCTTCTTGTTGGAGGTACTTCACTCAATCATTTATTTCTTGTATACATCTTAAGACTAATTATGCTCTTGTAACTAAATTATGAATTTTCCTTCATTTAATATGCAGGTTATTGAGTATATTCAGTTCCTACAGGAAAAAATACAAATTTATGAACAGTCTTATGAAGGATGGAATCAGGAGCCAACGAAATTAATTCCATGGGTAAAATTATTTGGAATGGTGTAATGTGTGCATTTTTCTGAGTGTCTGAGTTCACTTTGGACCTTGATTTGTGAAATGTTGTGCACATGCATGACAAGGCAAGTCTGCATTACAGCATCTTTCTTGATTGATGCCACCTCATTTCTAAAATTGGATCTTTACGAGGCAATCTAATTTTACCTACACAGTTGCAGAACATTGTGAAACTAATGATTGTCCAATTGTATGAGCCATGAGGATTTGTTTTATATATACTGCAAAAGAAACACAGCAATCACGAATAATATTTCATCTACTTACGATGCCAACTGCATGACATTTCTCATACTACAATTTGAGTTCCTTCATGCTTAGGATTTCACCGTTTTATGTTGTTCTTTGCTTTCATATGTCTGCATGTAGGTTTTTTTCCCCTTCAATTACAGTATCCTTTTTCTCCCGGAGCCAGTAGCCCAGTATACATATTTGAATGAGTTCAGGGATGGAATTATGACAATTTCAATGTATATTTGTCACAGTAGTTGGTTGTAACTTTTAGTGCCTTGAAATAGTAACAATGGCTCTTTATCTAAATTTTATGCTTCTCAACTTTTTTTTCAGAGAAATCATCATGGGCCTGCAGAAAATACTACAGATCCTTCTCAAGCCATACAAAATGGATCCGTAAATGAGAAAAATAATGATGTCTGTTCATCATTGCCCAAAAATATACAGAACGCAATAGAGTCTGACTTCTCAGCAACAACTATTCAGAAAAGCCATACCCCTGGTTCGGCTACAGAAGCAGTTCCCCTGACCATGCAAATGCGATTGGACATGTTTGACCCAGTTGTTAGCAGTGGTATGGCCACCCAACATCTGCAGGAACCTGTATCTAATATTGACATGCCTTCCCATACCCAGCCTCAAGTGTGGCTAAATAAACCAAACAAGGGCAACTATATTCTTCCACATAATAATACATTGAAGGAAGAAGAGGAGCTTGCAATTGAAAATGGATCAGATAGCATCTCAAGTGCCTATTCTCAGGGGTGAGTTTCTTTGATAAGTTCGTAGTTGCTTTTCTTCACCAACTTTGTGTTAACTATTTGCTTGAAGCTACAACTGTGAACGGTTTGTGTGTGTGTACAGACACTCTGTGTGACCATCCCCCCTGCCCCCTCAACAATCCCTTTTAAATAAAATGAAAAGGAAAGTAGCTCTCACACTTCATTGTCTGTCTCTTATTTCAACCAATTTTCTCTCTTAAATTGTCTTCCTCTCAAATTTATTCTTTCTCACACTGGGACCATGATCAATATCTGGAACTTGCCAATCTGCTAATCATTGGAATAAAAGAAGGGGCACTGACAAGGATGGATCCAGAAAATATTTGAGGGGCGAAAAGTGAATAAACTTTAGCACACATAGTAAATTATAAAATAATAGATCTTTTATAAATAAATAAAAAAATAGTCTTACATATATATTTTAAATAAAAGGACGGAGGGGATGGGGCACATGCTTACCTCCACCTGAATCTGCCCTTGGTGGTGCAATCCCTGAGTCCACTTTCTAACAATCCCTTGATTCGAAACAAGCTGTGGTTTTTCAATTTGTTTCTTTTCTCTTTGAGAATCTAAGATTCTGGAAAAAAAAAAGGTGGTGTGTTTTTTTCTTTTAGATGTCTTAAAGTTATTCATTTTGTTTTTTTTTCAGTTAACTAGAGGAAATTTTTTACTAGGGAGTGAAAGTGGGAGAGTGCAGGGCAGAGAGGGAGTGTGATACCAAATTTAAAAGAGAGTTTGATAATGAGAAGAATGGGATTCATTCAAACAAATCTTGAACCATATATTTATATATGGTTTAGGGCTCAAAATAAGCTATAACATTCTCAAATTGATCCCCTTACCTGTCCTGCTCTCCATGGCATGGAATTATGCACTCTAAACCAATTAGGATTTTTGGTTTGTTTTTTAGTTCCGATTTCATTGTTTAAGATTGCACTTGTCAATTTGATAATCTTGTCAAACTCCTGTGAAAAGAAAGCCTGGAAAAAAATATCTGAATGGTATTAACAACAGGAGTGTCTCTGTGAAGTTGTATGTCATATGTATTCTTGATTTAATAACTATTTTACTGAAATCTGATAGCTGATTCCTTCTAGCTTAAATATGTAGTTTAGCATTCCACTTCAAATCATTAGGCAATTAAGGAAGATACCAAGTGGACTGGTTTAATGCTTTGATAGTTTGAGATGAATTCTGTGCATCTTTTTCTCCACTTGAGCCTTGTCAAATACTCTGCAATTTTAGAAGACATTTTTACTGATCCAAGTTTTATGACCAGTACAACATAAGTTAGTAGAGACACTGCTGACTAGAATTGGGCATGAGAATCCATCATCAAAGAAAAGGAAATTTGATGTAAGAAATTTTCAAGGGTTCCATAATCTTCTTATTGCAGTCAGCATCATTTCTTCTAGGGAAATTAATTCTTTAGCATAGTCCATCACCTCAAGGATAATTGAAGTGGGTATCATTTATGCCATTGCTGACTGGTTTTCTGTGCGTGTAACAGAATATTAGATAATCTCACACAAGCACTGCAGTCTTCGGGTGTAGATATGTCCCAGACTAGTGTCTCAGTGCAATTTGATGTTGGTAGACGAACCAATACTGAGTTGACCCCCACTGCATATGGTGCAAAGGTTTTCTCTATACTCTCTTTTCTTCATCTTTTGGCCCACAAAGTTAATCAAACTAAAACTATTTTTGGAGGATTTTTTGCAACATTATTATTTCCCTTTTGACCGCATATTATAGATGCCATTATGTATTATTCATTCAAAAGAAAAAGGCAAGAATAATTTGCTGCCAATGTATATCTTCAAATCTTTATATTTGAGCTAGCCAATTTAGAACTAGTAAACCATGCACTGTTGTTAACAGTTCTAAGTTTTACATCATAATCTTTCATTTCCCATCAAATATAATACCAAATATTATTTGTTCAGGATCATGAAAACCATTTTGTGAACAATCGAGCAATAGCAGGTTCCGGAGTTGATTACTGCAATGAGGATTCTGAACAATGTCCTAAAAGGCTTAGACAAGAAGCAAGCTAGCTATACCCCTCATGCCTCATGTTCATTTTGTCCCGGTTCATTATTATTGTTAATTATTATTATTTTGGTCTTAACATGAGATTAAAATTGGGATTGGGGTGGGACACTTCATTTTTGCCATGCTGGTTAGATCCAGATAAAATGTATATTTCATGATTCTGGTTTTGGAACTAGGACATTATTAAATAAAATGTCATATTATATGCTTGTGCGTCTACTTGAGTTTTCCATTTCAATGCCTTAGAGTGTGCTCGATATTTTAATGGCATATATTAATGTTTTGATATTTTTTTAATGGATAATTTTTGGCAACAATGCTGGTTATTGGCGGTTATGTTCACCAGGTATTCTGGATGATGGATGAGTTTACACGTGAGAATTACAGTATGCTGTATAACTTACCATGTCACATCAAATTTTTGTTGACAAATTACACGCAAATACAGTATTTTTTGAAAGGTTTAAAATTGTATTACTTGACATAATAATTTGTAACCAGAATTTGTCTCCTCAAAAAGGTTTTCTAGTAATAAGCAATTAAATTGATAAACGATATTAGTATTTTACCAAGCGTTCTAACGTCAAAACCATTTTGTGAGTCACTTAATATTGGATAATATTAGAGTTTAATAGCAGCAAATATGAAATGCAAGCGCCCAGTTACAAAATTATAGAATATCCATGTTCATGATGAAACAGTAGAAATAACCTGCATTCCTAGTGCCCATGTATAGGCAGGGGGAAAAAAAATGAATAAATCCCCACTTTAATTCTTATTACAAGCATTATTCCCTTAGTCCTCGCATACATACCCGACAGAAAAGAAGTAAACCATCACTTTGATTCACATGATTATAAACCTTGTTACATTAATTTCTAACTTTAGCCTCTGACTTCATACATTATTATAAAAATTCATCCACTAACCTTTAATACCAAGGAAAAACCGTAATAGACAATAACCAAAGTGAATCAAATTTTGAAATGTTTTGCATCACAAGGTACCAATATTCTGTAAAAGGACTAAAGTAAACAATGCTTATAATCTCAAGAATTAAGGTAGTGGTTCATTTGAAATAAAAGTGAAAAACTATAACATGATAGTGTCATATCTTAGTTCTTCTCAGTCAATAAATAAAATGGGTGATTTACTTTTCTCATCAGGTACAAAAATGGAGTTAAATAAATAGTCTAAGAATGTGCACCTTCGACAACCAGGGAATTTTCCTAGCAAAGAATCCAAACTGAACCTAATATTAACTAGGAAGATCGTCCAAGGTTACATCAAAACTGATATGAGGTCAACAATTAACCTATATATTTCAAAACTTGAGCCAAAAATCAAAATAAAAACACTAGTGTCATACAGATGATTCTCTACTATGAATGAAATTCCTGACTCAGTTACAAAGCCACATTTAAATGGCTTTTCTGCTTCCCTCACCCAAAAATGAATTCAGTAAGCAACAGTTGGAAGCAACAACGATTATGTACATGGATCTGAAGATTCGAGAATGTGAATCAATTATCAATTGTAAGATGGACCATCAACACATTATCTTGATGTCATCTTTCCCCACCATCCTCTTCCTGATCCTCAAATTGATTTTCTTCTTTAGTGTTTATTTCTCCATCACTTTCATGATTTTCACCGCTTTGTCCAATAAATAACTCAGATACAGAATCATCATCATCTAAATCTTCTTCATTTTCCTTGTCTTTTGATTGAGAGATTGGACCAGTGTTCATCCATGCAGGACACCGTTGAACAACACTAAGAGATGTCCATAATTGGGATGTTACAGGACTAGAAGAATTCTTTGATGCTTCAAAGAATTCATGCTGCAAGCAAGAACATTCAGGAACTGGATGAGAGAGAAAGGATAGTGGTTTAGATTTATTCGATGCTTCTATAATTCCATCAAGTAATGTTTTCCTCAAATGCCTACGAACTGACTTCAGCCAAGTATGATTTGCTTGATACATATGGTCACGAATCTCATCTACAAGTTTAGCAGCTTCCTTTCTGCATCAGCGTAAGTATGATTGCAAAGTATTAAAATTGTAAATCTTCTTCAAGTTTATAAGCATTACTTATGCTTTTGTTTCATAATTATTTATGAACTTACAAACTTTCCTAATCATTTTTCTCTGAATCATTTCTTTAGATTCTCTTCCACTTACAAAGTTTATATAAGATATAAAAGAGATTTGAAACTTTCAAGAACTTGATATCTAACTTGACTGATTAAGATAACATTCTGTATGATGTTTCAAAGTTATTTCCATTGCAAAAATTGCACTAAATACATTGAAGTAGAGGAATTTACCTGTCAGGTCTAAATGTCTTTAATGCAGCCGACTGATACAGCCTGTGCCCAATCACCAAGCTAGCAAAATTTGGATGCCCCTTCCCATCATGGTCAAATCCAGGGATGAATACATCAGCTTCAACACAAATCGCATAGTCAATAGCTTCCCATAGTAATTTATGGGCATTGGTCCTCAGTTCCATAACTGTACTATCAGGCTCATTATCACTCTCAGCTACCCAACCCCACCAACCCTCTATGTTATATGATTTGGGCCTTGCTGGAGGTGGAGGAAGTGGGCGAGGGCGTGGACCCGCATTCTTCCAAGCAGCACGCTTTGTAACTTCTTCAGCAAGAGGAGGTGGTTCAGGGGTATTAACAAGATTACCCTCTTGTCCATAAAGCCTAATCAGCTCCCAAGGAGTGCTAAGAGAAGTTCTATCAACAACATTTTCAAACATAGCATGAAGAGGGATCAATGTTCTTTGACCCCCAAAGACTTCTCCCCCAGATACATATATAATGGCATCCCTTGAGAATCCATAGGCACGCAGAAGAATACCAATCTGCAAGAGATCAGAATGATGGATCATATAATAAACCTGGTTGGTTCTCTCACACTCTTTTTTAACATATGCCCTTGAATTTAAATATACAAAGTTTGGAGAGTATCCAGCCAATTCACTGACAATGAACAATTTGGGTAGCCTAGAATTTAAAACACATTCCTCTTACCTCCTCAGGCATTAAAGGACAGGAGCCTTTTAGTCTTGCTTCAGCTGAGTTGATTGAAAGCTTCCCCTTGACAATTCCACGTTTTTTCATCCAAGATCGTTTGTGTTGGATAAGTTCAGTATGTACATCCTAGCAAAATATTTAAGGCCATCTTAGCTTAAATATGAAAAGCTTAGGAAGTTTAAGATACAGTTGTCAATGATTATATACCTGGAACAGTTCTGAACAACCATGATATGCTAAAGATTCTCTAGTCATGCCAGGGTCGAAGGCAATGAATGGACGACCAGAAGCTCGTAACCTACAATAATATCATGAACTATACATAAACCAAAAGAAGGGGAAAAGAGTATGAAAGATAAGAAAAAATTAAAAGAGAGGTGACGATGAAATTCCTCTTGCCTCTGCAAAATCTTGGCAGAAAGTTCCTGGACTTCCTGTCGGAACTGAAGAGCATGAAAAGAGACTCTACATCTCAGCCTTTGATATTCTTCAAAATATGGAGGAAGAATGGCCTAAGATAGGAGAAAAAGGGAAGGGAAGCAAAGAGAAAATCATTTAGAAGTACATTAACAAAGGCACAACTTGAATCATCATAAACAACTTGCATGGTGTACAACAAAAGGAGAAATAGTATGAAGGAAAAGAGAAGACATGTTGCCGAAGAACTAGATACAGAAGATAGAAAGTTTGAGGAAGCAAGCAGTGCCAAGCACCAGCAAACATATAAGTAGTTGTCCCCAAATAAACTTATCATAGGCAACCCCCCACCCCCAACCAATTCAGAAATAAAGAATATAAATCCCTAAAATAAAAAGTAATAAAATAAAGTTCCTCTCATTATGATCCACATCTAAATTGTTCTTCATCCCATCATAGGATGCCCAACATGAAAAGACTGACTGTTTGAATTAGATTTCAAATACGTTTGGTCAAAATTTAATCTCAGGATCATTTGCAAAGTAAACAAAATGGTCAACCACATAGCAAATTTGCAACCAATTTTAGCATCTAAATCATGTCAATGCAAAAGAAAGGGAGCATAATAATCCATTGAATCTTGGCTTAGTCAACTCCATCCAAACAAAATAAACAAGTCCAGACAAATAAATCTTGGAACTTGAACTCTGGAAGGAAAAATTGGATAAAAACAGATTATGTATCTAATAGGTTATGCATATGCTGTCTTTACCTGCAAGCATCCACCATCCGAAATAACTAGTTCAACCACCGAATGCTTCTTTAATACAGGGAGAACATGATGCAAGTAATAAAAAGGTGATGCTGAATATGGCACTCTAAACACAGGAATCTCCTTCTTTCTCCTTGCACCTTTTAGATCTTTTGGAAGAGTTCTCACAATTGTGACATCTTTTGCTAAAGAGAGGACAAAATGGTCCTCATTATATAGGTATGCAAAACTCTTGAACTGAGAGCTGGATAAAAATAATTATAGATAGAAATAATGAAATAGTTTAAATACATAATTTAGATCACATTAGACACGAGTTAAAAATAAAGCTTCTGTAATTCCTGGAGGAACACTAACCTTATTCCCTTGCTGCTGGTTGTTGATTGGATCTCAGGCATAGCTAATGTAGCATTGAGAAGTCGAGAAACCACAACAACATCGCATAGCTGATAAAGAAAAGATGACAATACAATCAGCTCAATATGATTTAAATATAATATGATACAGAACTGGAAACTCAATACCCTTACCGAATTCCTGATCTCATGAAAACCACCTAGTATCCGAACAAAAATAAACCCATTTGTTTGTGAAGCAGGACCTGTCAGAAAGGATAGACATTTTCTTTCAGAGATAGAGAGATAAGAGGATTAACAGCAATCTACAGAAATACAAGCTACTTTCCTACCGTAAGGACCTACCTTTTGTTTTACATATAATCCAAATTACAAAAAATAAAGGCAATGGCATTTAAATTAAGATAAATCTTACATGCAAAAATATAGAGAAACAAGATCAAATCAATACAGTGAAAGATGATCAACATATATACACAAACCACCATGCTTTGTTCCCTTGTCCATAGGTGAAAGACGGTTACAATTTAGCATCAAGAAGAAGCACTAAGCAAACGGGAACATGAGTCCCAGTCACACAATATCATATGCTTACATATATGATAGAGGCACTACACAACATAACCTAATAATCCTACGTTCATTTCTTATAGTAGTATAAAATAAGCTACAACAAAAGTAAAAAATCTAATACTCAATTCGTAACCCAAAATTTGGCATAGAGAGCTTTTTTCAGTCCACTATGCAGATTGAAATCGAATACTCAATTCACTCTAGCGAAAAAAAACAATGGATAGAAAACCAAAAGTAAAAAAAGTAAATAAATCACAATTTTGGTCAGAAGAAAAATCATTGTCCATAGACTAACACAAACTCCTCTGCAGTTTGAAGCAGGAGAATGTTTAGCATCAAGATGAAATGTTGAACTAACCAGCATAATTTCCACGTGGATTTGAATCCGGATACAAGGATTCGAGCCGCTTTACTGGGCCCCATAGTCTTCTATATGAGGGATTCTGCAGCACAAACAACAGCAAAAGATTTTGAAAAGGATAAAACCGAAAAATAAAAATGCACACACGAAAACAAAGTCTTAAAGCTCATTAGCTTATCACCCCGAAAACATAGGATACACATAGCAATCCAAATTCAGTTAAATGTAACAACCGACAGATCCAAGCCAAGGAACAAAAACAACACAGAGTTTATTTCCATGAAAAAGGAGAAAAACAAAAGCAAACAAGCATCTGACTAAGACCCACATGAGGAAAATGACATTGAATGCAACATCGTTGTCATTTTCCCGAGTAAAAAGCCAAAATTTTGAACCACCAACACTCCATACAACAAAGGGGTTACCACAGCAATGTACAGAAAAATCTAAACTTGAACGAGTTCAATACAAAACCAGACCAAAACCATAAATCATAATGAAAAAAAAAAAGTGAGATCTTTGTGTGAGATATGTTAGCAGAAAATTACATTTGTAGGAAAAAACGGTTTCTCAAAGATGGGTCTCCAAGAGAAGAAAGTGACTGAGGAATCATAGTCTGCAACACCCATTTCAGTGAATCTAGCAAGAAGAAAGTGTATGAAGATAGAAAAAGCGGAAAGCACAAGCCCAATCAAACCAACCCATTTCATCTTTGACTTCATTTTCACTTCCCCTTTCATTTACAAGTGAAAACAAACTCTTTCTCTCTCTGTCTATCTCTAGAAGCAGAGTTTCAGAAGCAGAATAATGAAGCAGAGTGAAGGAGTCAGAAGCAATAAGATTGCAAAACCACGTGTTAAAGCATGTCTTCATACACAGGCCACACACAAAGGAAGAGAGTGTGTTGTTTTTGGTTCAGTTGGATCAGAAACAGGACCAGTCTATCTATCTTCTTGTTTCTCTTTCTTCCATTTTCTTTTTATTTTTCATTTTTTAATATATTTATTTTTTTGTGTTTTACTTCCCCGGCAATTTTTGTCAGTTTGAAGAACATTGATTACGAAGGTGCATCCCTGTCTTGTTAGTAAATGGTAGTAAATGTTCGCAGTAACCTGGTAGAATATTATTATTATCATGTAAATGTAAATGCTAACTACCTAGTGTCAATTAAAAAATTTAATGAAAATAACTCTTCATTTGTAATATATTTTCTAATTTATATGTTAAGAATATTAATTAGTAATTATTGTTGTTGGGATGGGCCATGTGGGATGCGCAGAAGAAATACATATAATGGTCAGAGAGGGAAAATGGACACATTTTGGGACAGTACGAGTATCAATAGATTTTATTTTTAAATTTATATATATTGTTTAAACTATAAAATTAATAAACGATTATTATTTTTATGTCTAATAGGTTAATTACCAATAACAGTCATATTTAATTTCTAAAATTATAATCATAAGAATAAAATCGGTTAACATTTTTTAAGACTAAATTAATTGATATTTATCATTTTGAAGACTAATTATGGTGTTACTCGATTTTATTGGTATACGTTACAAATTTATTAATTGAAGATTTTTAATACACACATATATATATATATATATATGTATGTATATATTAAGAGAGCCATTAAGAATATGTTATACAATAGTTTTAAATTATTCATTCCAAAAACACCACTTTATTAATATTTTAATACTAAAAGTAAGGTGATAGAAATTAATGATAAAAAGAAAACTTTCTTATTGACCAGACCAGAGGACCCAACAATTTCCTAACATTATTGGACAGTGAAGTAGGATATGATTTTGTGTCTATAAACTGTAGACTTAAACTTTCATTTTCATTTTTAGAATGAAATAAATGTAAATTTTTTATATATACTTTTTTTAAATAACTTTTTTTGCTTTGAAAAGAAAAAACACTTTGAGAAAATATAGTGGAAAAAATTTCCATGAGAAGAGTGACGTAACGTGTGGGTCTGGCACGTGAGGAGTGGTTGGAACGTGAGATTGGATCTGTTTGTGGGACCTTCTATAAATGGACGTCTAAGGAATTTGTGAGAGAATGGATCAAACGCACCACAAAAGAAAGATTAGAAAATGTAAAATAAAAGGACCTTTATTTTCACAGCATAGGGTTGAAAATTGCCATAGATGCTTATGTTTCTATTTGTATATCTATTGTGTGTGACTTAGGTGAGTGGGTTCTGACCTGAAAATAAGGGATTTTGTGGGGGTTGGTAAGGACTAATAAGGATGTTATTTATTGCTGATTTTGAAGGGTTTGGTATTTTGAGGAACACCTTTTTCTTCTCTGTAGCCTATGCAGATGAGATATTTTTGGTAGAGATTGAAGGTTTCTATGCAATCCAACCAGAGCTCACTAAGGAGTCTAAATCCAATGAAAGCAACTTTTATTCATTCCCATTTATTATTCTTTTTATTTCAGGAAAATATCAAACCAAAGCATTTTACTTTAGCCTCAACTATTCAACAATAATGTTTATTTTATATCTCATTAAGATTGTCAAATGGGTAAAAATAATAATGAATAATGACCAAAAAGGAAAATTAATATGTATGGTTGTTTTAAGATTTTTGTTTAAAAATCTTATATATATTATAAAATTTTACTATAATTAAAAACCATAGTTTTATATTATTTACTTTAAAAGCATTTGTATGATATTTTCTAATTAATAAATAGTATAAAATTACAGTAATATTCTATCAAACATTTGTATAAATAGTACACTATCTTCTTCTTCTTCTTCTTTTTATTTATTTGCCTGGCCTGAATATCTTGTCTGCAGGATTAGAGAAAAAAACTGAACTAGGGACATGAGAAGGAAAATGATTGGACTTGAGAGTTAGACCAAAGATAAGCCAGTTGTTTTCTCATTTTTGGACTTTTTATATGCGAGAAGAAGAAGTATAGAAATAAAAAACTATTTTTATAATTATTTAAATTAAGAGAAACAAGGAAGAAAATAAAAAAAAGTTTGTGTAAAATAAGTAAGATTTTTAAGTATCGTTAAGTGTCACACATTTTTTTTCAATTTAATTGATCCAAGTATATTTTTAATATGATAAAATTTTATTATTAATAATTAGTTAAATTCAATCTTAAAAATTAGGAAAATAAATTTGTCTAGGTTAGTAGTTATAGAAGATCCTCATTGTTAAATAACGTAAAACTAGATAGACGTAAAAAAATTTCATATCCAATCAATTGCATAAAGCGATTATTATACATTTTATATTAACTTTAATGATAAAGATGATACCTAAAAACAACAATCTATGTTAGACTTTCTGCAAAGAAGCACAAAAAAAAAGGTTTATAATTATGGTGTGAAACTGCAGAAGGAAAAAAAAAAAAGAGGGAAATATCCATCTGAAGTTCTGCCACGTGCCGTATGGTTGGCCCACTATCCCCACGTGTCAAAACATTGTTGATAGAGTGTACTAATATTTTTGAAATAAAAAATAAATTATTATTGATTTTATAAAAAAAGAATCAGTTATGACATAAGACCGTACTATCATCGTCTGATCTCGTTATTAAGAAAACCAAAGATATTGGGCGGCGGGACAGTACCAACTGACACTCATCTTTCGCTCTCTCTTCGGATCTCACCGCCACCGTTCACGGCGGTGCCTCCGTCACACGCGCCGCCGCTCTCGCTCCGATCTCCCCATCGCCGTGAGTTTTTTTTTTTTTTTTTTAATTTGTCCATGTGGTTTCCAAAATATCCGTCTAATCAAATTTCTGAACCGAATCGATTGTTATTTTTGAGGAATCGAACGGTTTGAAAATTTTTATTCTCGTTTTTATCTTCTATTTTTTAAAATAAAAGTTGAAGGTTAGTTTATAATTTTTGTTGTTGTAGATAGAGAGAAGGTAAAGTCGTTAACGATGGCCGAAGCCTCTGGTAGTGAGAGTTGTGGCATGTTGGTTCTTTCTGGAGGCTGAAAAGGCGAGGATCTTATCCGATTTTATGTTTTTAATAACTGATTTTAAAATCTGTGTTACGAAAAATTAAAATAATGCGTGAAATCTTTTGCTTGTGTAATGTGGATCTCTGATTTTTTTTTAAACGTTTTTACCTTAACCCTCTTCAATCGAACTTAATCATAATGGATGGGTTTAAGATAAATCATTAATCCATTTAAAATGTGTTAAAAAATCAAATTCATCCCTAACCTATTTAATAAGAATTCATCCAATTCATCCATTAACCATTTTTTATGAATTGATATCTAATCCGTCCATTTAAAATATATTATATTTTTTAAAAGAAAAATGTTATAAAATGTAGTTTAGTATTAATACACATTCAACATAAAAATGCTTAGGGTTCATCTTTTAAAGAATTATGCCCCACTAATAAACTTTAGGCAACTTAATGAATTACAAAATATTCTGGATGGTTCACTATCCAATAACAAATGGTGATCCAATCTAACCCATCTATTAATATCTATTTTATATTTGGATGGGTTGGCTGGATTTATGCAAGGATGGATTGGATGGTTAATGGATTGAATTGCCACTCCTAGATCCGTGTAATTAAAATTTGAGTATTTTCTCTCAGAAGATTTCATGTTTCAAAAGAAAAGGAGGATTCAAATCCATTGTTGTCATACATAGTTGCGTTCACATATGAACATGCCAATTTGCGTGATACAGACAGACTTTGGTGCCAGGATTATTTTCAGTTTGTTTGTTTTTTTTGTTTTAAATAGAATGATGGTCGGTTTGTCTTTTACTTGAGTGGTTAGGGAAGTTATAACTCTTAACTTTTTAATTAATTAAGGTTTTGAATGATGTTTTAATTTTATTTTTTTTGGGAGCAAGAATAAGTTACATTTTAAGATGTGGTCGAAATTAGGTTGAGGGTGGAAAATGAAAGAAAATTGAACTCCTCTGCAATTACACGGGGTACTTTTCACTTTCATGTGAATAGTCCAGTTATCCACTTGTGGTTACTCATAAAAATCAATTACATCTTTTTCTTTTCATCAAGCACACACTATCCTGGTGCTTACTGTCACTGGTGAACACTGATTTCCTTGGTTAGGACTTGGGAGAAGTGAAGGTGAGATGTCATTACATTGCACTGATGGAGGTTATACTCAACAACTTCTTTTTCTTTCCATTACAATGATTGATTAGATACCTATGATCCTTCAATAAGTGATTAAAATTTCATTTTTAAATTCCTAAGAGTGCATTTAAGTTTAAGTTTAAACACTGTTCTCATGCTTGGCTGAATACTGAGATTTGCAAAATGAATTTACCTTTGTTTTTTATTCTCTCTTTAGTGATATATCTGTGTAGTGATTTTATTTTATTTTTTAATCAGCTTATGTTATCAGGTGACATCTCCAATGTAGCGGTTAGGTTGAAGGAAATCTGTTTTATAGAGTAAGCTGTTGTTATGTGAGAACTTTTGGAGTTTTTCGATATTACAGAATTGACTATGATTGTTTATGGAAAAAACTCTTCTCTGCAATATCAAGTGCCGGCATCTGAGTTTGGTGTTTGCTTGAGAGAGAAACTCTCTGCCGCTGGCACCTCTGCAGGCTCTGCTACTGGCATTCAAGTTTGCCCCTTCTCCTTTTCCTTACATGTATCCTGATTTGGACACCTGTTTACATGATGAGATGGCTGTTGCAACCTTCAAAGGACCTCCTAGTGATTGTTGTGGGAATAAGAAAATGGAAAGAAAGCCTTCTGGGAGGAGACGTGTATTTGTTCAGACTGAAACTGGGTGTGTTTTGGGGATGGAATTAGATAGGAGTGACAATGCCCATACTGTGAAAAGGAAATTACAGGTTGCATTCAACGTCCCAACAGAGGAAAGCTCACTTGTTTGTGGGGACATGGTCTTGAAGAATGATCTAAGTGTGGTTAGAAATGATTCTCCACTTCTTCTCACTAGGAACTTTTTACATAGGAGTTCATCTACCCCGTGCCTTTCACCCACTGGCAGGGATCTTCAGCAAAGGGATCAGGGGGGACCAATCGAGGTTATTGGTTGCTCAGATATGTTTTCAGGAACAAAACAACTGGTTAAGGATATTATGAAGGCAATAAAAGTTGGCATTGAACCAATCCCCATTCAGAGTGGGTTGGGAGGAGCATATTATTTTAGGAACAGTGATGGTGAAAATGTTGCTATTGTCAAACCAACTGATGAGGAACCTTATGCACCAAACAATCCGAAAGGTTTTGTTGGCAAAGCTCTTGGACAACCAGGACTGAAACGTTCAGTGAGGGTTGGGGAGACAGGCTTCAGAGAAGTTGCCGCATACCTTCTTGATCATGGTCATTTTGCCAATGTGCCTTCTACTGCCCTTGTGAAAGTTGCACATTCTATTTTTAATGTTAATGACAGGGTGAATGGTAGTATGCATCATAACAAGAAGCAAATAAGCAAGATTGCATCACTGCAGCACTTCATTCCTCATGATTTTGATGCAAGTGATCATGGAACTTCCAGTTTCCCTGTTGCTGCTGTTCATAGGATTGGGATTTTGGACATACGAATTTTAAACACAGACAGACATGCCGGAAATCTTTTGGTCAGGAAGCTTGAAGGGTTAGGAAGGTTTGATCAGGTGGAGCTTTTTCCCATTGATCATGGTCTTTGTCTCCCTGAAAGTTTGGAAGATCCATATTTTGAATGGATCCATTGGCCTCAGGCATCAATTCCTTTCTCAGATGATGAGCTTGACTATATATATCATCTAGACCCTTTTCGTGATTCAGACATGCTTAGAATGGAGCTTCCCATGATTAGAGAATCATGCTTGCGGATTTTAGTTCTCTGCACTGTCTTCCTGAAGGAAGCAGCAGCCTTTGGTCTCTGTCTAGCAGAGATTGGTGATATGATGAGTCGGGAATTTCAGGGTCACGATGAAGAGCCTAGTGAGCTTGAGCTTATATGTATTGAAGCAAAGAAACTGTTAGATCAGGAAGAATTCTCTTTTTTTCAGGCAGAAGTAGGAGACAAAGGTGTAACTCAGTTTCAGTTAGACTGTGAGGATCATGAGTTGGATTTCACTATAAATATTGAAGAGAAACTGAAAGTAATACCACCTTTCCAAGTTGGAGTGAAAAATGAAAATGGTAGAAACACACTTTCTAAACTAGAGGAAAGTGTGATGGAGGAGGATGAGGCTGGGAGTGAAGAGGAGTTACCCTTAGGTGCAGATGAATACAGTGGTCCTGTGGGAAATCGGGTGCCTAATGTTTCAAAACTGTCCGTGTCTGTGAAAAACACAAAAATTGGTGAGAAAAGTTGGCAGCACTTGGGTGCAAAACAAAAGAGTGGTTTTTTGGCTGGGACATCATCTGGAAACACAACTGTAAATGAGTTGCCTGCAAGCTCAAGTTTTGTGAAGCTGACAGATATGGATGAGGACAAGTGGAATCAGTTTCTTGAGAATTTCCAAAGGTTGTTGATCCCAGCTTTTGTCAATTGCAAACGTGGTAATGTGGGCATGAAGCAGAGACAGAGACTTGGAACTTCATGCCAGTTTTAGGGAGATTATTAGTGAAACATGGCGTGAATCAATGAAATATTCGGGCTTGTACAATGTGTCATGGTGCACATTGAATTATAGGTAAGTACAGAGGCTTTGCTTTCTCAACGCTGAGGAGTGAATATCCAGGAAGCAGTAAATGAAGATTTTCAGGTAGTAAGGTCTTGCATCAGCAAGTAGAGGGGAAACTTATCTACCAGTAGATATGAAGACTATGCCCTGATTTCCTCTTTTATATTTTTCCACTTTATGTTCACTGGTTAGTTTGTTGAATAATTCAGGGTAGGTGCCAAAATAAATTTGTGTATATCAATGGTTTCCCGGGGATTTATATGATATTTCTGGTATGTCTGTCGCCTTTAAATGCTTCTGAAATTCTTTTAAATCCTGGTATAATCCGTTGCCCATGTCGTCTTAAACTCTTTGTTTGTCTGCGAAAAGAATAAAAAAAAAACGTAGGAATAGGACAGAGTAGCAAATGAATAGAGAATAAGGAGACTTTAAAGTTGTTTAGATGAAGAGAAATAAGAAAGAAAATGAAAGCAAAAAGAGTTATACTTCATCTTTACTTCTATAATATAGTGAGTAAAAAGAAACAATCTTTTCCTTTCCTTCAATCATCCATTATATCTTTTTTGTTCCGCAGAAAGCATACATTTATGAGTAAATGGTTGGTGGTCAAATATAGAATTTATTTGTGTTAATTAGCTACAAAAATTTACTAGTCACACAAACCCCTATCATGTTTCAAAGTAGCGTGGAATCCGCCTTTGTATCCCTCACTCTGGACTCAGACTTGCAGTGAGTCAAGTGGTTAATTCACCCCGTCTGTGTTAACACTGGCACTGTCAACAAAGAATTACAGTTGCAGGAAATGGACTACAAAAAGAATTTTCACCCCACATATATGAATTCCCGTTCACCGTGTTTCTCTGTGGTTCATGGTGGTTATTCTACTTAATTCAACCTGTTGATCCTCTATTTGACTCACAATTCGGGTGAAGTTGCTGCTTGCAAATGACATGGTGTCTTCTTTCATAAGGCGCTTTTGCTTAATCCTCAATATACACTGTGAAACCTCACCTATGGAGGGGCGTTTCTGAGGTGATTTGTGCAAACATTTGTGTGCAATTCTAGCAAGCTGCCTCACTTCTTCAAGGTTGCATTTTCCCACAAGTTGCTTGTCAAGAATCCCATCTACACCATCATGATCCATTGCAGCCTTGCAGTAAATGAAAAATAAACATATACATAAGAAATCATCAGTCTAAAGATTTATAACGTTAGCATCCTTTCCCAAAGCAAAAATAACTTACAAGGTTGATATATTCCATCAAATTTTGGTGTGGATGGATGGCAGTGATGAGCTCAAATATGAGTATACCAAAGCTGTAAATGTCACTCTTCATTGTAAGCTTGCTTGTGGAAATGTATGCTGGGTCCATGTAGCCATATGTACCTTTAAGGCCAGAATTACGGTCATCAAAAATCTCTTCCTTAGAGAGCCCAAAATCAGAAACCTGCATAATCAGTAATTTTCAAGATAATCAACACCTAAAAAGAAAAGGAAGATAATTTACACTATATTATGTCAATACTCCAGGTTAGTTGGTTCTTTAGAATTTAGCTGCTGATGGGTATATTCCAACAAAGAAATCGTTTAGTTCTGTCCCACCTCGGTAAAAGAACTAAAGAAGAAATAACTTGGACAGTATAAGACGGATTTAATAGGAATCTAAAACCTAACGATAACACTAATACACTGCCAGTAGATCAATACTCAATAAAATACCAAACAATTTGTCTCTTGCTATTTTTTCGTCAACATGAAAAGGAAGAAAGAAGGCCCGGGGGGGAGGGTGATGTATGTGAGGTGCATGGTATAAGAGTATAATTTACAGGTTGCAGTTATTTAGCTACTATTTAAAAAGAAGTGCCAATGATATAATCTCCAAAACAATTCTTTTGAAATTCCTTGATTTTACGTAATTTACAAATTCCTCTGGAGTCTAGACCATATTACCAGGAAATGATTCCCGTGTTTGAGTTGATATATTAATATGAGACTGACCATTAAAAAACAAGAGTAGCAACAAGCTTACCTTGGCTCTCATTGAGTGATCTAGCAATATGTTGGAAGATTTCAAATCACGATGTATGACGGGTGGGACTGCCTGTTCCATCCATATTTTTATCAGCTAAAGGCATTTTAAAATAGTCTAAGAAAATATATCGTTGAACATACTCCTTCATGAAGGTATTCTATTCCATGTGAAATATCAACAGCAACTTGCAGCCTTTCATCCCAACCCAATTCCTTTTCTTCACCTAGATGCATGCACAAACCAAATATTCTCAATAGAGATTATAGACAGCTTTATTTGTAAGAAGAGGTTAAAATAAAAAACTAAACTAAACTCTATATGCCTCATCCAGTGCAATGGTGAAAAATGTTACATTTATTATTGATTGCGAACTACTAAAAACATGTAAAAGAAAGTTAGATCTTTGTGTGTGTGTTGACATTATCATCCAATTCTTAATATATAGCTATCACTCACATACAAAGGATATTAAGAGAAACATGAAAGATTTCTGCTCACCATATAAAAGGTTTGCCAAACTTCCATTACTCATGAACTCATAAACCAGTATATGCTGTCCTTTATCTATGCAGTATCCTACCAAATTCACAAGATTCCGATGATGCAGTCTTCCAAGCAGAAGCACCTGGACCAACATCACATAAAAAATCATAAAAAGTTTCACGCTAAGCTGGTGGGTGGTGATTGATGTTAAATTCAGAGTGTAAGTGCAGTACTTGGGAGTTTCTTAAACCAGAACCAACTCCATTACTTTAAATAAAACCTAGAGGTAATAGGTCATCCCCACCATTTTAAATTGATGATTATTGTGTCTGGCAAATAAAGGAACTTTTCGCCTCAGAAAGATTTGTGTGTCAGTGATGATGACCATATAGCACAATGAAAATAAAAACTCAAGTAATTTGTCAGCTCATTTAGGAATAGTACATTTCAAAACAGAGTTCAAAGCAACTGGTATACTATAGCTTCTGTGAAACAACTGAAGTTGGGAAAACTATGAACAATAGATGCTGTAACTTATAAGGTAATCAAAGCAAGCTCGGATTAGGATTATCTGCATGGTTCCTTCAAATTTTTCAATTTTATTCAGGTCTAATCAACAGGAATCAAGTAATGTACAACTTGGCTTGATGCCTTAAGAAAAAATCTGTTCGAGTCTCTCAATCAATTTAAAACAAAGAAAAGCCTAACTATGAAATCCTTTTCGAACATTGTATAAAACAGCAGTGAAGATTTAAAAGAAAAATTTCTGCATCCGACAAACCATAAGATGGTTATTTTCCGAAGAGCCTTATACCAACTGTCGCCAAGTCCCTTTGGACTGCTTATAAAAGAAGAAAAAAGTTATCAGCATGTACCTCTGTTTGGAATTCTTTTTCCCCCTGTTTGGAATTGGGTGCAAGCATCTTTACAGCTACCACCTCTCCTGTAGGCATAATGGCTTTATATACCATGCCAAATGATCCTTGTCCCAATGTATTTGTGAAATTTTGGGTGGCCTTTTGAATTTCTCTGCAACATGTAAAATGTCGGATATACCATCGTAAATGGTAATGTCCCAGTATGTGTTTTTTTTTTCTTTTATCTAAGCTATTTTAAGTTCTACGTTTGCCTATGGTCCCCATAGCCGATCGGAAGCCCGGGTAAAGGAGGAGGGTTATGTTAGGCCTTTAGCAGCAAACTTAAAACTTGTCGAAACCTTTTATATGGATTTTTATAAGCACTTTTAGGTCTATTTTCCCTTTTTTCTTCCAAAGTAATATGCAATATAAATAAAATTTTGCAAGGTCTCTAACACACTATGAAACTTCATTACAAAAGGACCATAGAAACTTCCCAATTCCACAAATCAAGTAATCAATATATTTTCAATTCAAGAACAAAATTGTTTACATTCATGTCAACTATTAGTTATGCAAAAACAGAACATATTGGAAGAAAGAAAGAAAGAATGAGGTTAATGCTTAAGAAAAAATGTACATACTTGTATGAATACTTTAGAATGCCTGGCACTGAAGCAAGCCCATCGTTATTTTGATGATTCCACCTAGTTAAATGGGAGTTTTTCTGTGGATTTTCTGACCTTGAAGTGGCTATGGAACTGGAGAGAGAAGCACTAAACTCAGTGCTTGTTCCTACCCCATTTGCTCTTATTGGGAGAGTTGTTAAACTAGGCTCATCCACAGATCGCCTTAGATGAGCTCGCTTCTTGTACCACCTTATGCCAAAAAATATGAAGCAAGCTATCAAAACTCCAAGGGCCACCCCAACAGAGACACAGATAATAACTAAATCAACTTGATGAACCATTCCTTCATCTCTCTTGATATTCAAACACCAAAATCATCTTGCAAAAGACTATCACTGGGGAGGTTCTCTGTCACAAAATTAACACAATTTTTAAGTTAATTCAATACATGAAGGAAACTGTTATACAACCACAAAAAACTTGAAAGATGAATACAAGCGAAAAAAGCAAAGCAATATACAATAGTGAAGCATCTATGCTTTATGTATTCATCAATCATTAACGTATCATAATAATTTGTCACTTCAAAGATGGTGTCTCATAAATAAATCACTTTCTACTCTTAAAAACATGAAATAAAATTATCCACCACCACACATACCCACCAAGCAAAATTCAAAAAAATGAAGAAAAAAAAAAGTCTTATTCTCAAAAGCAGAAGGACAGACATACCAAATATGCAGAAGAAGGTTGATTCAGAAAAATTGGTAGCAGTTGAGTTAGATGAGTTTATGAAGAAGGTGCAGAGTGAGAAAAAGAAGAGAGAAAGAAGGTGTAAAGGGAAAAGTGGAAGGGGTCTGAGTTGGAGGCTTCTTCATGCTTTGGAGCGTAAACCAAAAATATAGACACGCGGATTTGGTTCAATTCAAACTGTTCAAAGGGGTGACTGCGTTCTCACTTCTCCATTTTTGTTAAAAGCATGTCACTTGGACCTTTCTGTTTTAAGCTTTTGTTAAACCTGTTTAAAAGTAATAAATTTAATGTTAATAATTTTTTTTTAACAAACATCAAATATCTTTCTTTTAATAAAAACAAAAAAAAAATATCTTCCTTTTAATCTTTATTTATAAATATTTCAATTGTGTCAATTCATATTTGACATTTTTCTCTCTTACACAATGAAAGAAAATATTTGATTCTAAATATACACTATTGAAGTATCTAAAAATTATATATATATATATATATATATATATATATATTCATAAGTTATTTAATAAATTGAATAATATATTTTAAAGAGTAAATTCACAAATTAGTTTCTTAAAGTTATACTTTACCTAAAAAAATTGTGTTGAATAATTTAATTTTTAAATATGTTAACTTATATACAAGTCGTTAAAAAATTAATTAATCTTTAAAAGCATTACAGTGTATAATATAGCTCCCAAATATGTTAATTTTATTATTATTTTACATGAATTTTTGAAAATAAAATAAATTTTAAGTAAATTAACACATTTAAAAAATTAGATTATATAAAGCTGTTTTTTAAAAACAAATAAATAAAACATTGTTAAAGATTAAATTATATATTTCTCTATTCTAACACTTAATTGCAATTAGCATGCTTAAAACAAATTCATTTGTTGAAAACTAAGTTAAATTTATTATAAATTTATATTTATAATATATGGTTAATGAAAATTGGTCTAATTGGTAAGTATTTAATTTATATTTCATAAAAATGCGAGCTTAAATTTTGTTGTCTATGTGAAGACTCAACTCAACAAAACCTTTTTGTACTAAAAAATAGTACATAATAATATACTTTATATAGCATTCTTACTTTTATTTTAAAATTTTAAGATAATTAAAATTATAAATATGTATCTGTATAGGATCGGAATGGAATTCGTCTAAATATACTCTTAAATAATTCATTAAGCCGGTAATGCTGCGTTTCCATTAGATCTATCTGTTGTGTGATCTATTAATTTCACGTAAGCTAAATCTCGTTCGTATTTAATCTTTGTACCTCTTCATGCATGCACTGCATCTTGTTTGATTTTTGTTTGATATATGTTTTAATAGATGTTTGCATCGTCGATTTCAACTGACTTTGACGTGAAACGAATAATTATTTTAGTAAAACACTTACAAGTTTGAAAGATTTCCATAACACCCTTTGTTTAAAGAGTGCTGCTGTTTGATACAAAAGATAATATACGATATTGGTACAAATGAATACTTCTGTGTTTTATCGGTTAAACATTAAACTATTAAAATTTAAAATAAGATTTACTAGACTGGAATCATGTAATCGTAGTTTAAAACAGTTTTCGTGATTTTCGTACTAATAAGCATTATTGTTGTATAAATCCTCTATTCTGACTTTTTTTAATATGCTATAAGGCAACATGGGATAAATAAGCCATATAGGACGTAAGTGGGAATCTCAAACTCAGGTTAGAATAATTACTCAATCACAATTAACAATTGTACTCATGATCAGCACTACATTGTGTGCCTTATATTAATCTATTCTCACAAGCTAGGCATCGCTTCAATATTCTAATTAATTAGGGGGTTAAGAATCATACTCACATGAGTAACTATGATCTGTCCTCCCACAACTATACTATTCACTAAAGAGTATGTACGTAGCATATATATGTGGCAATCACTGAATTAGTTTGAGTTAAATTAAATAGCCACACCATAGACCGATCAATGACGTGAAACCTCTATATATAGGTAGCATTGCGATATTCGATGTGGCAATTATTGCTACAAATTAAGTCATAATTCACATTCGTAAGATGTTATGAAGATACACTTAATTACAACACTCAAACTGCATGCGTTCTACATATATCTATTTTTAGTATGAAAAGAAACAACTATTTTTAAGTCCTATGGCTCTGCCTTTGTGACACATAAAAAACTATGATATAAAGCAAACCTATATTATATATATCTAAGGCCATTATCCAGGTAGCTGCTAGCAAGAACATGGTGCAAAATTGCGAGCTTGGATATATCTATGCCATTAATTATTTTACTATATCGATCTCAATTTCTAGGCTCATGATTATTAATGGGTGGCCTGTGGGTTGGTCTTCCTTTATAATCCTTATATATCAGGTTTGCAATTTCTTTTGCAGCCTCAACAAGCCTTTGGGTCTCATCTTTCTGAGCAGTTCCTTCAAGTTCTTCAGTCCCTAAGCTGGATTTAATTGACATGGCATTGCAATCTCGTGAACACTTGGTGTTTTTGCTGGTGGGAATACTCCTTGGAATTACAAACTTGGTGTGTTTCAAATATTCCTTTGGTCCCATTTTCACTAGCTTCTGTGTGAATTTAAACTAGCTAGGTCAGCAATGAATATGTATAAAATATATAGGCTAGTTTAGGAAATTGCTGCACATTAATTCACGTGTTTTGTAAGTTGGGAAATGACGAATGTGTATAAAATATATATGGGAGCCTAGCTTCCTAAAGTTATGCAGCATGAATATGCATAATTATTATAATATGTGTGTGTATGGAAGCTAGGCTAATAAAAGTACATTGGTTTTGTAAGGACTCTAGGGTGGGAAATTAATGCGTACGTAATTCAACATATTTTGAAAAAATAATTATTCATTTTTTTATAAATTTGAAAAATATTAAAATAATGAATTGTTCCTTTTAAAAATAATTCTAAACATGTTAATCTCTCTTGAAAGTTGGGGGAAAACTAAAAAATCCTATATTTTTGTGAAAGTGAAACTCTACAGCTTATATAATTATATATGATATGGTGTTAAACTTTGCTACACACACATATATATATACTCTATTTAAAGAGAGAGAGAGATCAGCAGCAAATAGAACCTGGTGATCATTCCTCAGTTGTTGTGATTTTCCAAAGGACTTCTTCAAACCATCATTCTCCTCGCCTGCCGTTTGGAAACAGACATATATATGAGTAGCCATAGGAACAATTTCTTTCATAAGTAAAACTTAATTAAAGACAATTTGATGTGAATAAAATGGATTCATGGATAGGATGCTAGCACAAATATTGAAATTTTTTCTTAACAAAAACACAACGATGCCGGCCTTTAAAGTTTAGGAAATTGCTGCACATTAATTCACATAAATTAAAGTAAATATACATGAAATCTACAAACAAGTTTCCACTCCAAGACTAGTGATGATCGAATGCTAGCTAGCAGACTCACTCACAAGGGGTTTCAATGCTTTTCACTTAGTTATGTTTTGGAAGGTGATGCCTGGGTCCATGATAATCATCAGTGAAAGCTACAAAACCATCCATTTTGAGCTTTCTTGGTTTAATACTTTTCTCCCCTCTACATTTTACTATTTTATGATCTCCCTCCCTTTGATCAAAGTCACATATTCCATCAAAATAGGTTGCACCTGAAATCTTTGAAGTCCCTCTTCCATCTTCTCCTTTTCCATTTTTAGAATCAACACTTGGCACTTCATGTGTGCTAAACTTGTTTCCCCCAAGCCCTAGGTTCCGCATGTAACCAGCTCCAGTTCTCTCAAATGGTTCCTATTCCACAACACATAATCATTATACATGGTGAAATTAATCAACAACATGAAGGAACATAAATAGTACAGTTAGTGCAATTGATCATATATATTCATATATATACCTTTTGAGCAGACACCTCAGGCTTATTATTATTCCCTTCCTTACCTGAAATTCCATTTGTGGTAATCAGATCATAAAATTTTTTGCTTGATCTTCAATTTTTGGTAACTAAATGATTAAATGGATAATATTATTTTACCTGCTTGAACAACTCTTGCTGATGAGTCACCTTGGACAGTCATGACCAAGAGACATCCTAGTAAAAGGCTTGAGGGCACTGTGATCTTCATCTGAGTGTTTCTTCTTCTCACGGATTTGTGTTTTTCTTTTGTTTAACAATTGAAAGAGAGAAAGCAAAACTGGTTTTATAGAGGGTCCAAAGTTCAGACCAAGTCAAAGCTAGGGTTCCGACCTCTGTTCTTTTAATTACTATATTATTCCTTGATAAGTTAAAAACTTAGGAAAGCTCATAATCAGATTAATAAATTAATAAAAAATCAATTGCTTAAAGTAAGAATAATTTATTGTTAAAAAAAGGTGAACTCAATCTCAAGTTTGAATGGTTTTGTGGACTGAAGCTGAGCAAGCAGTCATAAAAAGTCATAATCTGGTCTTGATCATTTGCATATTGATCTCATGCATGATAAACAACATACAGGTATATAAGTATAATTAATAAACGAATTTCTCTTAAATATATAAACTTGAACTGTATTAGAAAAAAAAGAAAGAAAAATAGACCATACGCAAATTTAAAAGAAAACTTTGTCACATCCACAAATTAATATTTTCTATTTATATATGTTAACTTGTTCCATATACGTTAAGTTACCTATTTAACAATCTTTTGTGCCAGAAGTCCATCAAAAAATTCTTAAGAATAAAGTTATTTTTTTAGCAAAAGAATGGAATCAACTATTTATTTTTGTTTTGCATAAATTTTTTTATTCAAACAAATGTTTACAAGTTTTTTTACTAAAAAAATATTAAATGAGTACAAGAAATACTCAAAGATTTTAAGACACAGAAGGATAAAATATTATAACTATTCCAATACAAAATCCTTAGAAATATTAAAGAAAACAATCCATAAGATATGGTGTGATACACAATATCATGACCATAATCTCTTTTTAACTTAGAAAGGAACTAGTGACTTTTCAAGTCAAAGTGACTGTGCTTGATTTTGATTGACTACGTGCAAGCTAACTAAGCTTATTATTATTGATTATTATTGATTAAAATTTATTAAAAATGATATAAATCTTACTTTTTTTTATTCTTAATTTAATATTTTTTTATATTTTTATATTTTTATATTTTTTAATAAATTTTAATTAATAACAAAAATTTGTTAAAAAAAGTATATTAAATAATTTGTTGCTGAAATTTTTTGTTGTACTAATTATTATTGCTATGGAAACCAATCGATATTACATGTAAAAAAAACAATTGAATTATTTCATGAGAAAATAGTTGGTTTTAGTTGAATAGATAGGATTACTGTAAGTTGTAGGTTGTAGCTCTTTGGAAAGATTATAATTTAGACAAAACGGTCATGGCCAAGAAAAATTAATCGTAATATAATTAAGACCATGGTCTATTCAGGGGTAAGGTCTAAGTCAGAGATCAATACCCTTCAAATCAGTTAATTAATAAGAATGACCCGAGATAAAATGGGTGTTCTTATTAATTTCTACTACAGCTAATCCCTAACTCTTTGCAACTTAATTTTGTGATAGTAATTAACTTTTAAGCAGAACCTAAAAACTTGACACGTTCTCAACATCAGAAACTCTACACAAGTAAGGTCTAGGTGTAGCATCAAATTAAGAGCCTCTGTAACATGGACTATTGATTTTGTGCATGGAATTGCGAAACCATATAACCTTTTTAACTAGCAATGAATACTTAATTTAAACCACAAGCTGTGTTGTAGGAGTTTAAGAACATGAGGGCGTGACCTCCAACTATGCTAGTGGTCTCTTTTTGAGAACAGCGTGCCCCTCACCACCAAAGTCGGTTTCATTTTAAATTAAAAATCATGCAATATATATTCTGCAACTTTCTTTTTTCATCTTATGAGAACTCTTGTGACTCGTGAGCTTTTTCACTAACCCTATCTATGTTCTCTCTTATCAAAATAAATAAATAAGCATTCATATATAAAATAGATTCACCGACACTAAGCACAATATAGACTATGATTTAGATATCTCTACTTGGAAGCCTTTTATCCAAAGGAATTCACAATTTTTATAGCTGGATACTCCATTTTTTTCAAAATGTTTGAAAATATATTTGTATGATATTTTTGTAAATGTTTATATTTACGTTTTCAAATCTTTATAATTATGATACTTGATGTATAATAAGTAAATATAAAAACGGTGCATATTAGGCTATTAACTTTGTACTAACAGAACTACTTATGATATAACATAAGCGCCCCTGTATATGCATTCATAGATTGTTTGATTTTTACTCTATTTTGGTCTTTTTATTAGGAATAAAATAATTTTTTATTTTAATTATAAAAAATATATAATAAATTTGAAATGTATTAATTTTTAAATTTTTTATTTATGTTATTAAATATACAAGCTTCTAATTACATTATTTAATATTATGAATATTTTTAAAATAAAATTTATATTTATAAAAAAATATAATTAATTTAATTATTTTCTTTAATCTTATAATTTAATTTTATTTCTTATTAAAAAGATCCAATCAAAGGGATATATGAGAAAATGTGAAGTCTTACTAGTTGAAACAAAATTTGAAGAATAGTTTTATTTTTTTTATTTAATGAAAACTTTTATATTAGTTAATTAAAGTATACAATAAATATAATTTTTAAATTAAGTATTATAAAAATCAACAATTTATACTAATGTGATAATACATGATTAAAAGAAATGTCGATGACATTTTGCAAGCTTACCTAATGTAATTGACAATTGGAGAAACTAATTAACCAAAACTTGTGTTGAAAGTTTAAAAAATTTGGTCTGAAAAACCATGGTCAAAATTTGTAACCTACATATGTTCGGGGAGCTTTTTAGGTTTGGGGAGTTACGATTGAAGTGTGAACCAGTTATTAGAAGCTGTTGTTTTGGGGCTTTAAAATGAGTTCAATTTTCAAAGAAATGAAAAATTGTTTACCTTTTAAGAACATAGTCACATGCATTGCCACCAAAATCGCATTTAGAAGCACTATCAGAGGATTATTTAACACCCCAAGAAAAGATTCCACTTAGACTATACGTTTATTTACTACTATCATTGATCACTAACTGCACAGTGCACATATTTCACATATCTATTCGTTCAAGGTCTGACACAGTGCTTCCAAAAAATTAAAAGAAAATTCATTTTTGACTAATGCTATTGCATATATATAGATGTGGACATGGTATTGAATGTTCATCAAGCATTCCTTGAGAAAATTTTCCTACTGCTACAATTATTGGATATTAATAGTGGATTTAGTTTACATTAAACTTGTCTGATGAATATGCTTGAACCTTATTTACACTTACTGTGAAGAAAAATATAATTGCAATGGAATATTATCATGTGCATTATAATTATCATATTCATTATATTTTTATAGCATGATGGGATTATTATAGGACTAAAATTTATATCATTTGTTTTTTCTGTAAAAAAAATCAAGTTTAGATAATAAGTTTTATTTTACTGTATTTTATTTGTCATTTAAAATATTAAAATATACTGATTTTTTTAAAATTTACACTAATCCCTTTGCTATTTTTACTAAATAAAATAAACAAAAATATCAATGAAATAGTGATTTTTAGCATTTTTGTAGAAAACTGAATCTAAGGCTGTAAAATAGTTACTTAATTACTCTTAAAATTTTTATAAAATAATTTAAAATTACTACTTCAAAGAATGTTGCTGTTAATTAAGCACTTGAGCATGTCTGCGGTCGAAGCTGACAATGATTGGATTTAGTTTTATGACTTTAAGATCTCAAAATTTAACACCTAAATAAAAATAATGAAAAAAAAAAACTATGTGATATGAGACAAGAACCTCGAGTGTGTGAATTATATATATACCCTCTAGCATACTGATTTTAGTTTTTACTTTAAAAAACTTCTAATCATTTCATACGGTTTGAAATATGTAAACAAAATTGGAAGACGAAGTTTAACATTCGTCTTAACATCGAAACAAATGCAAAGAAAATTCACCGTAATTTGATCACAACATCTATCTATATTGATTCCTCAAGTTTATTCTTCTGAATTTCTTTGCTCGTTGCATTATAAAACTTGAGATTATTGTAAAGGATACAATGATAAATAAAAAAAATGATTTGAGACTATCAAACATGAGTACTCAAATATTTCTCATAATATATGGCATTGATGTTACAGTTCAAGATGACTTGTTTGACTAATGCTAAAGTAATAATAAGATGATGGAACAATGAAGTTTATGTTTTCAAATGAAAGCCTTGGATTGCCTGCAATGGTTATAATTCTACATAGATCATTCAAAAGGGTTGAGAGTGAATTATTGGCATGCCAAATAGCGCATGGAAAGCAAAAGATCCAACAATTCAAAAAAGGAATAAAAAATTCATTAGAGATGTTAGGCTCATGTATCATCTTGCATTCTGCATCGTGCATTTAATTTGTTTAGTACGAGACTTCTAAAATCCTGGCCAGCTTTGCAAAATCTTATTAAGATCAAAAGATTTTTATTGCTTTTTTTTAAAAGGAACAAATTTTAAGTCACAGGCTCACCCCTTTTATGTGTAATTGGAATCGATGTTGTAGATTTATGGTACCAATTTTCTTGGTGAATTCAACGAAATCCAACAGTCCTTAGGTTATACAGTTGTCAGTGTGAATGGAAAATTTGTCGCTGAAATTGATCACACAAGCTCGGGCTGCATATATAAGCTCCTAACACAGTTTGTTAGTTGCACATTCTCATATTGTACACAAGCCAAAAGAAAAGCAAAAATAAAATAACTAGCATAGCATCTATCAGGTGACTGAATTGTACTCAGAGGAAAATAGCCAGTTTAACCATTTGCTCAAAAAATATCTTTAGTTGGGATGCACTAGTGAACTTAAACTATATATGACTACCGTCCACAATGCTAAGTTAATGAAACCTCAGCTTCCAGAAATCACAGGCTATTTTCTCTGTGGTACACCATGTTTCCACAGAGAAAACTAGACCCCAGCCATAGACCAAAAAAATATTCAAAGAAAGTGTCAACACCCAGCAGTTTATTTTAAATGCAGAAATCACTAGAGATCTAACCCCTTCCAATTAATGATTGCAAGGTATGCATAAAATATGGGGCGCCGTTCAAACCACCAAGAATTCTTGCCAAGCATGATATAAAAGAATGAAAATATTTCCATCTTTCAACCATTATCATTAGATCACATTAAACTTTCCTATCAATCCACAATTTGAAAACAATAGACTGAATAATTCCAAAACTTTGTTCTTGACTGTTTATGATACAAGACACCAGTACACCACTAGATGCCTGAACATAAGTGAGAGTGAGAGAGTGGCCATATTAAAACATAAAAGAAGAAAAGGATGAAAGCAAGAAATACTAGCTTTAGCATTCATTTGAATATCCTATCTCAAGAAATACTAACAGAAAAAGAGGATGAAAGCAAGAAATACTAGCCTTAGCATTCATTTGAATATCCTATCTCAACTTTAAACACTTTTAGTATTGGCATCAGAGACTAGCACAATAGTATAGATAACTAACAAGTTAGATCAATTTCTATAATCTGATCAAGATCAAGATGCCAAGATTATAAAGTACATTTTCTTCATGAGTTCTTTTTTTCAAAAAAGAAGTTTGGAGAATCCATTTACATGAGAAATTTACATATGGTCAATTTCAAGACAAGTTATAAAACAGTTACATTACACTGATAAGCCATCGAACATGGAAGCAGTTGAAGTTTAAGATGCACAATTTCAATGCCCTAAGCATTTTCAAGTGGCAATGTTCAGGGAAGAAAATGTCTTTTAAAATTCACCCATCAGCCACATAGATCTTCCAAACACTCCAACCCTTATTTAGAAGTTTATAACCTTTACTGAGCAGTGTACATCAGCTTTAAATCCCAGTCAAGCTGTCACATTACTGCTAGCATTATGTTTCACCATCAATTCCATTCACAAAATCTGAATTCATAGTCAGGCATGCTGTTCATGGTAACTTGTAAGATATTTAAATGATAAACAAATCAGCCCATTGTGAAGAAATAACAATATGAATGGTTAGAGAGCATGTCACTTCAAAGAAAACACGTCAAGAAGAAAATCACAGGTAAACCTCTGTTTAGTAAATGTTGATGTGCATCTGACATCATGTCAGGAGACTCTAGCTTAGTAGATAGAAGCATCAAACCTTGGCTCATAGAAACAAACTTGATTGTTGTATGACTGAAGAGCACACCCACCAATCCAAGACCAGATCTTTTTATCCACGTCATATAGAAGGCCCTTCCCTTGGTTCCAAGATGTGAAGCATATTAAATTATCCTGCCCGAAGCATTCAAATCTCTCAGCTGATAATCTCAATAAAGCACGGAAATACCGTGAGGGCATCCTACTGATCTCCACCCATGTAATTTCATTATGATCCAATTCCCAAATTCTCATACTCTGTAGAGTACTGTAAAGGCCAATCCTTCCAACAAGAAAAAGACGCTTCTGGGTACCAGCAACCAAATACCCATCCAGTAATGAGCGTGGAAACTTTGCTGGAATATGTTCCCAGTGACCTGTTTCTAGTCTATACATCATCAAACCAAGTGGTGAAAGGGTTTCCAAGTACAATCTGGAGTCACAATATGCCATCTTTGAAGAGCAGAGATTAACTGCCGGCATAATCTGATGAACTGACCAACTGTCTGTTTTTGAGTCATAAATCTCAGTTGGCAATGACTTGTCACCATAAATATCACTAGTGGCAATCACTTTAAATGACCGATCTACCCGATCAACAACCAATATCAGTTGCCTTTGCTGATTATAATGCATACTAGGCAATGCCCTCCAAGTTTGTGTGAGGGGGTTACAAACCAAGGTCTTAAACGTTAGCCCATTGTGACCAGAAAAGCAAACAAGACCACCAGAGGAGCCAACTAACCAGAATGCCCACTGTGGCAAAAATGAGAAAGGTATTCTATACCAAGTTTTCAGTGGCAAGCTGAAGACTGAAGATTGCGGGATCTGCGTGTTCTTCCAAAATGTAAGAAGACAAGGCCCATGTGATGGCACACTGGAATGGAATTTGAGAAAAGTACTATCTTGAAGCAGTGAATTCCACCGTTTACATACCGATCGAAGCCGAAAAATCAGAAATGGAGGGACCCTAGCTAAGATCTCATGCAACAAGTCCTCAGGTAACATTGCCCATATACTATCCTCCATTTGAACATCAACATGCACTGCCTTACCAAATGTGGCAAGTGTTTCCTCATCCAAACCCCTTGGCTTGGTCTTAACAACCTTCTGCCGTGAAGGGCTGGTGTTCCGGGACACAGCACGGCCCATTGGACTAGTATTCCTTGATCCTCCACTCCTTGGAGAGGAAGCTTGCTTACAGCATCTCCCATCTCCACCAAAAACTCCATTCTCTACTGATTGAGCAATACACACACTAGACCCTGATTCAGAAGAATGCCCAACACAATCCATGTCCTCTAATTCCCTCAAATCCCCAGATTAAACAAAATTTCAGATTCAGACCCCTATTCCACCCTCACACCCACCAAACAATCAAGACATTTAATTGTTTCAACCACATATACCCCTAGGCTCAAAAATCTGAAGCAGACCCAAAAATTCACCCCGGATCAAGATCCAAAATTCTCATTCACAGTCAAAATTAAGAATATTTCCAAGGCCTTGATAAACGTGTCAATAACTCAATTGAAAAAAAAAGAGATCATTTTTTTAAGCAGAGAACGGCAGAGTGTAGCTATGGTGGGGTTGAACATAAACAATTACCTCAGAATTTGGAACCATGCAGCTCCAATTGATGAGAAAAAAACTTGATAGAGCTCGAAGAATAGAGATTCTGACATCGACATAGAAGAAGGAACAACCTAACTAGGTTCAGGTTAAAGTCTCTCTCTCTCTCTTCGGCTGGATTTGATTTACTTTGTCACTATTTGACAAAGGGAACAACAAAATTCAATATTACTATAGCAGTCCCTGCTGTGTTCAGGTCCACAATACTTATCCGTAACATGTCGCCACGTCAGCATGTGATATATTATTGATTTTACATCCACTATATTATTTTTAAGGAGATAAATTTATATAATTAAAGATGATTTTTTTATTTAAAAGTATTTATTATTTTGAGAATATAAACTATAATAAAAATTTTAAATAAAATTATTTTTAAATATATAATATAAAATTTGTTTAACTTTAATTTATTTAAATGAATTATTTTTTTCAATGGCTGATTTGATTTCTCTTATTTTATACTGATATGAATAAGAAATAAGTATGAATAATTATAATCATTACTCATTGATTAGAATAAGAGAAATATAGTGTGTATATCTAAATGGGATATTTAAAGATGTTCTTTTACAATTGTATCAATTTTTATTAGTTTAAAAAATAAAACTCTTGGAATAACAATAAAGTAATCAGCAATTTTGTGTATGATGAGTCTATGATTATCATTCAATTTGTATAGGGTAGGATCCACTAACTGATTGTCACTCGTGATCAATGGGAACAGAGATTAGTGTAGAATATTACATATACTAAAAAATAAAGTTTTGGTGATGGTGGGGTTTAATGTTGGTGATCATTGTGATAATCCACTAACCTGTGGTTGCTCATTGCTCAAAGCAAAACTTAGGGAAACTGTAAAAAAAATTTATAAGAAAATACAAACTGTGTGTTTGTTTCGTTGTTGATTTTATGGATAGATTATTTTATTTATTTATTTATTTACGTTTAAATGAATAGTTCTTGCATGTTCATCGTGCATTTATTTAGTTTTAACGAGTATTTAGACACTTTGTACACTAAAGTAATGAAAATAAATAAAACTTAAAAAGCTTAGTGGATGTCCGTTTTTTAAAAAATTATTTTTTAAAACTTCTATTTCAAAAGAAAGATAAAAAAAATATATTTAGTGTATATTATTTGATTATATATTCACAATAATAATAATAAATAAACGAACAAACATAATGGAAAAGCATTGAACAGCGCACCCTCCATTTTCACACTACCAAAACCTTTACTTTCACTCCATGCCATTATATTTACAAATGCACGAATAAAGGAACAAAAGGAGCGATTAAGAAAATATATTGTTATTTTTTAAAAATAAAAGCATTATAGTATAAATATATTTCAATAATAGAATTATGATTCATAGCATTAAAACAAATCTACCAAACAAAATAAATTTTTAACCTCACTGAATAATTAAAAAGTTTGACATAATTTGAGAAGCCTAATATTCACAAATCACATCAATCAAGTTACTATTCACGGTAATACTCATCACAAAACCTAAGTTTAATTATTACACTTGACACAAATTTGATTCAAAGCCAAGCATAACTAGAATCTACAATAGTCTATGGCTACCAATTCAACAAGATTCAGTGCTTCAGCCGCTTCTGACATTGTTTTTTAATTGTAAACAGCAACGCCAACAATTTATCAGAACTAATATTGAAAGATCATTTAATCACATTTGCTTTATATGATCATATCATTCAAAACAAATAAATTCTCTGTAACGAGATGAAATAAATTACGTACAAAAGATATCGATGTTTCTGATTAATTTAATTGTTTTTGGTTGAAACTTTAATGAAGGGTCTCAGAATCTCAACCAGATTCCTGATAGTCATGATGACCCTTTCAGTTTTGCTTCCACTTTAATCTCCCTTTTCCCAAATTTTTTAGATGTAAAAAGTGTGCACGTATCTACGGACATATACGTAATACATATTCGTATATAAACAAAATGAATAAAATAAATGTTATATTATTAAGATTCTTATAAATAATAAATTCTTTATTTAAATATAATTATACTTATTGGCCTCCAACTTGATATTAAAGATTTAGTTGAAATGACTTATCAATTGAATATCTATATTTGTATACACATAAAATATATTTAAAATTATTTTATGATGAGATAAATTTTATTTTACATTTTTATAATGATATTTTTAATATATTAATTTGTAATAATATCATACAATATTAATTTATATTATAAAATATTATGACATTTTTTATACTCAATATATATAAATATTTATGAATGCTCATAAATACTCGCTATGCTGAGGGATTATTACCCTAGCCCATTCGACCCTCGACATTCTTAGTTATTTATTTTTTTCTACTTCTTAGTTTTTTTTATCGTCGAAATAAACTACTAGAATTTTTATTTTAAGTATGAGATAATTATTTTATATATTTTATTATTCATATAATTATATTGTTGTTTTATGACATATATTTTATTCATGTAAACAAAAATTTATTGTTTGATTTTTTTCATTAATGTTGAAATTATTTAAAAAATATTAAATATAAACTATCACTGAAATATACTCCTTCAAAAATCATAAATATTTTATATTTACTTATATTTAAAAAAAAAAACAAGTAGAATAAAAATACTTGGTAGCTAAAAGAAGAGTTTAATTATGGTGGAATTGTGAATCATGTAAGAATATTTGTTTGCTAGTGGCACTAATTGCAACAATAACACGTGACAATGAGAGTATTGGAAAGCAAATTGGCCACACCTACAATTCTGGCAAGTAGGTGGCAGCATAGTATTAAGATAAGAAGCTAAAACCTTGTAATCAAGCTATGAAATGAAGTACTCTGTGACCCAGAGATCAAGTACCATTCTGATAATTCAATTTCGCTACTTCAAAATATTGTTTAATTAAAGAAACACTTCACATAAGCTTTAAATCTTTAATTATAAACAAATTTAGTTATGAACCATTATTTAACATTTGTTAAGAGAATCCTATCTTGATTTGGATGCAATGATTTAATAAAAAGAAGAGAAAGTAATTTAGTATTAAAAAAATGATTTGAAAGGAGAGAAAATAATGGAGGGAAGAAAAGCATAAAAGCACGATGAGAAAAATGAAAGTGATGATAGCATGCCCCCAAGGGGACACGTGTTGGATACTAATAGCGTGTGAGTGTCACCAAATAGCAATGCTTCTTCAAACATCACCATCACCATCACCCAATTCACACACTCACACGTGCTCCTCTCTTCTCCTTTCACTTCCCTTTTTATTTTCAAATTTCGACAATCAATAATTATTAATTAATTAATTAATGGGGGCAGTGACGTCGTCGATGGCCGCCAAGTTCGCCTTCTTTCCGCCCAATCCGGCGTCTTATCGGGTGGGGGTCGACGAACTCACGGGGAACCCTAAGATGACCGGTTTGAACACCAGGGAAAACGTCGATGTTTTGAAGCTCTGCACTAAGAGAGGAAACAGCATCGTCGCCATGTACATCAGAAACCCTTCCGCTTCGTTGACCATCCTCTATTCTCACGGTAACGCCGCCGATCTGGGTCAGATGTACGAGTTGTTCTCCGAACTCAGTCTTCACCTCCGAGTCAACCTCTTCGGGTCAGCACTCGCTCGTGTTTTTTAGTTTTTTTAAATTTCTTGTTATTTCGCCATTTCTTAATTTTATTTTTGTTTTGTAGTTATGACTATTCTGGCTATGGACAATCCTCTGGGAAGGTAAACGTGCTTTCTGTTGTTTCAATTTGCTACTTTCTTACTATTTTGGGGTTTATTTATACGGTTTTCTAGTTACAGCTCCGTAATCGTTGGAGTGTTCCTAATGATTTGACTGCAATGTACTGCGATTACTCATTTTGACAGAGAGAGATTTGGATGGCGTAATGCTCCTTTAACTTACTATGTTTGGAGGGATATGAAGATATATATTTTTTAAATTAAGTAAATATTTTCCTTATTTGATAACTTTTTACATGATCAATAAATTGAAATATTATTGATTTCTTTTTATAAACATATTCCATATATATATATATATATATATTTGCTAGGATGTGTCTAGATAATTTTGAGTTTGCTTAATATTTATTATTATCCTCGTATTATTAGTTTGAGCCGAAAATAGAATAACTTTTATACTTATTTTCCTCTCATATAGCCGCACATCTTCATCGTATTATGATAGTACGTCTTATGGATGGATTGAAATCGAATCAAAGAGTTTTAGTTTGCTGAATTATTTTAGTTAATGCTAAAATTTCTTTAATTGACATTATTATTAATGAATTGTTTATATTCATCATTCGAGAAACGTTTTTATTGATTAAATTAATTTTTAATATTTTGTCAAGTGTAAAGTTTCAAATTATTGTAATTCATATTTTTTTACCTGTAATTTTTTTTTTAAATTTATATTTTCACATTAAAAATATTTTTTTAAAATTTTCTTTTGATTAGATAACCAATTAAAGAAAAAAAAATGATTGGATATTGAAAACATTAAGACATATGTTGTTGAGCAAGACAAATGGTTGCATGAGAAGGGAAGTAGGTGCGGCGGATGTCCTCTTAGGTGTAAAGATTATCCCAAATTCAATAATGTCGAATTTATAATATAGGGTGGCTTATTGCTTCTTTTTGAGCCATTATTTTCAGATAATTATAACATTGCTTAATATTTGTTCGAATATGAGCGTGAGTTGAACAATGTAATGTTTTTTGTACAGCCTAGTGAGCAGAACACATATGCAGATATAGAAGCTGCATATAAATGTCTGGTAGAAATGTATGGAGCAAAAGAGGAAGATATTATTCTGTATGGACAATCTGTTGGCAGTGGACCCACTACAGATTTGGCTACTCGTTTACCAAACCTGAGGGCTGTGATTCTCCACAGTCCCATCTTATCTGGTCTTCGGGTCATGTATCCTGTGAAGCGGACATACTGGTTTGACATTTATAAGGTTTAGTCTCTGCCAAAGATAAATTGGTTACTCACAATGTTCAATTTGGGTCTGCAATTATTTTTTTTCACTACTTCAATTTTATGATGTTTTCCTGTTTTTTTGTGCAGAACATTGATAAAATTCCCTTGGTCAATTGTCCAGTTCTGATAATTCATGTGAGTATACTTGTTTCTATTTAATATACGATGTGCCATTGGACAGAAGGGATTAATAGTTTTATGCAATGGCATTTTTCTAGTTTTCTGTTACATCCTGCTTTGGATTACACCTAATTTTCTTTTTATACATACCCTCGTCATTCTTGGTAATAAATTGACTGAACCTTATTCAGCTGTATTGGTCTGTTAATATTATTTGGAGCCATCTGATTAGAAATTTCTCCCTCAGCATTGAGAAATCCTTGACCATTGTCTTTGTCGATGCCCATCTAGGCCTCTTATAAGTACTTTTCAAATATTATGTATGTGGTTGTGTCAAGCATGCCCAAGTACATTGATGGGAAATTGGAACTAGAAGTCTATAATGCTGTTTTAATTGAAAATATCTATGATTTCCTTCTTCTGCTACCTGCTGATGTCATTGTGATATCAGTATAAGATAAGGATTATATGCTGCCCAAGCTTTCTTACTAAAATGCACCTCAGTGATTGGTAGACTATCATACATCACTTGCTTGCACCAATATGTTCCTATAATCCTTTAATAGATCGATGATAGGTTGATGTTACGGTCATTCACTGAAACTTTCTGATTGCCTTATGGAATAAGGAATTATTATGGTTTCTAGCTCACTCTTCACATAACATGAAGTTTACTTCTTTTTTTCCTCTTATTTTTGTTATTAGCATGTGGTTCAGATTGGAAAGAGAGAGAGCCTTAAAACTTTAAATTGTACATTGATGTATCAATGTCAATTCACTTTTGTTATTTCAATCAATTAAAAAAACAAGTTTTGAATGTTTCATGTGGAAACTATCTGCAAATGTCCATTGTCTTTACTCTGTAAGCTAATAACTATCTATGGAGATTACCATTACTAAAAGGTGTAATGAATTATCACTCTTGCACAGTTTTTCAGTGATTTAGGTTCTTACATGCAGTTCATAATTGCAAATCATAAAACTCACATTATGTTAGCATATGCTTTCCTATGTTGTTTGCACTAGTTTAAAGCATACTTAATGTTTAATTAGGCTATAAAATGGAAATTATCCTTAACGTTTACATATTTGAACCTGTTAATAGGTTAGAATTCTTTGTTCCCTGATCGAGTGTTTTCTTACATGCCTATTCAATAGCCTAGTGCAATCGTTGCATAAATTTCAACTTTCAAGCCTGTTTATATATAACTAAGATGGTTCCTTTGTGTTGGCATATGTACCTTTCAGGGAACAGCTGATGATGTAGTAGATTGCTCCCATGGCAAGCAACTTTGGGAACATTGCAAACAAAAGTATGAACCCCTATGGGTTAAAGGAGGAAATCATTGTAACCTGGAGCTATACCCTCAATATATAAAGCACCTCAAAAAATTTATTGCAGCTATTGAGAAGTCATCGCATCAAAAAACTGGATATGGACATGTTCCTGATCAACTGGACAAACCACGGAGTAGCTCGGATTTTAGAGAGAAACCTAGACCCAGCATGGATTTAAGGGAGAATTTGAGACGTAGCATTGACTTGAAGGAAAAGCCTAGGGCTAGTACAGACCATAAAGAAAAATCAAGAGCTGGCACAGAAAGGAAAGATAAATCAAGAAAGAGTATAGATCGCCCTGAGAAACCATATAATGGAGCAGACATTCCTGAGAAAGCTAGAAACAGCATTGACCGGTCAGTTACAGACCATGTCCAATGTGCTAATTTCATTTGTGCTAATGTTGTTTCTGACTCTGACTATTTTTCTACATTGTGATTGCAGTTTTGGGGAGATGGTGAGATCAGTTGGATTATGCAATATTGATTGTTTCAGGCCCACGGCAACTCATGCATAAAGATGACAAAGCTTGTATTCTTATTGATTATTTGATTGGTTGATGGGTTGTATGGGTGATAGAAAATGTTCTGTTGTGTCCGATTTATTTTCTAAAGTAATAGATGAAAAAGTATTTAACCGGGTAGATCATGTGCCATTAAATCTTCTAAGTTCATAATCTAACCTGTGTCTTTAGCATGCTAGCATAGTCCGAGTAAGTGAGTCTATTTTTTCAGTTTGGTGTTGCTATATAAACAACGCTTCACTCGGACAAAAAGTCAAGTTTTGCACTATTAGATTTACTTCTGCACTTTTGCAATGTTACAGCAACATTTTCCAGCACGAAAACATATTTTATCCAACTGCTCTGCATTACTGTTGTTTCTTTGATGTTTTCTATTAAATATTGTTCATATAGAATTTTCCTATGAAGATGTGGTACTCTCTTGTCCGCTTCCTATCAAGGGTCAATTTGATTTATATTAATGTATAAATTGTTGAGATTTAGACTTATTTTAACTATTAGGACATAGGTTTCAATAAAATAAATATTTTATGTAAAGTGTGCAATGATACACAATAAAAAAGTTTTTATTACGAGCATTTAAATATACGTTAAAAAACTTATAAACGTGGATTTAATGCAAAAGTAACTAATAATGTTGAAATAAATGTGAATTCATGATTAATCAAACTTAAAATTAAACATGTATTTAATCTTATCAAGGCATTGACTTTTTGTAATTTTTAATTATTATTATTATTATTATTATTATTATTATTATTATTATATATATATATATATATATATATTGTGCTATTGAATATTTGATATAATATTTTTCAGAATAATTGGAATATTTAATAAAAGATTAATGCTTTGATTTTGGAATTTATATATTTATTTTATGAACACTTAATAATAAATTCTAAAAACGCTTTTTCGTAATCTTTAAAATAAAAAGTCCTTAAACTAGTCTGTTATGGAAAATTCATGGTGCATAACAAACTAATTTGATAAATATGATCCAATATGACTTCAATGAGTCCAAAAGAGGCGAGATCATTGTGGTGCACCGATCAAATTGGTACAATATTGGTGCATTCAAGATTAAGGTTTCATTTGAACATTGTCAATGTTGAGTTTCAACAGTGTATCAGAATTTTAAATAATTTAACTAATTAAAATGAGAGATTAAATTAGATATTTTTTAAATATTTGTTTTTACTTAAGTTGTGAAATTTTTATATTTTAGTGAAAATGATATTTGCCTTTAAATTTTGTTTAATTTTTTATGGCTTATATATGAAATTAAATAGGTCAAGAAGACTCAATTTAAAACACAGTTCTTGGTAAGAGTTCTAGAAAAATTTAACAATTTTATAACAAAAGAGTTAACTTAAAACAAATATATTAAAAAACTAATAAACATAAAGAGTTAAACGACAAATTTAAAATAAACAAGTCAAAGAAACAAATTCATAACCTTATCTATCTTTTAAGTAATAAAAATATTTAATGACATTTTTTGTCAAATTTATTTTTACCAAATATTATTAAAATAATACTAATACGATACCCTTTTAAATAAAGAATAAACACAAAAGAGTGAAAAATGAAAGGGGAAAATAACCAAGGAAACATCAATAAGAATATTATTAGCACATCTTTTTAATTTTTGAGTAGCTGACAAATAACCGAAGAACACAAAAAATACTATTCTTCATACTTAATTGCATTTTACTTGGGAAGAAATAGGTTGAAATGGATATTGGGGTTGCCATGCATACAAAAACACGACACTCTCAGAGGGAGAAATGGAATTGCCATTTTTGAGAAGGCATTCACTACCAGAAATGCTCAAAATTGATGGATCCACTGATTCATATGTTTGAAATCCATTGCATTTGAGCTTCACTTGATACTGAGTACACCTACAATTATTAGTGATGGTCACTTTCCACACTGGCATGCCATGTGCCCATTTTTCTGTTCTTAATTGACCAATGCTAATGTTCTCAAAAGAACAATTATCCCCATAAGCTGCAATATGAGCAATAAATTAAACATTAAAAGGTAAAATAAAAGATTTTTGACATCTTTAGGACACAAACTAAAACAATAAAATCAGCTTACAAGAATAATATGATATGTTAAGTTTGATAAAAATAAATAAATTTATTATGATTTTTAACAGTAAAAATTACCTATTAAATTAGTTAAAAAAAACACTGATTAGTAAAACTAAAAGAACATACACATAATTTCAATAAAAGAATGAAATTACCTCTGAAAATTATGAGAAGGGAGAAAATGATGTAGAGAGATTTAACGATGGAGGCCATTTGAGATAGCACTAGTGTTCTAACTCTCTTTCTCAGCTGAGAAAAAAGAGTTCATTGTCAACCAATATATAGGGCCACTAATAATAACCCATTTAAGGAGTGATTTACCTGAATTTAATTTTATTGAATGAGTTAAAAGGTAAACTAGGAAGCTGCTAAAAAAATGCAGAATTATTTGATTGGAAAATCATTACAATAAATTTACACTATAACTAGTAATACACCACATTAATTGTTAAAATTAGAAATATTAGGTGTTTTAATTTTTAAAAATATTATTTTATTTATAAACTTATCAAATATGTAATAATAATTATTTAAAAATTAAAATAATTATCATTTTTTAATTTCATGAACTAAATTAACCTATATATGCCATATAAAAATTAACCAAAATTAGAAATTTTAATTCTATTTTGCATTAATTTTCTGCATTTTCCAGTGAGATTAGGATCAGCAATTACTCTGTTTATTTTACCCACTCTATTTTCTAAACTTGCAAGGGATCAGATAAGTAATCAGCATTAAATACAAATTATAATTTTAATTTTTAAATTAGAATTAAAATTATAATAGGTATTTATAATAGTCCATTAAAGTTAGAATTTGTAGACTAAACCACTTATTTTTAAAAGAGTATGTTAACGAGTTATAATTTAAATTTTTTTAAATATAATTTGTTAAAATATTTATTTTATTTAAAAATTAATAAATATCTTCCTTTTTTTCATTATATATATATATATATATATATATTTATATAAATAAATATGAGTGATAAAATTATATTAATATGTTATATTAATTATTAATAATAAGGTTTTAATTACAAAGAAAAATATAAATATGAATAAATTATTAATGATATATTTTTTATTATTAGGTATATGATGTACAATTTCATTATTGGAAAATTTCAAGTCACAGGAGTTTTTGAGTCGTAGGTAATGAGTTTTTCGTTCTCACATATGATTACATTATTTTAGCATGAACTCAAAAGTTTATGCACTCTTAATTCCATCAATTTTTTTACTTTTTTCCTTCTATTATATATTTTGCTAAATGTTAATGTTAATTGATAATTCTTTTATCACGAACTTTTTCTAATAATTGAAGGCCATGTCTGAAAAAGTTATTGACCAAAATGAATATAATGTCTCAGTAGGTAGAGTCAAATTTTATATACTAGTATTTATTTTCTTTATAGTTATCCTTATAAATTTTATTTTTTTATAATTTTATTTTAAAAATATAATTGTATTTCAACATTTAAATAACAATATGATATGCTATGCAAGATATATTTTTGAAATATAATTGATTAAATTTTAAAAAAATGGAATAATGAGAAAAAAAATTTAAAAATTAGATGACAGTAAAATTTTTTGTTTATATAAATACTACACCTTCAACTTATATATATTTGTGATAAGTTTCTAGAATTTTTTTTAAAAAATATCTCTTAAGATTTTTAAAATTTTTAAATATCTCTCAAATGTTCAAACTCTAGATTTTTCTACCACAATCATTTGTCTTACATGTTGTAAGATTTTTATTACAATTATTAAGAGTTTTAGTTATTATAATTCTCAATAAGATTTTAGAGGTCTCTTAATAATTACTAACATAATCTTCATTTTCTTTTATAATATCTAAATGCTACTTTTTTTATTTAGTAGGTAAAAATGTAAATATATGATTACAACAATTAAAATACAAAACTTAAGTGTAATCTCTTAATAATGAACTATTGTTTTTTAATTAAAATTTTATTACATAAATCTAATTTAAATTTTAATATCAATTTTTTTTTTACAAATCATCAATAATTTTTTTATTAGAAAATAATACTATAAATAGTTAAAATACTTGATTAATACAAGAGATATACAGGAGATTGAAAAAAAAATAAAAAACAATTTAACTTTTAGTTTAGACAATTTTTTTTAGTAATCATATAAAAAAAAGTATATTTTATAATTTTAATTTTTGTTATTTTGAGGTACTTGGTGTTGATTGTTTTTAGCAATGTTGTAATTGTAAAACTATGAGGGAATCTAAATTTTTTCTAGTTTGTAAGAGAATTAGATATTAAGTTTTTTTTTTCTTAAGCAAATTTTGTGTCGCTTAAATAGTTTAATGAGAATATGAAGCGAATATTGTATAGAAAGCAGTCTAAGGAGTAAATGAATACAGTAATCACTTAAGGGAATAATACAAATGCGAAGTAAAAATTAGATAAGAAACATAATTTCAAACCTTAAAATTGTTTAAGCGAAGTACAAAGTTTAAGCAAAATTAACTTCACTTAAGTGAGAGTGATTTGCCTTAAACAAAATTGGATAGAAAGCATACATTTTCATACTATTCAAAATAGTTTAAGCGAGGCAAATGATTTAAGTAAATTTTACTTCACTTAAGCGAGAGTAATTTGGTTTAAGTAAAAATTGGACAAAGGGTAATGTTTAACAATTTATGCAAAGTGGATTTTAAGTGAATACATAATCACTTAGCGGATTATGTGGCGCTTAAGTGAATTTAGATGCACTTAAGCAAATTTAGATACGCTAACCAAAGAAAAATTAGATGGTTAATAAAGATGTAGAAATTAACTTATTCATTGGTAAATGAATTAATATATACCTCAAAATGTTAGATTTGTAATTGACTTCTTATTGGAGCATTCTTTTTCTTTATTTCCTTGTAGTTTAACTCAATTTTTGAATCATTTATACATATTCCTCTTTATGCTTAGTCATTGCTTGAAATTCTTTAGTTGTGTATCATCATCAATCACCAATGTAGGGCATTATGGTCAATGTGAGTCTTTGTATTTTGTGCTTGTAATCAAAGGTGTATGATTTGACCACATGCAACATTTACACTTTCATCCACTATATGAGAGTATTCTTTTAAATTAGATACTTCTAATGCAAGTTTAATCATTTAAAAACTAATTGTTGGTGTCATCGTATAACAAGTTTAGGATCCCCTCAACCTCTATTCTTTTGACATTTTGTATAATGCTATAACGATTTTTTCTTGTCCATCTCTTAAGAATATATTTTTTAGGAACAATTTTAATGTTATTTTCTTCAAAACCTTCAATGTATAGGAACAAAGTATATCAAATGTTTTAAACTCCAACTACAAGATATAAACTTTGAGGCATGATCAAATAATACTCTAATTGATCTCTATTAGTTGATTATAATAATGATATTTTTAAAGATAGAGAGAAATTCAATCTTTTCTAAAATATAGCATTCTAAGGATGAAGTAAATTCTCATTGGAATAGGTTAAATATAATATGTGTGTAAATTTTGTCCATTTATATTAGTATAATAGGCATTTCATATCTTAATATTGCAAGTTTATGGTAGGACTCATACTCACAAATTAGTTTATTATAATGCTTATCTTCAACAACACACTCAAAGTATGCAAAGAATTGTTTAATATTAATATCATACTTCATACAAGCTTTGAAATCATAATTTACACTTTCACTTAGTTAATAATGCTTTTTTTTTTCTTTACGGCATATAGTGAGTTCATCTAATTATTGTCGAGAACATTGTACTCTTGAACAATGTTGCTCTAAGCTTGCTCAATGTCATTCAATATATCAAAGTCATACATGCATTTTTTTAAGTCTCTTAAAAAAAGACTTACACTCTTCATTAAATTACGAATATATTTTATTCCATTTTACAACAAGTATCATGTACACAAAGCACGATGTGTCTTAGGCATGACTTCCAAAAGAGTCTTGGCCATGACTTAATTTTGGTTAATAAATATAGTTACTGATTTATTTTGATTGTGTGCTTCTAATAATGTATCAAGCAACTATTTAAAATATTATACTATTTTATTATATATCAAAGTTGCACCAAATATCATAACATCTTTTGTAATGGTTAAAATATAAGAGCAATGCTAAAAATCTATTTGTACAATTAGTGCAATATGTAGTATTCAAAATTTTTTTTTTACCAAACTATGCATAATCTAATGGGCAATCAATGTCAAGGGTTGCAATCAATGCATTGTTGGAAAACTCTCTCACCTTATAAAAAGGAGAGCTTAGCTACTACCAACAAAGGAGACATTTTACAACTGAATTTTTGGATGACAATATAGTTGAGATATTATGCATCCCAAACAAATCCTATGAAACAAATCAACAAGGCAAGCCTATAAAGTTAAGAGGAAGAATTTGAAGACTTTGGTACAAATTTAGACATCATTGTTGTTTCTGAGGATTGCTTTAACCACTCACACATCAGACATGTGCATGCTTCGAATCTACAACATCATAAAGAAGATCACAATCGTCGTCGCAACTATGATCTTTGAGGAAATTCATTGGTTTGTAATCTACACCTCTCCCCTTTTGTAGCTGCAACAATGTCATTGGGTTGTCCAAACTTCTTGGATGCCCAACAATCAAGTTAAAAAGTCCATCAATACTCAGTTCATAAACAATTATTGCACTAACTAATTGGAGCAGTCACATGCATCTTCTGATCCTTCGTCACCACCAACCACAACACCATCATCTATCCCCAACATGACACCCATGGAATACCACATCACACATCTTACTCAAATACAACAACAAATAGAGGCAAAGAATAGCCTGATGTTCTCTATTTAATTTTGCTTAAGCTAAATCATTCTCGTGATGTTAGTTTTGCTTGAGCTATTTGTCTTTCACTTATATTTTAAGATTTGAATATTTGCTTAAGTGATTATTGTGTTCATTTAAGCCAAATTCATTTGTCCCTTAAACTGCTTTCTATATAAGATTCATTTCATACTCTTACTATTTGTTTAAGTGAAAATTCGCTTTCCCACATAAACTAAAGAGATTTTTTCAAAAAAAGATATGATTAATTAAATTTTAAAAACAGTGGAGCAACAAGAAAGAATTAGAGAAATCAAATGACATTAAACTTTATTGCTCAGATAAATGTTACACCTTTAACTTATTATATAGTTGTGATAAGTTTCCAAATTTTTCTTTCACAAATATCTCTTAAATTTTGTAGGTTTTCATATATCTCTTAATTGTTCAAATTCTAGATTTTACATTATTATGTATTCGCTTAAACCATCTTACATAAACTATTAAACATTAGTCTTTATCTAATTTTTGTCTAAGACAAATTATTCTTGTTTAAGTGAAGTTAAATTTACTTAAACTATTTCATCTTGTTTAAGTTAAATGTGGAGCAACAAGAAAGGATTAGAGAAATAAAATGACATTAAAGTTTATTGCTCAGATAAATGTTACACCTTTAAATTTATTATATAGTTGTGATAAGTTTCCAAAATTTTCTTTCACAAATATCTCTTAAATTTTGTAGGTTTTCATATATCTCTTAATTGTTCAAACTCTAGATTTTACATTATTATGTATTCGCTTAAACCATTTTACATAAAATGTTAAACATTAGCCTCTATCTAATTTTTGCCTAAGCCAAGTTATTCTTGTTTAAGTGAAGTTAAGTTTACTTAAACCATTTTTATCTTGTTTAAGTTATTTTGAATTGTCTAAAAATGTATGCTCTTTGTTTAATTTTTGTTTAAGTCAAATCATTTTGCTTAAGCAATGTTAGTTTTGCTTAAGCTATTTATCCTTCACTTATATTTTAAAGTTTGAAATAGTATGTTATGTGTCTAATTTTTGCTTCATATTTATATTATTTGCTTAAGTGATTATTATTTTCATTTAAGGTATTATTTGCCCTTTAGACATTTTTAGATACAAGATTCGCTTTATACTCTCTGTACTTGTTTAAGTGATAATCTGTTTATCATTATTTAAGAAAAAAAATCGTTTAAGGAAGCTGAAATTTGCTTAAAAAATAAAATTACACATTCAATTTTCCTATAAAATGAAAAAAATATTTTTAAAATACGATTAATTAAATTTTAAAAAACACTAAAAAAGAATTAAAGAAATCAAATAAAAATAAAACTTCTTATTCATGTCAATGTTATACTTTCAACTTATTATATATATGCTTGTAATAAGTTTATAGAATTTTCTTTTACAAATATTTCTTAAATTTTTTAAGTTTCCAAATATCTCTCAATTGTTCAAACTCTAGATTTTTTACCATAATCATTTATTTTACATGTAAAATTTTTATTACATTTATTGAGAGCTCTAGTTTTTATAATCCTCAACAAAGTTTTAGAGGTCTACTAACATAATCTTTATTTTCTTTTAATAATATATAAATGTCACTTTTTTTTATCTAGTCCAGTTAAAAATATAAAAAAATAATTACAGAAATTAAAATACAAAATTTGAGTGTAATCTCTTAATAATGAACTATTGTTTTTAAAATTAAAATTTTATTGCCGAAATCAAATTCAAATTTTGATATCAAATTTTACTCTACAAATTATCAATAACTTATTTTATTGGAAAATAATACTATGAATACTTGATGAAACTTGATTAATTGAAGATATTTGAGATTGGAAAAACCAAAATAAAAAACAAATTAACTTTTAGCTTATACAAATTTTTGTTGGTAATCATATAAAAAAAAACAAATAAATTATATTTTATTATTTTAACTTTTGTTATTTTGAGGTACATGGTGCTGGTTGGTTTTTCAGTAGTGTTGTAGTTGTAAAACCCCAAGGCAGAGGGGGTTTTGGAGGCTTGGTGTGGTGGCTACAACATCAACATCGTTCTAGAGCTTAAGGCGGCGACACTGTCCCTTCATGAATTTGGAACACAACACTGTCACTCTATGAATTTGGATCACTCTTCGCTCTTTCTTTTTTTTCTCTTCTTCTCGTTCCTATTCCTCTCATTTTGATGTTCCACTTCAATTTTCTTGTTAAGGGATTCGATTCTCTTCAAAACCCTCTCATTCTGCAACCTACTCATTCCGACATTTTTACAAACATGTGGCGGAACGCCGCCAAACAAGCTTGTCGAGGAGTTCGCCTTCGGTTCCACCCTCCCAGGCCTCTCACTCTTTCCCAATGTTCGGTTTTTAATCCCAAAGGCGAGGTTTCGTGCCACTTGGGGAAACAAAATCATTTTGGGTATGAAAAATCTCAATTTCAATTTGGGGTTAAAGGGTATGTTGGGGTTGCTGAGGCGGTTTCTTCCACTGATATGGAGGAAGATGGTGCTGCGGTTGATGAAATTCAACGACTGTTGCAGGAGATGAAGAAAGAAGAGCTTAGGCAGGTGGCGGTTTCTTCCACTGAAGTGGAGGAAGGTGATGAAATTCAAGAGCTGTTGAAGGAAATGAAGAGAGAAGAGGAAAGGCAAGCGGGGGTTTCTTCAATTGGTGTTGAGGAAGAGGTTGCTTCAATTGATGAAATTCAAGAGCTGCTGCAGGAGATGAAGAAGGAGGAGAAGAGAGGGGTGGTTGGTTGTAGGTGGCAGGATCAGGTGACTTTGACAAAGGGGATGACACAGTCTAAGTATCACGAGCTGAGGAGGAGGCAGGTTAAGATTGAGACTGAGGTGTGGGAAGAGGCGTCGAAGGAGTATAGGGAGCTTTTGATGGACATGTGTGAGCAGAAGCTGGCACCCAATTTGCCGTACATGAAGTCACTATTTCTTGGCTGGTTTGAGCCTCTTAGGGATGCTATTGTAAAGGAACAGGAAATGTACTGTGCGGGGAAGCAAAGAACTGCCTATGCATCATACTTTGTTCAGTTGCCGGCTGACAAAATGGCTGTTATCACAATGCATAAGTTGATGGGGATGTTGATGGCTGGAACTGAGCATGCCACTATTGGCACTGCCAGGGTTGTGCATGCTGTCTGCAGCATAGGTGATGCCATTGAAAATGAGGTGAGAAATTGCGTTGATGGTATTGTCTGTGTTTCTTTGGTTTGCACTTAAGTCTTAAGTGCACAAATATGTTGATTGAAATAGATTAAATTGTTCATTTCAAATTGTTTTGAATATTGTTCTATAATATTTGGTTGGATTCCTTTATGTTAGTCCATGGGAGTGTGGAGGAAGTTCAAAAGGGTGGAGAGAGAAGGGGGGGGGGGGTTCAGGGGATATCTTGATGAGGCAAAGACCTTCATAATGACCTCTAATGTTCAAATAAAATTATGGCTTTCATCTTTTGCTTTTTTTTTTTAATAGAAAAAAGTTTACTTATTTTAGAATGCTTTTTGGAGGCAGGGATGGTGAGTAACTGGGTATCTGCAACCTTTATCTGGTTGTAACTGGGTGTGGGAATTATAAAATCGGGGTGAGGCTTCTTTGGGGATTTTTATTAGTATGAACCTGGGGATGAGTACATTACCAGCTACTCTGCCTGCCTCATATCTCCTTAAATTACATACTGATTATATACAATTAAAGTATAAGGCTTGGTAGACTTGAATATTGGCCTTTCCTAAATGCAAAATGTTCCTTCCTTTTGTCTTGGATATGTTGTTCATTTTATTCTGAATAATAAACTTCCTTCAGAATGACCCTTTATATCTGTAGGTATCTTAATCCTATCTCTTGCTATGGATGATACTTTATGTACTGCATATTGTTTGTTGGTTCAGGTTAGAATACATAAGTTCTTGGAGAAAACTAAGAAGAAAAAGGGTGATAAAGGCAAGAAAAATGAAGTAGCTGAATCTATCACTGACATCAAAGAGGAGCAAAAGCTGCGGAAAAAAGTTGTTGATTTGATGAAAAGGCAAAAGCTTGTTGCATTGAGGGGGACATTAAAGGGCCAGGATGATACTAAACCCTGGGGAGCAGTCATAAAGACAAAGGTTTGTGTAGCCTTGCCTACACGGGCTAACTTTCTCTTTTGCTGTCTATTTGCTTCTTAATAAGATGGTATCCTCTCCTCCTATTCACAGGTAGGAAGCCGTTTGGTTGAGCTTTTGATGCAAACAGCATACATACAACCTCCATCAGATCAGTTACTGGATAGTGCACCTGATATCCGACCTGCATTCGTGCATTCCCTTAGAACAGTGAAAAAAGAGTCGTGAGCTTTTGTTCTCTGACTCATAGTTATGTTTAAATTTTCCAGCAGTATTTTACATTGTTGCTCTGGATTTTTATTTTTTTAATATAAACAGGAAAACAGGCAGAAAATATGGTATTATTCAATGTGACCCTCTAATTCTTAAAGGACTTGACAGAACTGTGAGTATATTCCATCACCTTCTGTGCTTTAGTTTAAGTTTAAATTGAATTGTTCATCATTTGAGATGTCCCCATGAAACATTTTTGGAATTGTTATCTGTCAAGTTACTGGGTCTTCTATTTAGAAAGGATATTTATGTTGTGGGCTTCTACTTTTATCAATATTGCAGATCCTGAATTGGATCGGGTAGAAAAACTTTTACTTGTAATAATGGCAATGCTCTATTAGAACAATTGTACCCTGCAGATGATGAACTTAGGAGAAGAGAGAATTGGGGTAAAAAGAGAACAGGGTAGGAGGAAAATGAAAGGAGATACGACAGAATCTAGTTGGATCTAAACCTTGTCAATTTAATTCTTTCCTAGAGTCTGAACACATAATAATTCTATATATGGAGGAGCTTTAAGCATTTGTAATCCTACTTGTAAGTCAGATATTGAATTGTGAGTTTTTTATTGGGTTACTTCCTTAAATAATTCTAAAATAAACTTACTCCCTATGTAGAAAGGCCCTAAACCCTTGATCCTAGAAAAGAAAACTTCTGTGGAGATGTGCAGTTTTTGCTGCTGTGTGGTTTATTTGGTCCGAGTGTAATGCTTGCAGCTTCTAAAGTATATCTTCTTTATCTTCAAGCTGACCAATGTAGTTCCTTGCTTAGCCCATTGAATGAGATCTCCCCAGCATTATGCTCTGTGGTTCTTTTCATTGTCTATGGTGTTTTGCTAAAAGATTTTTTTGGGGCCCAGTGGGGGTCGGAGTAAGTTTACCTGCTAACCCCTGAGTTAAATGGCATTGGGGTCATGCATTTAGCCCATCAATGTTTGTTTCTTACTTTTTGTTACTTTTTTCTTCCGCCATGGCCCATAGTTTGGCTAGTGGTTTGTCCTAGGATCCTTATTTTATTAAGTCTTTGGAAGTAGTTGATTACTTGATCAGATTCGAAAAATAACATACTATATCTGAGTTGGTTGTCCATGAAAATTATCTCCTATTCTCACCTCCAGTTCTCTGATTGAATGCCACAAATTTCAATAGGTTGTTAGCTCATCTTATTGTGTATCGAAGCCAAAGTATATGTACAGTTATTTCAATTAGTTCAAATAGATAATTGCATCTTACATTATTTGTTTATTTATGTTTATACCCATCTCCTCTTCTCCATGGATTTTATAGCTCATTGATTTCTTGTTTTTATTTTCATTTTTAAACAGGCCAAAAATATGGTCATTCCTTATATGCCTATGTTGGTTCCACCAGTCAACTGGACAGGGTATGGTAACTTAACACCTTTATTTGCTGTCTTGCTACCCTTCTGTATATCAATTTTATAGTTATGACTACAAAACTTAAAAAAAAAAAAAAACTGTGAAGATGATCAGCATATTATACCCCTTAGCATGCCATTCTTTGGTGCATTTGGTTGTAGAGGAATGAGCTTCTCTTTAAGGAATCTTTTTGCCCCTAGATTTACTAAGGGATTGGGTTTTGTTCTTAGCTTCTTTGTGGTAATGCTTGGCCTGTTGTTGTTGTTGTTGTTCAAGGGTGTTACCATTCACAATTGGCTATGGGATTAGGGTACCGTCTTTAATTCCAACTGTCCTTGGTTTTCTATGTTGTGTTTTTTGGTTTTGTCTTCCTGCTATTGAGGATACTTTATGCTTGCTGCAATGTACTTGGCTTCCACTCAATTATACTATTAGCTCAGTAAACAACTGGCCCTGGCATTTAACTTCAAAATGGAATCAATATTTTCCTTATACACTATCTAGCACATGATTCAATATTTGCAATAAGTAAATTACAATCTTTCACCTTTTGGCTGAACGGCTTGCTTAAACACTGACTGCTCCATGTTCCCTGTGCTAATTTCACAGTTATGACAAAGGCGGCCACTTGTTCTTACCGTCCTATGTCATGCGTACTCATGGAGTCAGGCAACAACGTGAGGCTGTTAAAAGGGCTCCTAGGAAGCAACTAGAACCTGTATTCGAGGTCTGAATTTGTTATAGTTCTCATATTTTGCATACAATGTGTGTGTGTGTGTGTGCAGTGTGCATTCTTTTGCAGGGAACTATTTTTAACAAATGCACATATAAAACCCATGTGATCAGGCTCTAGATACTCTTGGGCATACAAAATGGAGGGTGAATAAGAAAGTACTGAGTGTTGTAGACAGAATATGGGCCAGTGGAGGCCGTCTTGCTGATTTGGTGGACCGTGATGATGTAAGTTCAGTTATTTGGTTGTTGTTTGTTTTTCATTTCTTTCTGTTTTTAATTATCATCAACTAATTAAATTATAGGTTGTTAACTTGTTCTGACATTACTATGCATAGATCTTATATGTTGACTATGGTTTGAATGGTGTTTAACTTTCTATTGTAGGTTCCGTTACCCGAGGAGCCAGATACTGATGATGAAGCAAAGATAAAGAAATGGAAATGGAAAGTTAGATCTGTAAAGAAAGAGAACAGAGAGAGATATTCACAACGATGTGACATAGAACTTAAACTTGCTGTAAGCTTCATTGAACTATATGTACATCAGTGTGTAATCCTTATTGTTTTGTCTGGCAACACAGTGACACACCCATGTATATCTATGGGTGCAGGTAGCACGAAAAATGAAGGAGGAAGAGGGTTTTTACTACCCACACAACCTTGATTTCCGAGGGCGTGCATACCCCATGCACCCACACTTAAATCACCTCGGTTCAGATTTATGCCGGGGCATTTTGGAATTTGCAGATGGACGTCCTCTTGGGAAGTCTGGCCTACACTGGCTGAAGATACACCTGGCAAATCTATATGCTGGTGGTGTTGATAAACTATCTCATGAAGGTCGCATGGCATTTACTGAAAATCATTTCGATGACATATTTGATTCTGCAGACAAACCTCTTGAAGGTAGGCGGTGGTGGTTGAATGCAGAAGATCCTTTGCAATGCTTAGCTGTGTGCATAACACTAACTGAAGCTTTAAGAAGTTCTTCACCAGAAACATTCATCTCACATATTCCAGTTCATCAGGTATTTGCATGGTGTGAATGAAGTTTGGCATATCAAAATACACTAGGGATCTTCAAAATTTTGCTTAGATTGGGTTTAGAGGTTATGATGCAACCATATCTGATAAATTTAGCACTTGGAATGGAGATCACTTCAGCTGAAATTGACCACGTTACATAGTCCCACCTCAACCAACTCTTCAAAAATAATATCATGAATTGACTATTATTCATGAATATATAGAACATTTGGGAAGTTCTACTAGGAATATATTAGGGGCTGTTTGGTTTCAAGAAATATTTTGTTTTCATTTTCAATTACAAAATTGCTAACTTGTTTTTATTTTGTATTCTGTTCTCAAATATTTCTATGAGAAACGGTAAAAACATTTACAAGTAAATTATTTCTTTTTTAAGTATTAAATTATGATTTTATCTTTCTCCTGTTGATGAGGATGAACCTTGGATAAATGGTAAGATTGCTTCCTTGTGACCTAGTGGTCATAGGTTCTAGTAACTGCAATAACCACTTTGCTCACAGGTAAAATCGCATGTATCTGCCCCTCCCCAGACCAACAATGTTGGGAGCCTTGTCTATTTTTATCTTTCTCACTTGGATGTTAAAATATATTAGAAATAAATTTTTGTATTCCTTTAGCTTTTTTCTTCAACTGGGTTATCAATAATCAATTAGCCCTGTTATGCTCATAATTATGATTGTCAACTCTCATTTTCATAATTTCTGTGTAGAATGTATCATGTTTATTGGCTAATCTCTATTTACCAACATGATTTTCTATCTTAGGATGGTTCTTGTAATGGTTTACAACATTATGCAGCCTTGGGGAGAGACAAGGTAAAGGCTGTTGTAACTTTACTTTTTCATATGGTTATGATTATCATGTTTTTAGTGAGAATCTCTTGATTGATGTTCCCTTAAAATCTTAATCTCCTATGATGTTTCTGGTTCGCATGCCTTTATTCTATTTTCTATTTTTGAATAAACTGTATTGCCAATGGGAAATGCCTTTCTATTAATATTTTATTTAACTTTTTTTTTTATTCAGTTAGGGGCTGCTGCTGTCAATCTAGTTGCAAGGGAGAAGCCAGCTGATGTTTACTCAGGAATAGCAGCTAGGTGAGTTTGTGTGTATTGTTGCATATAGCTTAAAATTTCAAATGCTAACAGTCAGCATTTCAGGTTTTTTTTAATGAAAAAGGAATTATCAGAACATAGCAGGAAAAAAATTATATAATACCCGGAACAATACAAAATACTACGTTTTTCAGCATGATTGGACCTGCGATGTTTTTTTTTCTTCTGAGAAAGTCCCGAATATTCTTCTTTCAATTACAAATTTAGGAGGGGAGAAACCGCTATGAGCATGAATCTGCCAAATACTTCTTCAAAGATTTTTCTACTGCTAAGCAGGAGGCATTTGATTGGATGGCATAAGGGTTAAGTTTGATTAGACATTTGACCCTTTTTTATATCTTGGAAAAATTTCTTGGTGGGCATGGGTGTATCCTAAGGCTCTCTTTGTAGGATGGATAGATTTCTATGTAGTTTAGGAGAAGTAATGGTTGCTTTTAGCAGTTACAGACAGCATGCCAGCTGTCTTGCATTACCTGTTGGGAGTGTTAGAATTGTTGGAAGATAAATGGTAACAGTGTTGACTACTTTGTTATGTATTTGTTAAGGAGGATACTTTGCTATGCTCTTGTTTACTTTTCATTGTAATAAACTTTCTTTTATAAAAAAATATGTTTATGGGGCTATGGTTTTTTCATTTGTGTTATTTTAGCCTGCTGTTTATATGTAGTTATTCTGATACTCGGAAAGCTCTTCTTTTCCTCTTGTTTTACTGTCCTATTTTCGCTCATGAATCTTCCTTGTGAGAGGAATGTTCTTGGAGTAAACAGCTTATTCATAAAATATATATATATATATATATATATATATATATATATATATATTTATTTATTTATGCAGAGTATTGGACATCGTGAGAAGGGATGCTCAGAAGGATCCTGCAATTTTTCCTGATGCTCATCATGCAAAGACTTTAGTCAATCAGGTTGGCTGCCATTCTTTTGGTTTAATCATATTTATACAAGGAGATTGGTTACTTATAGTTGTGAAAGAGTATATTATAGTTAGCCTGGAATCATAAACTCATGAGAATATTTCAGTGCGTAACCAATTCTAGTTGATGTTGTGCTTTTCTCTTTTCACTCTTCATGTCAACTGATTGTTGGCTGATTGTCGACTTCATATAGGTGGATAGAAAATTGGTCAAGCAGACTGTGATGACATCAGTATATGGTGTCACTTATATTGGAGCACGGGAGCAGATAAAAAGGAGGTTGAAAGAAAAGAATGCCATTTCAGATGATACAGAACTCTACGGTGCTTCTTGTTATGCTGCTAAGGTTTGATGATGACAATGACTGTGTTTTAAACATCTAGTCCCTGTTAAATAGGTATGTATGTGGTGTTTGTTTCATCTTTATTTCCTTCTCTCAGGTCACCTTAACTGCCTTAGAGGAGATGTTTCAAGGTGCACGAGGTATCATGACCTGGCTTGGTGACTGTGCAAAAGTATGTTCTGAAATTCTTGTACTAACTTGTAAACTTTTCATATTCTCATACTTGGACATGGAGAGAAAAAAATGTAATTTTTTTGGGGAGTTTTGTACTTGTGTTATTGCATGATTATGACCAAGACAGTTGGAACAGATAATTGCATCTGAAAATCAACCAGTGCACTGGATCACTCCTCTTGGACTTCCTGTGGTGCAACCTTACCGTAAACTAGGAAGGCATATTGTGAGTGCAATGGAATTTTCCTGAATTACATCCTTGATACTACTCCTGATTTCTTAGGATTTCAAGGCGCCTATAGGTTGATAATCTATTATCTGTTATTGTTATATGGATTGCAGATCAAAACTTCACTTCAGATGTTGACATTGCAACGAGAAACAGATAAGGTAAGTAAATTTAACATCATTCACGGGATTATGTATTTTGAATGACATTAGGTTCCCCCTCCCTCATAATTTTCATCTTAGCCTTGCATCTTTATATTAAAGATGAATTTTTGGACTTAGACTGGTACTTAGACTGGTTTGTTTTAGAAATGCTACAACATTTTTTTGCTGCTCACTGTATGTATATCTAAATATATTGTGTTTCATACATGCCGCAATTTTTACTGTGTATCTTTTACCCATCATCACCTGCCAATATATACCCTGCACTACAAGTGCCTCTTGGTACAGGCAGGTGCAGTTTGATATGGAAGATGCCTTAGCATGTGCCCCTTTGATTGGTTGCTGTGATTAAACATGGACATCCAACTTTGAGCTTTCTAAGCCTTTGTTTGGGAATTATTTTTTCCAAAAGCCCTAACAGGAAGCTGGTGAAAAAAGCAATAATTTATATAAAATAAACAAAACCAAATATGCACTAAAAATCCCCTTTTACCAACTTTGTATACAAATAAGTAAATATATTGTATCATGAATCCATGATATATCATGCCATGCAATTTTAAGAATTTTAAATAGCCTAATGACAATAAATGTGTATTGGTATTTGATAATGATAAGTTCAGGTTATTTTTATTAATATCAAATTATTGCACATTGAAAATATATTCATCAATTTGTGTATATAGAAATGATATCCAAAAAAGTAGTAGCAACTTTTATTAACTCTGAGTGAGAGAGTAGAATGGAAAGACACAAAATGATATTTATTGGAAACTTCACAAAATTATTATATGGTAAAATTACTCGTTTGTAAAAAAAAAGATAAAATCTCATGCATGGGGATTTGTGATTCCAATGGATTGGAATGGACTTCAAATGCCCATGCACAGATAGCATCTAAGATACCCATGGTCATCTTGCTCTTATGTATCAAGTGTGGTATTCTTTCTCGAGTATCTTCACTGTCTTGGATGGCTGGTTTCTGCATACCAAACATTTTCTAGAGTTAGTTTATGTAAATAGGCAGAGGGTATTTTTATATTCATACAACAAGTTACTTGACATTGGGGGAGAAAATTTTGATTTTTTGATTTTATTTATATTTTCCAGATTTAAATTGTAAATTTCACATTCAAATGTTCTAGGTCATGGTCAAGAGGCAGAGAACAGCTTTTCCACCAAATTTTGTTCATTCACTCGATGGTTCTCATATGATGATGACTGCAGTTGCCTGCAAAAAGGAAGGCTTGAATTTTGCGGGTATTTCCTTGATAGGGCCTTTGCATTCCCCCCTTTTTTCGTAGAAGACTCTGCTAGGGACTACGGTCAGCCCTGCCGCTAAAATGGTGCCTGGGGTGAAGGGTAATGGGAAAGGGATGTTCCATGAACTCATCAGAGGGGTGTTGAGTCTAACCCCTTATTGGGAATTTGCCAGCAAATGTCCCAACCAAATGAACTAAGCTTGTGGTTCCATATATTCATAGTTGTTATAATTATTATACTGATGAATAATTTCTGCTACATGCTTGTAGGGGTTCATGATTCATATTGGACACATGCCTGTGATGTGGATAAAATGAACAGAATACTGAGAGATAAGTTTGTCGAACTCTATGAGACCCCAATACTGGAGAATGTATGGTTTAAATGCTCATTATTTATATTCAATGCTATTTTGTCCGTAGGTATTATAATTGATTAATTATATTAGTGGTGAACTTTATTTCATTCGTGTAAATCTTCTAAAGTGAAATGACCGTAGCCTGATTAATGAATACCAGATTTTTCTTTGTGGAGTGTGTTTTGTTTTCTGGGATTTCAATACTTCTTTCTGCGTTGGTTACAAAGATGGAAATGCATGTATGTTATTTGACAAGATGTAGAATCTGGAAATTTTTTGTAAAGCTTGCAGAAGGAAGGAATTAGAGTGCCATCTTGATTTTTTTATTTGATTTAAACTTCAAATTTTTTTATCTTATCAGATATCTACACATTATTGCAAGATTTCTGACGTAGTTAATTTGTGAACAGTTAGTGGTCAGCTTTCAGAGATCTTTCCCATCATTATCCTTTCCACCCTTGCCTGAGAGGGGAGACTTTGACCTGAGGGAAGTTTTAGAGTCACCATATTTCTTCAACTGATCCCTTTCTGCTGCCTTCTGTGAGGCTTGGATTCTGTCTGTTGGGGTGTGCTGTCTCTCATGTTATGTCTGTGTGAGCAATGCATGGCAAGGACAACATATCTTCTAAACGTACTCATTATAGAGGCTATTTCAATGGCTGTATATATCTTCAAAGGCATCCACAGGAGAGTCTTGGAGGACCCTCGTGGTATGATAGTATATACGCCCGTTGATGAATGAAGTTTTTGAGGATGTACACTTGTCTTAGACGAGATATAAAGACTTTGAAGCTGGTGCAGCATTCAGGAGGCTTCCAAGGGAAAGCCCATGAGTTGAAATTTGCATTGCCTGACATTGCAGCATGCCCAATAGATTTGATTTATTAATTTGAAGGGTCTGGAGCATCATCAACTATTTGAGTAAATCTGTGACCTTGGTCAGCTCTCCCAAGTCACCATGCAAATTATGCTATGGATAGCTGCAAACCATCTTGAAAATCAACAGAAAATTTTACAGTCCATTTATTTGTACAAGGTTTTTCTTGTAAATATGACGAGAGTTAGTTATGTGTACCTACGTAAATTATATATAGATATATATAAACTTATAAAACTTTAACAAAAAAATGCATGCATTTAGTTCTCTATTTCTTTTGGCTACATTCTATTTTAGATTAAGTGTGATTTTGTCTCAATTTAATTTTCAAACTAATGTTTTGTTTTTAAATTAAGTAAACATTTAGTCTTTTATTTAAAAACTTAAAATTATTATTTTATATATAAACATTTGAGATATTTATAATGAAATTGAGATATTAAACAATTTTAAAAAAAATAAAGTAAAAATGTCAGAAAATTTGCTTTTACGGGATTTTATGGGATAAAATTGAAGTACATTTTGTTGGATAAAATTAACATTAAGCAATCATATAGGATAAAATTTGCTAATATTTTAAGCTTAATCCTTAAGTTTAAGTAAATTTGTATTTTAAAATATAATTTATTACATTAAAGTTACACTTATTTTAAATATTTATCTTTTTTTTTTTTTTACTATTATTACTTACTTAAATTCAATATTTAGAGTTAAAATTAAATTTTCTTTAAATTAAAAAGAATGAGAAAAGGAACTAATACTATTTTTTTTAAATTACTGTAGGCCGCCTTCAATTATGGTCATTTCTTTATCGATAAGCAATATCACAAGTAATTCTTAGTTCTTACATGATAAGAAAGCCCTCCTCTCAAAAGCAGCAACATACTTTAAAGAATAAATTTATAATGGCATGATGGTAGTCCTTAACTTTCCAAAGGGCAGTGGCATGCAGAATTTTTTTGGATCTAAATTGCTTTGCTAGTTATCGGAATAGGAATGGCGTGGCTACTTCATTCCAAACTTCTCGCATAAACCTAAGTCCCTCCTACTCGGATCATGTACATGCGGCAAGCATTTGATCAGGTATCAGCTAAAGTGCATCTCAATCTGCCATTACTGTAGTGTGCTTTCACCCTTCCATTTCCGTTACTACTTACAGTAGTCCCTTCCCTTCTACTTAAACGATGGAAATCACTGCGTCATACAACCAACTCTGCATTGAAGTTCGTTAATGCTGAGCAGGGTCTGCCTGATCCCTCGCCAACATATATTAAGTGAATATACAGCCTAAACTTCTTTCTTGTAATGTAGAATGCTATACATCATCCAATCTCAGTAACCATATCTATCATTCAAGGAAGTGCGTCCATCACCTGATTGTCCTGTACAAAGGAAAGGAATGTATAATCATCCAACAAATTGACAATTCAAGCATTTAGTCAGATACTGAACCAAAATGTGTTTACCTTCAGGCGGAACCCATGAATCATAATCCATCTCATTGTTCAAAAAAGACGGTTTCTCAGGCCCAAGCACTCTTTTAGGCCCCTTCCTCTCTTGGCCTTCATATCTTTCCTCATCATCATTAGCAAACAGTCCCCTTTGGTGCTTTAATAACAGAGCCACAGCATCCTCAGCCATTTGTTCCCCTGAAGTGGAAGATGCTACTTGTTGAGAGGCATCATTACTATTTGTTCCAGTTGTCTCAACCTGCTTCCGTTTCCTTATAATTAGACCAGGAGCAGCAGACTCAATTTTAGATTCCACCGAAGTCTTGGCATCACCACCACTGCCCAAAAATTTGTTCCTGTCCTTGTAGTCAACAAACTGATTGGACTCGTCTGTCTCATGCAAATGCAGAGGGGGCATCAACTGTAGGGTATTATCCTCGGTAACCCTATCCTCTACAGCTCCAAGCCATTGGGGCTTTGGGACAGTAAATACAACATTCTCATCCTCCAACTTGTCACTGCCTGGTTCCGACTTGTCCAAACCCAAAGTTGCAGTTGCAGCTTTTTCTCCTGTAGAGCCTTCTGCCTTCACACAAGTCTCACCGATTTTCTGGGTTTCCACAGGTGGGATCTTGTAATCTGCCTTTGCACAAGTCTCGCTGCTTTTCTGTGCTTCTGCAGGTGCTTTCTTCTTGATGGGAGTGGTAACTGCTTCAGATTTTTTTGGTTTGGGTTCTAGTACCTTCAACTCCCTTTTCTTGGCAGCTTCTCCTGTTGGGTCAGCAATCTTCAACAGGTAGCATATCCTATCCAGCTCAGACTGAAGAGTTGACAAATCCTTTTCAAGCTGCACACTTTTATCATACACTGACAAAAAAGAAGAAATAAGAAAGGATAGGAAGCACAAGAACCAAATTTCTATCTGCATCTTCAGACATATTATTGCACAAAATGATATAGAAAATGTGGAAAAATGAAACAATGTCTAACAAAGATTACTTCAACATAAACTAAAATGCTGTAAGCTTAACATATTTAGTAAAGGAACTATCACCTAGTTGAGATGAAAGCCCTGACATATATGCATCAAGTGAATCACCAACTTCATCTTGTGTGGCACTCTCTGATCCTGACAACATTTTGTTCTTTTCAATAACAAGCAACTCTTTCTTCTCATCCATTTCCTTGATAATGGCATCTCTCTTATCAAGAAGAGTATCTGCAGTCTCAATTGACTGGTTGTCACCAGGTTTCTGATGAGAAGGCTTTCTCTTTGTACGGTCATAAAATTCATCATCATCGTCACTGAACAACACAAGTAATTACCAAAATGTTTTTAAGTTTTGGCACATCACTATAAATGTTGCAACATGAGAGTCAAGCGAGCATGTTAAATATTGCACTTGTTTCACTCAAAAAGAACAGCATTGAACAAAAGCAGTTCAGATACTTAGTTATCTTCATTGATACTAATTTGTACCTATAATATTCTTCTTCATCTTCTACTTCACCTTTCTTCTTCCCATGAGATATCTTTCCTGTACGTGCACCAATACTTTCTCGAATACTATCATTCAGTGTCTCCTCCAAGTTTTCAAGTTCTTCTAATATCTAGCCAATTGAAAAATAAGTACATCAGCTTATCAACTTGTGTGATCAATATTTACCCAATTAACAAGATAGCTTGATGAGAAACAAATTCTAATTCTCAAACATCCAACAATCACAGAAAATGGAGAGCAATATACAAGATTTTTGTCTAATTTATTTTCTCCAACATTACCTGTGTTATTCTCTGCTCATTCCTAGCAATCTGAGTTTGTTGACCTTGTGTTAATCCACCCTGAGAAATGTCTTTAACTCGTATAGAATTTATTTCTTTCTTCATGTTAGCAATCTGCACAAAGAAAAAAGCACAAATATAGGGTAAGCCCTTAAGACTATACAATCATGGTTAATAGGGAAGTGCATTATGCGACAAGGGGGGGGTATTTCTCTGTCTGTCTTTACAAATATCATCCCTCATTTTCTGGGCGATTTTACTAATGCCCATCCTTAAGAAGATGTGTTCTGCATTCAGTTTACAAAGATATAACCCATTCGAGACCATTAACATCAATTTATGAAGCCACAATATCACTTCCTAGTTCATTCATTTAGAATATAATCTAAACAGAGATAGGGATTCTGAATCCAGTAATAGGAAAAAATTCTTTTAACCCAAAAGATAACAAAGGGTTATTGAGAGGGAAAAAAAAAAAAGCTTTGGGTATTTAGGTCTTTTAAAAGATGGTTAGTATTCTATTTGTGAAAAAGATATGATGGGGGTCCGACCACCAACCCCTATACAAAAAGTGTTTCATATTTATAGTTTTTTGTGGATTAAATATGAAAGACAAATCACAGGAAACAAAATTAACAAGAATGACTCACTTTTTCCATTCTTTTTATTATTTTCTCACGGGTTTTTTCCTGTTTTTCTGTAAGCGGTCCTTTATATGACTGCCATGTCACTTCATCAGCATCATCCTGAATTAAAATCCACCAAATTAATGAATCAGAAGACAAGACATATATAGTCAACTTGAGTTTTCACACAAGTAGATTCTAAAGTCTACACATATAATATTTTAATAGTTATTTAGGCAGTTCCAAGGAATAATCATATGTCATAATTCAAACCTCATCTTCTTCAATAGCATCCTCACCCATGCCCCATGATATACCCTCAGCATGAGATGCTTCCAACCTTGCTCGTCGTAGTGAAGCTTCCCTATCTAGCATTGCTTCTTGCATCTTCACTTCTCTCAAAAGTTTTTTGTTAGTTTCCTACAAAATAAACCCAACATGAAAAAAAATACCAAAGAAGTTAAATTACAGTAATAATCAGATGAAAAGGTTAAACTTTCATTTGGGGGGAAGAGAAAGCAAAGAAATTAAGACACAGGCACAGCCATCTAGTAAAACAAGGCAGTAATCCTACCATTGTGCTAACTGCTAAGGCTCACCCTTACACAGGCTAAAGTGTAGATAGCCCATAAAGAAGGAATATCATCTTCTGCAATCATATATTCAAAATAATAGAATTATCCTATATTGTGTTAGAAGGAGTTTCTCGAACAGCATTTTTGCATGGACAGCCTTGCTGCCAAGTTTCTTTTTCTTTTCTTGATTTTCTTTCTCAGATCACAAGAAACATTTTGTTTCTCTGTCATTAAATTTTACTTTACCATAAATGCCCTTGGTACAGACGAGTTATATTGCATTATTGCCCATCACATAAGGGGGAAAAAATGAAAGAGGGAACTATGATTTATGAAATCCTGACAAGTATACTTATTGAGGAATAATTAAATACGGTTGATAATGAATTTATAATAGATAATCCATGTTCCAAGACAAGTTAATGATTATGAGTAGATAAAATTAATTTTGATACTAGGTTTTTCCCCATTTCAAATACACCAGAACCCTGGAATTGAAATTTTTCCAAAATGAAACATATAAAATTGCTGATAATTGATAGTGTATGATTGCATCACTACAAATTCAAGCTCTACTAGATAAGCAACAATGTGCAAGAGCATATTACCAAGATAGATTGTATGCACCTATTCAATTGGTGCAAGACAAATTTTCCTCTTCCCCTTTCTATTCTATTAGAGATATAATATATTGGTTGAAGTACAAGGACTAAAAATGTAATTAAGTTTAAAAACAAATTAAAAGAAAGGAAATGTGCTCAAAATCCATGAACCACAATCACTTAAAATACTGGAATCTGAGCAACTTTTACTTTCTTGAACCCCCCCCCCCCCCTCTTTTTTTTCAAGAGAGATACTGAGACACGTTACCAAACACAATGAATTCTCATAAATGTAGTGAAAACAAAGACAAGGATAAGAAGAAGCTCAGATCTTACTGGAGGCATCAACTCAGACGGTCCTTGAAAAATGAACATGCGAGATGACCTGTAAATGTAATACATGATGAATATATAGAAAAATAAATTGAGAAAATGAAGTTCCTTGTAGATGAATATCCATTCATTCCTATCAAATTCATCTCTACACTCGCAACATTTAACAAATGTAATGAAAGACAAAAAGTGAACATGAACAACAATAACAAAAACCTTTTCTCCATCAGGTGAGATCAGTTACATAAATTAAACACATCGTATTTTGTCAAAAACTAAAAAACAAGGCTATTATTTCGGGTAGGGAAAGATCTTAGTAATGTTTCTTTCAAATCAAAATTCATCTAATCAATTGTTTTTATTGAAGCACCAGATTCTGTCATCTTTCTCCCTAATAAATTCATTAATGAGCTTATGTTTTCATTTATTGTAGACCCATGCACTGCAACATTCTCATCCCAACAACACTTATGTTCTTGTTGGCATTTCTCCACCCAACATTCAGGATTAAAAAAATTATGGAGAGCCATGAAAACAGTAAGAGGGGCGAAAGGGATGTAATGTAAAAAACTGTTTCAAAACCAATAATAACAAATATCTATCAGGAACCTTAGACTTAACTACAACTCTCCATCAATGGAACTACAGTATTGATTGCTCTTCTTAATGTTAAAGAATATTGAGCCTAATAAGGCTATAGCAGAATTTACAGAGCAAGGTACAATAAATTGTAGAAGATTGCATTAACAAAGACGGGTAACATGTACTTCACCAGAACACCACTACAACAAAAATTACAAAGAAAAACAACATTCAAGAATAACAATGCATAGTGAGAAGTGAGAACCCCAATCTCTACGCAAATTTGAAACAGAAAACTCCTTAAAAAGACCATGAGGGTAAAATATCAAATACTAATTAAAATTGACTTGTTGCACTACACAGTTCAAGTGAACTCACTGCATATCCCTTTAAGCAGCAACCACAAGCAAGCTGCAACTATTAATTTTTTAATGGCTAAATAACTACTGTTATAGATTCTAAGAGATACCAGGCACACAATTCATAATAGAGATTAAACAAATAAACCTATCACAGCATCCAAAATAATTAGAAAGAAGTAATTAATGGCTTAAGTGAAAACCAGAATGATATGGAATACATGAAAAGCCTTATTTAAGGGCATTATAAAAAAAAAATTAATACACAAATACCTACCGGCCAAATCGAATGACATCACCAACATGCAAGTCAACATAAGTGTTTTTCTCCACCTAAGCAAACAGGAAAAAGGAAAACTAGTTGTTATTCATGCTATAAAGTTATAATTATGCAGAAATTTTCCTAATGGCTGGGCTAAGCCCAAATATGTTTTATAAAATAAATTAGAACTAAGCATTAATAAAAGGTGAAAATATTAAACTAAATCTTAATAACAGTGGATATTCAATTGATTCTTCTACTTTCATCAACTTTAGATTTGTTAAAATAATGCTGGGCATAGTTAGGAACATGAAATAGCAGGAATGGGAACTCAAATCAACCATCATTTAAGAATAAGAAATAAGTGCAAAAAGTTGCAACTCACAGTCTTGGCCACAGTATATATTTCAAAAATGAAATTAGTAAGGAACCAAAGCATCACAAAAAATATTTGATGCATCAAAGATCTCATAAAAAAGTATCATCAAATTTTCATACGGATAGGAATTTCAATGTAATACCTGATTTTTGTTCAAAAAGGTGCCATGTGTACTCCCAAGATCATAAAGATATGCATCTCCACTTCTCTTAAACTGTATAACTAACAAAAGACAAATGAAAACCTTGGTAAGAATGATGGGCAAACAGTGTGAATCATTAGAATAAATAGAAAGTATTCAATAGAATCTTGATCATAGCTTAGAGTAATTTTGGAGTATCTTAGCAATAGTACATTATGATATAGCTTAGAATAGTGTCCCTATTCCACTGGTTTCCATGTTTCCTTATATCTAATGACTCGTCTCCTTAGTTAAGAATTAAGATTATGACAAAGTATTAGTATAAATAAGAGTTGGTACATTATGTTTTGCATCAAAATTGTAACACATCCTATTATTCAAGATAGTATTATTCAAAATCTCTATTCTCTCAATTTCCTGCCTCAATACCTAAAACCCAATAATTTCAACATGAATATTGAAGTCTAACCAATAAGGATACAATTTGACAACAAAATTCACAAAGTCATGCATTACTTAAATATGTTTTCAAAATGCATGCAAGTAATCCGGTCCTATTGGCTATTATAGTAGAGGACGCTGAGGTTGGTTAATATCAACTGATGTGTAGGAAGTAGTCAGTGAAACTCTAATTTTCTTGAACATAACAACTCAACTGCTTATTCTCTATTCTCCTCAAAGAATTCATAACACCCCACAAAGCACAAAACAATTATTATGAAAAGTGCGGAGTTGTCCTAAGAAGGGATTGCCAACTACATATAATTGAACATAAATACACGAATCGTATTTTTGGCGTTATAGTTAGTTTGATGCAATTACGAACAGAAGAAGATACATAATTGAGAGGGATAACTGGAAAAATGTGTAGCGTACCAGCATGAAACCTAGAAATAGTGGGGTGTTCGAGTACAAAGTCGCAGAGATCCAAACGGCCAAACATGTAAGCACCTTTCTCACATACGTCGAATTTGTCGATGATGGAACCGTCTTTGAGAACCTCAAGGTAGAATTGATGAGAAGGTGCGGAGCTCCATGGAGGAATCTTATAGGGAGCTGCAACGCCCTGAGAGGGAGAGGTTTTAGGGGAGTCGCGAGGGGGTGGAGGTTGGGCTTCTTCGGAATCACGTGGCGGAGGCATTGACGGTGCTGTCTCTGGGAGATTAGGGTTTTTGGGGGGCGGGGGACCCATCGATTTCGTCATTGCGATTTCAGAGAGGGTTGAGATGCTGAAGAAGAGGAGACAGTGTATGGAGAATGCAACTATGCAAGAGAAGTTCAGAACCTAAACAATACCCAGCAAAACGGTGCTGATTATTTTTCCTCAAAAATTAAAAAAAAAAAAAAAAGGATTGTTTCTTTTGTGTTTTAAAAACTTTTTTTAAAATTTTAAAAAATAAAATTTATTTGTTAAAATAAATTCTTAAAATTTTTAAAAATAATTTTTATTTTTATTTTTAAAAAAATAGCTTTAAAGTGTTTTTATTTTTTAATCTAAAAAACAGTTTTAAAAATTAAACTAACAAATAGATATTATTTTTATTTTAAAAATATTTGTTATATTATTTTAAAATTTAAATTTAAATTTTAAAGATTAAAAAAAAAGCTAAGTTAGCTTTAAATTTTGATACTGGATAAATTTTATAAATAATTTATCAACATATGTTTAAGAGTATATGATTATTAAAAAAATTATAATTTTAATATTATTAATATATTAAATTTAATAAGATAAAGTAATTTTTAATATAAATTTATTATATATATATATATTAATATTGTAAAAATTTAATATAATTTTAATCAATTCTAAAATGATAAGCAGCTATGTATCACTTAAGTAAGATTTTAGATTTGCATTGTTATGTATGTAAAAAATAATCATAAATAAACTTATTCATGATCTGAGTAAAATTTAGATTAAATTAGATGAGAAAATAAAAAAATAATTTAAATTTTTTTTATATTAATCTTTATTTAATTTAAATTATAATTATTGGTCTTAAAAATATAGTGTTTTAAAATTAATCTTAAAAATATTAAAATTAATGTTTAAATATGTGATAGATTTATTTTAATTTTTATATAATAACTCTTACTTAAATAGGCACATTAAATGTAATATGATAAATTAATATATTTTTAATTATATTTATTAAAAGTTACAACATAAAGTGCTTAAAAATAATAAATAATCTATTTTTTTTATCTATTGTATGATATTTTATTAAAAATGTATAATTTTTTAAAATTATTTTCAATTATAATATTTAAGTAATATAATTATAAATATATTAATGTGTCATTTCAACGTGTTGTATAAGTAATTACAAAATTTAACAAAATAAATAAATAAATAGTATATAACAAAAATAATTAAATAATGGATTATATATTTAAAAATTAAATTTTTTTTATCAAATAGATTAAATAATTTTCTATCTTTCAAGGATCAATTAAAAATTTTAATTAATCTTTCTTATTATGAATAATAAATATTATACATATAATATCTTAGGCAAATATATACACGTTAAATGTGTTCATAATTATGTGAAAAGTTAATAGAATTAATTTATAATAAAATTAATATAATAATTTATTAAAATAATAAATAAAAATATGTCAAAATCATGAATATATCTTTTTTTTTTAATCTTTCTGCTATTAGAGATTTTTTTAAATAATAATGAATCGTTCGTCATTAAACTAATATCCGTTGGTCTTTAAATAGTTATTTTAAAATGATAAAGTTTCACTTTTATAATTAATTTCATTACATCATATTTTATATAAAAAAGGAAAGCCAAATTTCTGTCATAGCTTATTCAACAAGCCAAAAAAATTTAAATTTTACTTGTATGAGATTAATTTAAATAAATTAATAAATAATATTTCATGATAAAAATAGTTTATAGATTTTATAATATAATTTGGTAGTATAAAATATAAATGCCTGCAAAATATTTTGGAGTTGAGTGTGTGAATACATTTGCTTTGACCTATATTATTAATTTTTTAATTTAACAAAAGTTATTAAAAGTTGTTCACAATTTATACTTACCACTTAAATTATATTTTAATGCATAAAAGAATATTCTTAAAATTAAAAACCCTAAAAGTTTCTAGGTCATGCTCATATAAAAAGTTGTTCAGTTCGGCTTCAAAATTTATTTAAATAACAAAATTTGATTATTTTATCATAATTATAAAAAATTTAATTAAAGTTAGCAAAATAATTATGTAAATGATTTATTTTCAAGTCTCAAATATGTTTAAATATTATAAAATAATCATTTTAAAAGTATATTTACATATATAATTTTTTAAAAAATTCAGAGCTCAAACAAAAATTAATTTGATAATTTGAAGTTAAAGTCTCAGCTTTTTGAAATGAAAGTTACTTCAGTTCATATTTTAATTCTTATTGATTTAAATTATAATATAAAAAATGTAAAAAATCATAATGAACTAAAAAAACATATTTATTTATAAAAATGTTTTACAATATAAAAAATTAAATAAATACGCCAGTATTATAATAGGAAGTAAGAATACTTGTAGACCAAGTCTTATGTCAAGATTAAGTTTTTCTAATACAAATATGTTTATGAACGATTTATTTTTAAAATAATTTTATGAAGAAGCTGTTAAAAAAAAAAACATTTTCTCAATATAAATTAAAAACCAAACATGGATTATCAACTAAAATTCCCATTAATGCAGATGCTAAATGTACCAGCAAAAGTGACACGAGTTCGTATGAAAAGTGAGAAGAAAAGGGTAGATACTACTAAATAGTAGAAGATAAATTAGGGCATGAAATCCTCTTATCCAATTATTTTATCATTATAACAACAGTAGTTGAAAAGGTGATTGGGCAGGTAGAGTGATTGAACAGAGAAGGGGAAGAACCAATGATAATTTCTGCACAGAAAAGATATCAATTCCAAGACATAACCTGAATTCTTCCCCAATCTTCCCCCTTTCAACGTAACCCAACCCTCACTCACTCCTTCAGCTTCATATTGTGCAAAAGATTTCTCCTTTCCCTTCATTTCAGATACCATTTTGCTCACTTCTTGCAATGGCATCAACCCCAACTCACCCACCACACTTCTCTTCCATACCCCCAAAACCCTCCAACAACAACCAACGCCATCACCACAACAACAGTAACCATATTAGGAACCAGCACCGCCGCAACAACAAGAACCGTTGCTCTTCCACTAGGTTCTACTATTCCTCAAACCCCTCACCTGCATCACCAACTCCTGCAGGTGCAGGTGCAGGTGTTCCCTCTGCTGCTGCAGCTGCCACTGCTCCTGCTGCATTTTCATCTTCCCTCAGCTCGTTTCTTGGTGGCAGCGGCGGCCGGAGAACCCGGCTTGCCCCTGAGTTTTCCGGTCGCCGTTCCACCAGGCACTTGGGGAAGATGAACTCCGGTGGCCCGCGGGCTGTTCCGAACAACCATGTGCATTCCAAGGAGGCAGAGGAGGCCCTGCATTGCCTCACTAGTGCTGGTAATGATGATGCTGCTATAGAAAATGTGTTGCTTAGTTATGAACATAGGCTTAATGGTGTTGAGGACTATGTTTATTTGATTCGGGAGTTTGCCAATACTGATGACTATTTGCTAGCTTCTAGGACTTATGATTTTGCCTTGAGTAGAGTGAGTGGGAATGGTGATAAGGGGAAGTTGACTAGCAACATGATTCGTACTCTTGGTAGGTTAAGGAAGATTGAGCTTGCCTTGGATCTGTTTGAATTGTCTAGGAATCAAGGGTATGGAAACACTGTTTATACCTTTTCCGCCATGATTAGTGCCCTTGGCTGGAATAAGAGATTTCTTGATGCTGTGAGGTTGTTCAGAAGCATGGAAGGCATTGGCTTGAAGCCCAATTCGGTTACCTATAATGCTATTATTGATGGAGGTGGAAAGGGTGGAGTGGACTTTGACACGGTTGTCAAGTTTTTTGAAGAGATGGTAGCCTCTGGCTGTGTGCCGGATCGGTTTACTTACAATTCACTTCTCAAAACTTGTGTCCCAAGGGGTAGGTGGCAACTGTGTCAGAAGTTGATGGATGAAATGGATAGGAAAGGGATTGAGCATGATGTGTATACTTACAATACATATGTGGATGCACTGTGTAAAGCTGGACAAATGGATTTTGCTAAGAAAATTATGGATGAGGATATGCCTGGTAAGAACATTTGGCCCAATGTAGTGACTTATTGTACTTTGATGGATGGCTATTCTAAGGCTAACCGCTTAGAGGATGCCCTAAATGTACATGATGAAATGAGGCGTTTGTTGATTAGGTTGGACAGGGTGTCTTACAATACACTGGTTGGAGTTTATGCAAAGCTTGGTTGGTTTGAGGAGGCAGTGAGTACATGCAGAGAGATGAAGAATTGTGGAATAAAACATGATGTTGTAACTTATAATGCACTTATTGGAGGATACGGTAGACATGGGAAGTATACTGAGGTTAGGAGAACCTTTGATGAGATGAAAGCCAGACAGATTTATCCTAATGAAGTAACTTATTCAACAATGATTAATGTGTACACTAAAGATAGAATGTATGCTGAGGCGATGGATGTTTATAGAGAGTTTAAGCAGAGAGGCTTGGCTGTAGATGTGGTATTTTATAGTGCTCTCATTGATGCTCTGTGCAAAAATGGTTTAATTGAATCATCTATGAGGTTGCTTGATGGAATGACAAAGAAAGGAATTAAGCCCAATGTTGTCACTTACAACTCCATTATTGATGCCTTCCGAGTTTGGCAGGTGTCAGCTTTGGAATGTGGGGTTGATACTACTTTTCAAGGAAATGAACTTCAAATTGAACCTTCATCCTCTAGGCTTATTGCAGGTACTTTTGGGAATCAGAATACTGATGATGAAATCATGAGGATGTTTGAGCAACTTGCAGCTGAAAAAGCAGGTGACACAGAGAAGGGTAAGAGGAGCAAACAAGGCAATTTCTGCATATTGCGGCTATTTCGAAAAATGCATGACATGGAAATCAAACCAAATGTTGTCACATTTTCAGCCATTTTAAATGCTTGCAGGTAAATACCTATCCAGGATTTCTGTGTCTTACACCAATCTATTCTATACTGCCACTTGCATATTACACAAAAATAGAAGAGATCAATGAAGATGGATTTCCATCAGCCTCAAATTCGTAGGCATAAGCCATTGTTTATTCCCCCCAAGGAATGTGGCATGCCCACTTCAGTAATATTGTTCACACTTGTAGGATGTGGCAGTGTTATTTTATACTTTCTTTCTTTTCAAGTTTACTTTAGACGACTATGATTAGATCTACTCTAAGGCTTGGGGTTTTCTTTTTAAAGTTACTTTTTATGGATGTTTCAAGGAATAGGTCCATTTTTATCACTAACTAAAGCTTTTCTTCTATTTCTCTAATTGGTAACTAGAGACCAGCGATGCTTGGCTGTGTATTGTTTCATTTGGCCATCCCCTTTTAGCCTCTAATTATGTTGAGTACTACATCTTTAATCCTAGGAATATTAATATTATCCTACATTGCAATGACTTCCTGTTTTTCAATTTCAATATGCAGTGACGCATTCAATGTTCTTTATTGTTTGCCACCGCCTCCTATTACTGCTTGTGTTTTTCCTATATTTTTTAAAGCATGTACTTTGATATTCTCACATGAATATATAATAACCAATTACAAAGCATATAATTTGGTACGTTCGATGCAGCCATTTTGATTCTTTTCTAGATGCTTCAAAGCTATTAGATGAGCTACGCCCGTTTGATCAACAGGTGTATGGCGTAGCTCATGGACTACTTATGGGTTATGGTTACAAGGAAGAGGTATGGTCTCAGGCTAAAGCTCTGTTTGATGAAATCAAGCAGATGGATTCTTCAACAGCATCTGCATTTTTTAATGCTCTGACTGACATGCTTTGGCACTTTGGTCAGGTAAAATTAAGTGATTAGATATTTGCTACTTTTGCATCTTTAGTTTTTGTAATTTGCTACTACTTGTGTTGTATTCATGCCTCATCGGTGAAATTAAGGAGATGCACCATTTCTTTACATTAATCTAACTTTTCATTTTTCTGTTTTTATTATAAATTCTGGCATTAGAAACTGGGGGCTAAGCTGGTTGTACTTGAAGGGAGAAACCGACATGTGTGGAAAGATGGTTGGTCTGCTTCATGCTTGGATCTGCATCTGATGTCCTGTGGAGCAGCCTGTGCAATGGTGCATGCATGGCTGCTGCACATGCGTACCACAGCTTTTAAAGGCACTGACCCACCTGAAATATTGAGGTGTGCATCTTGCACAACTGGGATTATTATTGTTTTTCTTTGATTGGATTAGTGAGGAAAAAAATTTGAATCATAATCTTTTTGCAGCATTTTAACTGGATGGGGCAAACATAGCAAAGTGGTTGGTGATGGCTCTTTAAGAAAGGCTGTTGAGGCACTCTTGAATGGCATGGGTGCACCCTTTCGGATTGCTGAGTGTAATTTAGGGAGGTTTATATCACAAGGACCTGTAGTAGCTGCCTGGTTGAGACAACCAAGCACATCCTATGCACTTGATCTGCATGATCACATAGTTAATTCTGAACCTGTTGACCGTATGTTTAGTTTGCCATCTCTGTACTTGTAGTATTTACAGAATCATGGTGCTTTCTTAGTAAAAAGTCCTTGCTTTCAATGTCTAGCCTTTCTTCATAATGCTTTACTGGAGGGATTGATCTAGAAAACAAGTGTAATAGGGGAAAAATTGAATGCATAAACTACTTTCCTCAATTGAATGCATACATAATTCTGTTGGCAGTTGTCTCGTATATGAATATGAAACCCATGCTTATACAATAGGTTATCTTGTTATCCTATTCCAATATCAAAGTTATAAATCATTGAATATTAATGATAATTAATATTAAATCAATGAAAATTTGGAACTGACAGGTTAACAGAAGATAATATTTTTTAATAGAAATATGAAACGAGTTTCAGTCAATGGCAGTATTCATTTATAACAAACAAGATGCATTTTTATTGTCTTGGCTATGAAACCAAGCTACTGTAATTCCATATGTAACCTTAGATGAATTGTACATAGACTGAGAATTAATGGTGTTCAAAATTGAATTAATTTGTTTTTAAACCTTCAAACCGATCTGAAATTGTTGAAAATTGAAAAAATCGAATCTTATATTGTGGTTCATTTTGATTTTTTATTTCTATTATTAAAATTAAACCAAACCAAATCACAGTTATAATATATTTATATTATTTTTTATTGTTTTTTATATAAAAAATATTTTTTTCTCAATTTTATTATAACATTATATGAACATATGCTACATCACTTTTATTTACTTTGCACTCTTATTCTTTTCAATTGGATATCCTTTCTTCTTTTTTTCTCTATGATTAATTTATTATTTGTTTATAATTTTATCCTTTTAATCATCATTCGTTCCTCTATTTTTAATTTTCTCAACAAACTTTTTTTTTTTCATTTTTAAGCTATTACTTACTCTAAATTTAGAATTAGACTAAAAGTCATATAATAGCAAATAAAATTTTGAAAAAAAAATAATTTAATAATAAATAAAAATAAAAATAAAAACTAATCCAAACTAAAGTAATATTTTGTGGTTTTGTTTTATTTGATTTTTAAATTATATTCAAATTAAACCACATGTTATTTTTATGTGCAATTTGGATTACTTTTTTTAAGTAAAAACCGAATTGAACCAGCACCCCTGCTAAGAATTTGATTAATCTGAAGCTGAGAAATGGATGAAAATGATAATCTGGTACATATCTTGTACATATCTTTGAGATCACAGACCACCACAGTCCAACTGGTATCAAACAAATATAACTTTTTTTCTTCCCTGAACAGATTGATTATATTAAAGGAGCACCGAAGCTGCATCTTACACACTAATGATAAAGGGAGTTCGGGTCAATCACACATCAATTTCCGAAGGGAAACCTTCACACGGTATAGTTCTATTGAAACAAATACTCGTATCAACACAGTTCTGGGCAGGAGGAAACAATACTTGTTTCCACATTTTTTGCTTACAGACTAAAGTAAGTCATTACATTGATCTTTAGAATCTCTCAGCATAGAAAAGGGAAAGTACGATCGTCCACATATAATAAGAAATACCAAAATTATGAGTGCAAGCTCATGAAATACTACAAGAATAATATCAAAACTTGCGTTTAAAAGCACAAGAAATTGTACAGAATCAACACTGAGGAAGAAGACTGAACAAACTATAGCAGGAAAAAAATGTACAAAACTTGCGCATTTACATCATTTACATACATATCAAGCAAAAAGCTTCTTTACATACCTCAGCACCAAAAGGAAGAAGAAAAGAAAGAAAAGTGTGCAGACAAGAACTTCAGTTGTTGGAAACTTAGAGTAAAATCTTGGTCTGCAATTCTCTCTCCAAAAACCCAAAAAAACAATATTTATTATTCGACTGGCCCTGATTCAGCTAACTGCTATATTCCCCTCCTTTGGGTCATCATTGCAAAACTGTCAAGTTAGTTATAACAACTACTGACTACTTCCTTAACATGCGAAGCATTAGTATTTGTGTTTTGACATCGGGTTGAAGACCACTTTCTAGCATTTTTGTGTAGACCTTATTTGCCAAGTTAACCTTGCCACGTAAGCACAGCCCTTGAACTGCGGCATTATAAAGAGTGGCATTTGGCATGGGCTGCTGCAAAGGAACATATAACAGGGAGGTCAAATATTTTTGTTAGACTAGAAAATGAGGTTAAATCGGATATTACTCGGTTCAATTAAAATTTATAAGTATTTGCCTAGAATAAGACAAACTGGATCCATAGTATCCATGTATGCATAATACTCAGCATGATTTGGGATTGTTGCTATGAGTAGCTTCTGCTTATCATATCAGACCAACAAGTGCTAGCATAAACAAATCTACAAATTGACACTGGTTAAAATACGACCTATTTGAAAAACGTTTTTAACTGAGCAATAACTATCAGTTGTAATTTTATAACAAACTAGGCTCAGACAAATATTGCTTAGAAATTTGAAAATGCATTTTACTCACATATAGGATTTCTTCTAATTCTTCCCAGAGATCTCCACAAACACAGCATCTAATTACAGACAGATAAGTAAATATGTTTGGACTGCACTTCTGATGAACCATATGCTTGTACACCTGCAATGCAATTGTTGGCTTCCTTGCAAGTTCACAGGTCCTGATGACAAGATTATATGACATCGTCAAATCAGAGTGTCCAGAAGCTTCCATCTGCCACAAAATTTCTATAGCTCTATCCCATAACCTAAGCTTTGAGCAAGACATTAAAACAGTATTGTATAAATGTATATTGAATTGAGATGTTTCATTTCTTTCAATCATCTCAGAAAGCTGAAGAGCTTTGTGAGGCCTACCGGCCTTGTTAAGAGAACTTAGTAGAGCATTGAATGTATATGCATCTGGTTTAAGGTCCAATCGTTTCATTGTGTTGTAGACCTGAGAAGCTAGTTTGAGTTCCTCTGCTCTACCAAGTGAGTTAATTAATGCATTGCATGCAACTAAGTTTGGCTTAAGTTCATCCTTCAACATTTTCTGAAAGACACTTAATGCAGCATCCCATTTTCCCTCCTTTGCACATACACTAATGATAGCATTCAGTGTATTGCTATCTGGTTCAAATCCATTTTGAACCATTTCATGGTAAGCATAAAGAGCAAGCTCGCTTTGGTTGCATCTCACAAAACTAGTGATTAATAGGCAATATGTAACATGTGTTCCAGCACACCCATTCGCCTTCATACTCCTACACAACCTCTCTATTTCACTCCAATTGTCAACATTTCTGCAAATCGATATCACGGTGTTGTAAACAATTGCATCGAAATCCTTCCTCGCATCACATTCACTTTCAAGTTCTCTGAAGAATCTAAGGGCTGAATTGCACCCATGAACTTTTGTATGTGCCATAAGAACCAAGCTATAAGTATGCCCTGTTGTGATCCTTCTTGCTCTTGTAAAATTGAACACTTTGAAGCAATCATCAAACCACCCATTTCTCAAAAGGCTAGAAATAAGAGAATTACAGGCATGGATATTTGGACAAAGACCAGATAATTCCATAGACCTAAAATACTCCATGGCACTTCTAATCTTGTTAGTTCTGCTAAGCACCAAAATCCTATTAGATAGCACATTCTCATCCAATTCTTCCAGAAAAAGTGCCCCATGCTCATTCATTAGTCCCGTCTCCCCTGAAGCTGACAAAGTAGATTGAACAGGTCTAGAATCCCGGGGAAGCAATTCCTTCTTGGCCACAAAATATGCATCAATATTAGCTCTTCCTCCATCATCATCATCATCCTCCGCTGCTCCCCACGGAGGCAATTCTTTTTGGGATAGAAAAGATGTATCGAATTCCTCTCTCCCTTCAACATCATCATCATCATCTTCTACTCCACTGGGAAGGAATTCCTTCTTGGTCACAATACATGCATTAACATCTTCTATTCTTTCATCATCATCGTCGTCATCATCATCCATTTCTACTTCTCTCCAAGGACGCAATTCCTTTTTGGACACAAAAGATGTAACAAATTCTTCTCTTCCTTCATCATCATCATCATCATCACAATCACCACCACCACCACCACCATCATTGAAATCTTCCATTTCTACTTCTCCCCAAGGAGGCAATTCCTTCTTGGACACAAAAGATGTATCAAATTCTCCTCTTCCTTCATCATCAACATGTTTTTCTTGTTCCCAAACACCAAAGTCGACAACAGCAGGAACCGTGTCCTTAGACAGTGGCGTAGACTCATGAAACCGTGTAGATCCAATTGATAGCACACAGTGTTTTGGTGGTGACGATAAAACAATGCTAAAGAGATTACTATGTGTGCCAGTATAAGCATTGGTATGAAAAGGGACACTAAGAAAGGAACAATAACAAAGCTTGTGAAGACAAGTGTGAAACTGAAACGGGAAACTCAACACAATGGCCATATCAATATATCAACCAAAGAGATGAGTTTGAAGCAGCTCAAACAATGAAACAACACAGCATGACCCAAATGTAGCAGAGAGAATAAAAAATTCAAAAGGTTAAAACTTTGAGAAATTGAGAAAGCAGAAACTACCAGCTACGTCTCTGTGGCACAGATGAGAACAAAAAGGTTCTGAGGGTTGAAAACCCAAATATGAGATGTTAGATAGAAGCATCGTTTAACATGAGCCGTTGGATTTGTTCCATCTTGGATGAATGATTAGGATCTAATCTGGTCTCTTGGCTTAGTTGGTAATAAATATTAAAATTTTAGGATTACCCTTAAAACAGATGGTATTATATCCTCAAATAAAAGATGGGATTATTAAAAGTGTTTTTAATGTTGTTATTTAATTAAAAGTAAAATTTTATTTTTATTATTCTTGCAATAAAAAGGTTACACATATTATTAAATTAAAAATTTAACTTAATTTAAAACAACATAAAAAATATATATGATATTATAGCTAAATTTTATCTTAAAAGATGTGGTTAACTCATTATTATTACTATTATTTTTTATATAAATTTCTGAAAATAAAAAACAGAACCTAGATGAGATAACTTAATAAACAGTGTAAGATTAAAGGGTAGCTAATTAGAGGTGTTGATTATAAATTATAAAAATATGTGATAGATTGCCAGAATTTTTCCACCCTAATTCTATGATATAAGATAAAGACTATGTTGAAATAAAGCGTTTATTAACCGAAACAAACTTTAATTGTAATGGTTTTATTATAAGTAGCATTAAAACATAAAAAGTGCGTATAAATTTCTCCTCAGTTCTACCTTCCATTTCTTCAATTTGTGATAGTTAGCAAGAAAATAAATTTTACATGTATGCCTTGCTCCAATGTTTAATATACAAGACTTGTTTTATTTTTCCTTTTAACTTTGTTATATAGATTATATGAAAAGCATGCATAGACATCCGAATTATAATTTAAATAGATATTTTACTTTTCACAACTTCAAAGGGATAGTTCGAAACGATATAAGAAAAGGGTAGTTAGAAACTTAATAACTTACAGAATTCATTAACATTTAAATATATGAAATGTGTTACTTATTGTTGAACAAGAAACTGTAACATAATGGCCATTAGTTAATGATAATCAAAGCATAATTCTTTTTAGTTTAAACTAGCCTCACTTTTACCGAATGTAATATCAAAAGAACTCAATTCATTTCTCCAAAACATGTCTTATTTTAGACCCATAATGGCAAATGACCCTGAAACCAACTTTGATGAGCTTCGATGGGTGACTCAAATACGTGAGACCCTTAATGAAAAGTTTGAGGATTATGGTGAATTCCCCGTGTCCATCTTCAATGTGCCTAAACTCCTTATGACTAGTGATCCAGATTCTTATATCCCTCAGCAGATTGCCATAGGACCTTATAACTATTGGCGACAAGAACTCTATGAGATGGAAAGATATAAGCTTGCAGCAGCAAGAAGATTGCAAAAACAACTACAAAGCCTCAAGTTAGAACATATAGTTGACCAATTGATAAGGTTAGAACATAGGATTAGAGCATGTTACCACAAGTACTTAAATTTTAATGGTGAAACATTGGCATGGATGATGGCTATTGATGCCTCATTTTTGCTTGAGTTCCTTCATGTTTACACCATTCAAGATGAAACAATAATGCCAGGAGTTTCCTCGAGGATGTCTCACTTGGTGGATTATACAGGGAGGAAAGTAGCTCATAATGCAATCTTGAAGGACACAGTAATGCTTGAAAATCAAATCCCATTATTTGTGTTGAGAAAGATGTTGGAGTTCAAATTCTCATCACTAGAATTAGCAGATGACATGCTGTTTTCTATGTTAATAGGATTGTTCAAAGAACTGTCTCCTTTCAAGGTCATAGAGGAGTATCCAGAGATCATTGTCTCAGAGTGTGCTCATCTGCTAGATTTTTTGTATGCCATGATGGTGCCTAAATTGGAAGAACAATCAACTCTAATCGAATTTGTGGATCAACATAAAAATAAGGAAGAAAATGAAAAATTATTCATGAACTATGTCAAGCGATTCCTGTGTGAGGTTAGGAGGTTGCTTTCAAAATTGTCTACCGCATTGACAAGCTTAAGTAAGAAGGTCCTACAATTTAGAGCCATGAAGGTTATCATTAGCATGCCTTGGACAATCATTTCTAACCTTCCTGGAGTAGGGATTATAAAGCAACCCTTTGAGTACTTGTTTTTCTCTCAAGAAAAAGAAGCATCCAAAGCAGAAAATGGGAGTTTAAGCTCAGATAATGTTACCAACAAACCACCCTTAATGGAGGAAATCGCTATTCCTTCAGTTGCAGAACTCTCAAAGTCTGGCGTTAGTTTTATGGCCACTAATGGTGACATATCAACTATCACATTTGATGTAAAAAATGCAACACTGTATCTTCCAACAATTAGTTTAGATGTAGACAGCGAGGTGTTGTTGAGAAATTTGGTTGCTTATGAAGCATCAACTGTATCAGGGCCATTGATTTTCACCCGTTACACTGAATTGATGAATGGGATCATAGACTCTGAGGAAGATGCAAAGATTCTTAGAGAAAAAGGGGTTATTTTGAACCACTTAAAGAGTGATGAAGAGGTGGCTAACTTGTGGAATGGGATGAGCAAGTCCATTAAATTGACAAGGGTGCCATTCTTGGATAAAGTCATTGAAGATGTTAACCAGCATTATAATGGTAGAATGAGTATCAAAGTCTGGATATTTATGAAGGTTTACGTGTTTGCTTCATGGCAAATTCTGACATTCCTTGCTGCCATTTTTATCTTGTTCTTGATGTCCTTGCAAGTCTTTTGCTCTTTCTATAAATGCAGTCGCAGAAGTCTTGTCAATATGACTAAACGAACCACTTGAGGAATTATATTTTTGCCATGCTCAATGGTTTGGTGTTTAATATTTTTCATACATATAACAAGAAGTAAATGAGTTGTTAACAAGTTTTCAAGACAATCACAATCATGTAAGTTACCAAAATGTTCTATTTTTCATGGAAAATAACAATGCTAACAATTAACAAGTTTTCAAATCTACAATTCAACTTCTTTAGTAAGTAGAAAAGGAGAGGGGATTAAAATAAATGAAAGCTATGGTTTTTGTCTCGTCCATTTCTTGAACTATATACCATTCTTTCATAATTCATTCCTTCACCGAATATAATACATACAAATGCTTACAAAGGATTCTATATTACATTTGCGGAAGAACAAATCAGGGAAAGAGAGTAATGTTCGGCAAGAACCTTAACTATTACAGCAGAATGGCAAATTACAAAGGAGGCTGAACGCATGTTGCAGGCCTCAATACTTCTGAAGCACATTTGTACACAGGGTAGCTTCTCTGTTTATTCAAATCGACCCATCATACCCTCTCAGAAAACCCTGATTTTCAAATTGACCAATAACCCTATCAATTCAGTTCCTCCAACTAAAATCATGACGATCATTCGCGTTTAGATTTGTTCTGCTTGATCAAGGCATAGGCATCACTGTATATTGCCACAATGTTTGAGAAGACAGCCAGGACTATCATAACAACAGACAAAATCTTGTCTGCTTTAGTTGCTATGTTGTAGCGGTCCCTGCATAGTTAAAACGATCAAGGAACGTTAATTCGGTAGCAACAAAAGCATAAACAAACATATAACAGAACCATTTTAGAGAATCAAACTGATTACTGGACAGAAAGTATGAGCAACCAAACTCACCTAAGAGTGATGGCAGCTGGAAAAATGAATCCTATACAGACTGCGGCGGTTGCTCCTGTGAACTGGAAAGCATCCCAAATGCTAGGAATAAAATTTGCTCCCAGGAATATAACACCAATAAGGGAAATAGTGAGTGATGCAAATCTGAAGTTATCCAGAACCAGAGGCCTTGATGAAGAGAAGAGGAGACCATCTATATTTAACCGCAATGGATAGAAGACCACTGGAAATACAAGCATTAGGTGTGCAGCATAGCTTAGACGAACAGCATCGTTGAGTACAGAACCAAAAGGAATTCCTAAATCGGCATCGAAATTGGCAAGCACATCATCAAGAGTTCCTTCTCCAAATAGGAGGAACCCAAAGAAGCTTATCGTTACATAGACTGATGAGCATAGAAGAAGGGCGGTGCGTACAACTCCTCGCATTTGTGAGGAGTCCTCAAGTTCATTATCTATGCTGTGAACTGCAAAATAAAAAGTGTACAAACATCAGTTCTTTTAGGGTATGTTTGGGAGTTGAATTTTAGAGGAAAATGGAAGGGAGGACAAAGATTTTATATTTTAATCAAAAGAATTATAAAATATTTCTAAAACTAAAGAAAAGATTAGCACATTAAGATGACATAATCTATCATTTTATTTCTTTTATTTTGAGAAATTATGAAATTATAGAATGTTTATTATTAATAAAAAAAATTGTCTTCTCCTCCCTTCCCCTTCAAAACTTAACTTCCGAACATACCCTTAAGTTCACATAATGCAACCATCTGCCTCAATATCCATATCGCAAAAAGGCATATCCAGATTGCAAACTCCGGTAATGTTATTAAATCATAAAATTGAAACTAGGAACATTTTCCAATGTTTCGTGTTTAGAAATACTTCAGGCTTGAAATTTCTAGTTTTTACTCAAGCAACTCAACATAGGATAGCATAGGACACAAAAGTTATAATTGCATATAATGACATTATCATGGAATAAAGGACATGACCATTTGGATGATCAAATTTTCAGGTCAACTTGTTTTGATTATCTATACCTTGTATACTATCGTTTCAAATTTTTTGGGCATGGAAAAGCTTGAGGCTTACAGAAAGAAAAGTCAAACTAACTTTCACATTTTTCATACAAAAAACACTAACATATAAAAACATCAAAGTCAAAACAGGTCTAGAAAGAGAACAAGCTTGGCACAAAGATTTCAATAACTTGCATACCATTGTAGTGGCAGATATAGGCAGTGACAAACACAGGAACAACGGTGAATAATTGAAGGAATGATGTCACATCAGTAGTGACCGGGAAGAGTCTGGGCATTTCAATGCCTCCACTTATAATCTTGACAATTGAGATTCCCACTGCAATGACTAGAAAAACAACTGCTAGTGCTACTGAAAGGGCTGATGTGAATCTCAATGAATCTGCAACCACAGAGCAGGCATGTAAATCTTCAGCGCATTCATAGTGAAGATGAAGCTAAATAGATCAAAATAAGACCTTGCCCATCACATAAATTGAACACCCAAAAATTAATGCTCAAGGAATTTGATATGTTGCAACCAAAGTGCAAGATCTATCAAGGTTCAAAGTAAATAACCATACATGTCCACTAAGTCATGTCATCCAGGTTCAAACTGATAATATGAATACAGAATATATGGCGACAAACAACACAAACGTTTCACAAAACTCTTTTTTCCTTTTACTTAATTCTACTATAAAATATAAATTTTCAAAATATAACCAAACTAACAAAAAATTAAAGCTACTAGCATGAAATTAATGAGAATACCCAATTCGTCTTAAGCTTCAATGGTGATTTAAATAGGCTGTAACACTTTAAAACAAATACTCTGATGAGTAATTGTGTGCCATCAGCCCTTGTAGCAATCCCTGGGTGCCTAAAACAAGAACTTATGCACCTGGTATAAGCATGAATCCCAGTGTTCTCAGATATCTTCCCAACACTAAATGACAAAACTAACAATTGTTTTTTTCAATTTTGGTTAAAGGAATAGCACTCACCGATTCGCTTAAAGCTAGCCAGGGGTGCAAATATAACAAGTGTTGTAAAAAGGACTATAAATGTTCTCCCAGTCCACCAGTGCACACCAAACCATCCTTCAAGGATACCATAGTGATGATCTCCACTTGAAGATGTTCCAGAGAGCACATCACCTGCATGATGAACAACACAAAACTAAATTAGACAACCATGTAGCTCTAGCTTCTAGAGATTGATGGTTAAACATAAATCCTAGACCTATGATAATGAATAACAATAAACATTCACTCAAATAAATTGAAGTACTAAAGTTAATAATAACGGTCATACCAATTATAATCATGTAAACAACCAGCACCCCGATATTATTGACTATAACACATATCTGCGCCAGAGCTTTTCCAAATTTGCCAAAAGAATCTCCCATGAGACCAGCATAAGAAACAGACTTCCCTGCCCGGGTAAACCTAATCAAAAGCTCAATTGACTTCTCTGTCAACAAAGCCATGATGATGATGGCAATGAGGCCAGGTATCATCCCCAACTGTTTCAAGGTTGCAGGCAAGGCCATGATTCCAGCACCAATGATTGTGGTGGACAAGTTAAAAACAGCTCCAGAGAATGAAGCTCCATTGAAATCATCAAACCCTGCATCACTCTCCTGATCCTGACTTTTTGGCAACAAGGGTGCATTCTCATTGATCACTGCCTTGTTCTTCCGTGATTTCTTCTTCTCTCCCTTTGGTGCAAAACTACCAATCGTCATCTTCAGGGTCCAAGTCTTGGAAAACCTCAAAGCAACCTTATAATTCTGAATACAAACAAAAAATTATTAACCAAAATTCCCAGTTTTCAAATTAAATCAAAGATGCAAACTTTTTGAGCAATAATTTAGTTCAGCTTGGCTTCATTTAATACCTGATAAATCAAAATACCCAAATTCCAGCTACCAGAAAGAGAAAAAGGAATCAAATTTCAAACCCAGCAACACAGAATTCAAGAGAGATTCAACAAGACCCAGTTGGGCAAAAGTGGGTTAGAACCCAAAATTTGCTTTTACAGAATCTACTGGTTCCTGATAGATTTTGGGTTGAGCTTGAAAGAAGCAAGCAACGACCAGAAGGATTCTTAGGCGGAAATTTAGGTTGAAAATCCGCAGCCACAAGACCCTAAATCAAATGGAAAACCAATTAGAGGTTGGGGGCCAAAAGGCTTCATTTATAGACGAACCAAAGAGAGAAACACACACGCAATTATATTAAGATTAATTTAATATCAATGTTAATAATTTCATGCATACACTAATTGGTATTATTATTAATGAAGCATACGAATTGACTGAATTATGTATGCAAACTGAAATGATGGTGAGGGGAAATTTGCTGACACTTTGATACAGATAAGTTTAACAGTTACGACTATATTTTAACACTGAGTAATTAATATCTTATTTGATATTCGTATAATGTTTTTTTATAGACACGCATTTTAAATGATATAATAAAAGAATTACACAAAACAATGTTTTTAATACCTTAAACATGCACTTAAGAAAGATGGTAAAAGTCAGGAATTTAGGTGTTTAGATATGAATAATAAATCCCCTTAATCATTAAAAAATATTTCATATGTTTTATATTTTCAACACAAGAATAAATGAATATTTTATTTAATATTTAATTTATAAAATTATAGAAAAAATATTATAAAAAATAGAAAAGCTCTTACAGGATTTATGTACGCTGGATTTGCGGTTGATATTTTGATTGTTCTCAGATTTCTTTCCATTTTCCAAACACAGAAAAAGAAGTGTCTGCGGCGACACCACGTGGGATTTGAGGTACCCATTACAAGGTTAGTTTGAGTTGTCAATAGAAACAACAAAATACAATTAAAAAAATTATAGCAATTCAAAGCAGAAGATGATTCCATCATCCAACTTGTGCACAACAAATAAAGGCAAGTTGCCAAACGTGTTTATAAAAAGAGAACATGGTACAGATATTTTCTGGTCGTTGGTTTATGTCACAGATCAAAAAACCTATATAGGAAAGACAATTTATTAAAATATTACCATACTAACTTGTACAAAATGATAATTGAAACAATTTTGTTTCTTAAATAGATATTTTAATTCTTCAAAACAAATCATGTGGGAGGTTGGTGGTACCACTCATTTTGATTTGTTCATTACAAAAAGTGTTATGTCTTAAAAGGAATCAATCACACTCACTTATAACATAAGGCTTACATACCACAATAAATGTTATTTCTATAACATTTTTACTGTTTTGTTTTCTTTTTCTGGTAAAGGAAAAAGTGATTAAATATCAATAAGCAATGTAATAGAAAAGTTGTTTTAAGAATAATATATATGATATATCATCACCCCAAATAACTTTTTAAAGGAATATATGATATGTACCAGTAACAGTTTTACAAAAGAAAAGAAAATTCATTTCAAGCAAATACATGCGTGAAAAACCATAAGAATTGTAATCAATATTTTATTTCAATAAGAATAATAACATTTTTTTTAGCTATTTTGATATAAGTTCTTGAATAATATATTAATTTCACTACATTTTTTCTAAATCGTTTAGATTAATTTGTGGTAAATTTTATAAAAAAATTAATTGGGATACAATTTATTTAGGTATTATTATTGTAAAAAAATATTTTATTTGTCACAATCTTTAAAATTGAGTTTAAATACATGTAAATAGACTTATTTTTACATATTTATTATATTAAGGTTATTAAAATATAACTAAAACATATATTAAAATATAATAAATACTTCTTTATAAATTATTATTATTATTATTAATTATTTATCCTCAGCTTATCACCTTTGATATGCAGATATCATCCCATAGAGTTCCTATCCATCCAAATAAGATAAGCATTGTGGAGACAGTTGCGCAACCATTCCCATAGCCGACAAGCTTGACATTATAATTATTATTTTGTGATTTAATTCATATATATAAAAGATTCGTGCACTTCAAATCTACGCAAATATTGAAATTTTGTATATAAATTACTTCTTAAAATAAATAATGATTGTTTAAATAAATTTTCAAGAACTTTAAAAAACAATTATTTGAAATAATTTCTTCTCAAACACGCATAAAACAATATAAGCTATTGAAGAATCAACAGCCACTACAACTTTAGATAGATTATTTACATCTCTTCTCTTTATATTTGGATCCTTATTTGTTTTATTAAATTGAATATGAATTCGAATTGGTTAAATTATTTGTTGAAAGTTTATAGTCAGACTCAAATTAAGCTTAGATTAAGTTAGGTATATTTATTAAATAAAGTTAAATTAAAAAATTCTAAAAGTTTATTGAGTTAAAAATATTACATTTTGGGTCGTTCAAATTTTTTAAAAACAAGTAGATTAATTTAATTAAAATAGTAACCATTTTATTTTTTATTATATTAAAATTTTATGGTAGTATTTTTATATCATGTTTATTTTAGTTCATTTAGAAAAATAAATCTTTTTGCTTACTCATAAATTTATACCTAAATAAGTTTATTGATAATTTGACATGCTAAAAAATATTACTATGAAATAAGTTTTTAAATCAATTCAAGCTTTTTAAAGAAATATAATTAATTTTTAAGAAAACCCATGTAAGATAAATAAGTTAAACTTAAAATTTAAAATAAAAAGTAAATTAATCTAATCCAATCAACTTCCACCTTAGATAGTGGTACGTGATTTGGAATTCATGTTTGTTTACAACAATGCTTAGAAATAAAAGAATGACAAAACACTCAAATGATCCCACGTTTATGTTTATGCAGCACATGAATTCTGATAGGTTACCGTAAGAGTTTTCCCTGCTTTGATTTTAAGTATGACCACAGTCTTAAATTCCAATAAATAAAACCTTTGCCATTTAGATCATCAATCGGAAGAATAAGAAAAGTAAATAAGTATACAAATTAAGCAAAATTAATTTTGATGGATTTAACTATGAATTGTTAAATTATACATTTAAAAAAATATTTATTTTATTAAAGTGTAAAATTCACTTTCAATTACAAAGACATGTCCTCAATCATTAGATGAGATTATTGTTAAATAGTAAAATTCATAAATCTCCATTTAAAATAGGACCACCAAGTAGGGTATTTGAGGATAAGTCTAATTAATGTACAATGATTCCATTTGATACATGAGAGACAACAAGGTATAATTACAATATTTGCTGAGGAATTTGGACAAAAATAGCAAAATGAAGGCATTACCCAGAAAGGACAAAATGACTACATGAGCTCAATTGAAATAAAATTATTATAATTAATTGATTTGAGATTGTAAATAAAAATTATTTCTCCAATTTTTTGATGATTTGGTTTTTAAATTAATTTAACTATTTTATTTAAGTCAAATCCTAAATAAACATGTGAGAGGTAATTTGTCATACAACTTTGCTTTCATGAAAAAAAAAATCATTGAAGTGATAATAGAAGACATGGAATATACGAGTAAACACTTTATTCATATAATGTTAGATATTAAAAAAAAATTTTTTTTTATAATTATTTCAATTTAAAGGTACGAGCTAATGAAAAACAAACTCCATTTTATTAGTATAAAGTATTTTTTTTATTTAATCATGATTTAAAATTATAATTTTTATCATTAATAATCACCCATGAATCAAATGGAAATATATATATATATATAAGTTTGAGAATCAAATTTATATTCTATTAATTATACTTTTTATACAAATTATTCAACATTCAAAAATTAATTTACATTTTAATTAACTATAAACTGAGTCAAATATTTATTTGAAATTTTAGTTCCGTCGACGTTACTTTCATTAATTTGAAAAGTATAGTTTGAAACAAAAAGAAAGAACCGTGTGAACTCCTTCTCATTGGATCTTTGGAAGTATCCAAAACCTAACAAAGCATTTTAAGAAACTACGAAAAGTGTGAGACGTAGAAAACATTTCAAGGAAAGCGAAATAAAAAAGGAAGAATGAACAGTGACATATGATAATGATTTTTTTTTTGTCTTTTTATCAATAATAGTTAAATTAAAGTTTTAAAATTAACTCCACACCCTCACATAAAATATTAAAATAAATTGTAATATTTTACAAAATATAATATTTAATTTAAATCACATGTATTTTTTTTTAATTAAAAACAATTATACTCAAAGCAGAACGAGATTATTATACGTAGTCAAAGTTTAATCTTCGAGTATTTAATATTTTTGTATGTAATAATTCAACATGATCTAACACAAATAATATAATATTATTTTGAAAAATAACTATTAACATATAATATATTTAAAAAATTAAATGCATAAAATAATGATAATAAATTTGAAGGCATCATTGGATCGGCCCGTAAATGGCTTTTGGCAGCACAATGGGCCAATGGGCCACACCTATCATTATCAAAAGGCGAGTCCATCACCGACCCATTGCAGGGAACGTTCCATTTATCTACCCACATAAATATAATAATTATCAAAATGGTGTAACGCGCCAACACCTTTGTTTTCTCTCTCAAGCATTCTATTTTATTTCTTAAATTACTCGAAAACTTAGAAAAATCTACGCATGGTTGAACTAATCAAAATAATATGGACAATCAAAAAGTCTAATCAAACCCTAAATTATTAAATAATACAAGCAGTACTATATTTTATCATCTTAAATTTTCGATATTTAATTGGAAACAAACGAACTTCATACGGAAGTGCTTTCTAATTAAAAATGCTTAATCAGCAATTACTTTATGTCCTTAAAATTGTAACCACGAGTTTATTATTAAAAATTTGGTACCACTGTTTTACCAAATCATTTAACTGTGCCTAATTTTACGGGTTAACCAAAACACTCAATGCTATTGGATGGTACTGTAATGTCAGATTTTGTCTGTGTGCTGAGTAAGAATTCAACAAGTAGCTTTCAGGATATTTTTAGTAAAAATCGTTTTTTTAAGTTACAGAGGTGGGTCCAAATTATGTGGACCACAAATAAAGTTTATGTCATATTAATTTAATCAGGTTAGATTAAATTTAAGGGTAAACTTACGTAAATATATGCAGAAGGTTGGATTATATTTTCAAACTTTTAAAAATTATTCCTATAATTTTTCATAAATAGTTGATAAAATATGCTGTTCAGAAAAGACAAAATCAAGTTAACCATGTAAATTTCAGACGAAAATTTTATAATAAATATTTAAAAGATTTTTTTATTAAAAAATATTAAAACTTCACAAAACGATTATAGAGAAACAATGAGTTTAGGGTTAAAAGATGCAGTTCTTTTATAATTTGTCCCCTCATAACACTTTAACAGTGAAAGCATTTTCTTTATTAACAAACGTGACCAATCACTAATGCTAACATCCCAAGCATGAAAAAGCAATGAAAACGACTTGTAGCTTAGCTGAATGACTTTATTCTCTTATAGTAAGATAAAGTAAAAACTACGGTTATTGATTGAAAAAAAATTAACTGAATTTAAATGATTATAAATGTTTAGTTATAAACACGATTCTTTTTTTTTAACTAGTAATTATGTTTTTTTTTTATTTTAATCTCTAAAGTGGAAATTTTATTTTAGAGGAGTTATGACTAAGTTGAAATGTACTTTACATATTATTTATTTGTTTAGTTAATATCTTTAAAAGAATTAAAATATAAAAAATTGAATTATTTTGAGAATTTAATTTGAAGAAGAAAATAAAACAACAACAAATTTTTTGATGTGTTTATTATTATAAAATTTAATAAATTCCAATTCCATAATAGTTCATGACTAAATAATAATGTATTTTTATATAATTAATATATGCCATTTTAATTTTTATTTAATTATGGAAACATCAATCAATGTGATTTGTGGTGTTGGTCACAAATGCAGTCATTACAACACGAATAGAACATAAACATATTATAAGATACTTTAATTAGGTCACTCTTTAGATTTGACCTTTTGCAATTGTTCGAAGAATTATTCTCTAATAATACCACAAAATATGTTAACATAGCTTTAAAAATTAAATTTATACTTTTTATTAAAAATTAAAGGACTAGAAATGAATAAGTATATAAATAAAGGAAAAAAAAATCTGCTAAGGCCTAAGTCTAAGTTTTATCTTTCTGCAGATCATTTAACATTCATTCCTTATTATTTTTTTTCAAAAATAATAAGTAATTAAAATAATTTAAATATAAATATTGGAAAAACACAACCGTGTATAAATGTGTGTGGTCTAGATTAATTTAATTAAAAAATAAAAACAGAAAAATTAGCGGCGAAGAACGTCTTATGTTTCATAATCATTTCATTAATCGATTATTTTACTGAATCTGAAACAGCTTTGTTTGATGGTGAATCACGATGACTCAGGTAAGTGATTAATATTTTTCAACTTTTTTTATTTATTAGTATTAATATTTCATTGGGTCACGTTACGCCCAATATAACAAAGATTGATGACACTTATTATATTTTAAAAGTTTTAATTTACCTAATTTTAACATTAACAAATGTCTTAATGGAATTGGTCGATGCTAATAATTTTAATTTCATAAATTATTCTCTTTTGTTGACATGAAAGCTCTTAGTTGACACACACCAACGGTTTTTAACAAATATTAGTATGAAATTTTTAATGTGTCCAAAAATATATAATAAAAATTTTAGTAAATCGCAAGTATTTTGATAGAACACGTAACTATATGAATTATGAAATGATGTCAGAATTCAGAAGGTGATTCAATTTAATTAATTTAGAATAAGCTTTTTTTTCTTTTTCTTTCACATGCATGTTCATCTAATAAATGAGATTATAGAACACTTCATTGGCGTATTTTATAACACTCTACAAGATAAAAATTGGATTTTATTAATTTTTTTGCCGTATTTATGAAAATAACTTATTGAACAACTTATCAAAAAGTTGTTGAATTTTATTTTATTTTATCTCAAATATATGATATTTTACCAAACTTATTAATAATTAATAAATATTTTACACTTCACCTTAAATTTAGTTCATGTAATAACTTCATTCATCATCTTTGGTGACAAAGAAACATACATATATTTACGACAAGATAAATATTACTAATATATTTTTTAACACACTGTTTTTAATATATTTTTATTATTAATTAAAATATATTAAAAAAATTATATATATCTTATTTTTAAATTTTAATTAATATTTCTCTTACTCATAATTTTAAATTTTGTAACTGAAAATTAAAAAATATTAAAACAAATATGTTACCAATATTCCTCTCTGCAAACTTGAAATATTTTAACACATGTACCAAAATAAAAATAATTCTAACCCAAATCACACCCCAAAAACAAAACATCGGGGTTTGTTTGGTCAGAAAAAAGTGATTCACATATTTCAGCCCATTAGGCTTAAGTGGATAAAAAAACCACAAAGATGAAACGCTGCGTTTCATACTGTGGTGCAACTGTGCAATGCGAGTGCATGGTGTTGTGATTAGGGCGCGACCGTCTCTATCATCGGAATTATGCAATCCAAGGATCCAAACTTTGCATGATTCTTCTTCGAATTTCCCATTTTGCAATTGGTATGATTCCATTCCTTTCAATTATTTGGAATTCTAACGGTTCCTTCAAACCTTGCATTCTCCATTAATTTTCCTTTTTCCTTTTTAATTTGTCAAAATTTTCCCCAATGTGTTATATGCACTTTGTGACTTAAACTTTCTAAATTTTGATACTTGGGTTCTCTCCCAGGTTCTAGAACAACAAGTGTTGAAGTGTTAGATTGGAACAATGGACACTCAGAGTGATGAGGATAGTGGCGATGTTGATGTTGGAGGCGTTTTATTCAGTGGAGAAGCAATTGAGGATCTGGGTAATGAAACCACCGCAATGATGAACAGGCTTGAATTGAATCTGGCATGTTTTTCTGAGAAAGTTGCAAACTTGAGCATTTTTGTTATGCATTTGGAGACTCTTGAGGTTGAATTGGAGGCATTGGTTTTGGATGAGGAAGACAGCAACAACGTGGACATGGATTGTGTTGGAAAGTGTCTGGAGTTTGATCTGTTATGTGGGGTGTTGGGTTCTGTGGTCAGAGAATTGGATGGGTTCTTGGAAACCCTTCATGCTGATATTGCTGATGGTGGAGAGAGGGTGTCCTCTTGCAATCTATGGGAAGACAAGTTGTGTGGTTCTGAACAATGTTTGAAGCAATCTGAGGAGCAGTTTTTGGAGATTAAGAAACAATCTGCTAGTTTTCAGAGCACTTTGTCTTCTTATAAGAGGGAAGAAAATGGTATGTAGAAGATCTGATTGATTCATATATTTATGAAGTTTTTTCCTTTCCTTTTTTGTTACACTGATGATTATTTGGTTTTATTTATTTTGTGTTTTTGTCGTTTTTCATTAAGTAGTTAGAAAAGGGTATTTATAAATCTTTTTATGCTTGTCCCATTATCTGGGGTCCACCTCATTTTCCACGTGAGTTTGTTTGTGTGATGCAGTGGGAACTCCTCTCTTGCGTTAATGAATTTCTTCTTTTATAAGGGAAGAGAAAGATAGAAAGAACTTTGAAAAAAATTGAATTGACTGGCTTAAAATTGCTGCTTTTTGATTAATGTGTGACCAATAAAATATCTTTATTTGAATAATTATCTATTTCTGATAAATATTATTTTATTATTTTTTAAATGACATCAGGTAATGTTGAAGAGGGTGAGATCATGAGAGAGGATGATCAATCTTTAAATGAAAACACAGTAATAAACATGCAAACAATTGAGCAACAAAGAAATATTCTTAGGATGCTAGAGAAATCTTTGGCAAATGAAATGGATCTTGAGAAGAATTTCAATGACTCAAGGCAAATTGAAGAAAAGCTAAAACAAAGGATGGCTTCTTTAGAACAAGAGCTAATTCTCGTGGAGGAAGAAGCAATTGATGTTTGGGAAAAATGGTTTGAGGCAGATAATGCACGTGAGATACTGACAGGAATTTCAAAAGACCTGTTGGGTAAACTCCAGATTTCCCAGTTCAATTTGAATGGTTTAAGTCAGCGTGAATGCCAGCTACTGAATGTGAAGGCTTCCGCAGATGAATATCAGAGACAGTATAATATTTTGTGTTCTGAAATGAGAGACATGGAAAACCTTATTGTTGAATTGAAAGAAAATGCATCTAATGCAGAAAATCGGGCTAATACTGCAGAGGCTCAGTGTCAATTATTGAGAGAGACTAATGATGAACTCAACAAGCAGCTGGTTCTTTTGAAAGATGGTGGTGGCAAATCTGAGAGGGTAGAGTCACTTGAGAGGCAGCTAAGGGAATCTGACTTACAGCTGCAGCATGCAGTAGCTTCTGCCGAAGCTAGTCAAGAGAAGCAAAGTATGTTGTATTCTGCAATTAAAGACATGGAGCATGTGATAAAAGATCTTAAGTCAAAGGTTTCTAAAGCTGAGAGTCGGGCTGACAGTGCAGAGGAGAAGTGTATCATATTATCTGAATCTAATGCTGATTTAAATGAGGAGCTAAGCTTTTTGAGGAGTAGATTGGAATGCTTGGAGGGATCATTGCACCAAGTGGAGGAAGCAAAAGTGGCAACTGCAAAGGATATGGGGAAGCAGGCCAAAGTTTTCAAAAATTTGCTAATGCAGCTGGCTGTTGAGAGAGAGCGCCTTAATAAGCAGGTAAAGACCCAGCTTCTGAATATTATTTCAGGCCAAAAAGTTATAAATCTGTTTCGACCTATGATATCAGGACTTGTTTATAGGCTGCTAAGTCTGGTTTGCATGATGTTTAATTTGAGCATTTCTTGCTCATAAATCAACAGGAACAGCTAGGATTTCAAATGGTATCAATTGATCTGCCTAGTATAATAGTGGAATGTTGTATGAATATAGCTATATATGAAACTATGCAATGCTTTGTTTGGCGGGACCATTTATGAATAACAATTGAACAATCACATTGTTTTTTTTTTATCGTCCTTAATCTTTCAGCTTTCTGCCTTTACATTTTGACTAGTTTCACATCTGTTTCATGTATGGAGTTGTTCCAATTTATTTTAATTTAGATGTAGATCAAGTTAATTGAAAGATCAGAAGATGAATATTTTTCTGTAGTTTACTTGGCTAATGGGGTGCATAGGGTTTTCCGTTTCCTTTTTAAAAAATTTAAGCTATCTTCATTGAAGTAGGGTAAAAGGAAGAATAAACATATTGACTTTAAAACAAATCTGATTGAAAATTTTGAATCATGTGCTGAAAATGTGAGATAATCAAAATGGATAATCTTTTGGTCTTAAAATCACAATTTTAGCTTGAAGGTAAGCTGAATTTGTTGTTGGCTTGATTATACCAGTCCATGGTTAGTTGAAATTTTTGTACTTTGTCTGCAGTTGTCTTTCTTAGCAAGTGAGAACAAAATCTTGGTAGTGAAGCTAAAACAGACATATAAGGATCCTTCTCCAGCAGTCAGTGTGTCTTTGGCCACTGACCATGAGGTTGGTACTTCATTCAGACTTTATTAGCTTGTTTTTTATTTGTACATGTGATTTATATGCAATAATCTACTCACAAACAAACAAACAAAGTGAATATAATACATTGGGAAAAAAATTTAAATGTGTGCACAGGCACTAGCTATGCCGTTTATTAGGCTCCTTGCTTATGTAAAACATTCTTTATATGGTAGTCTAAAGTTGTCTTTGGCTTAGAGATGTGCCGGTAGGATATGTCAAATTGTCGATTTATCATTACAATACAAGTGCCTTATACGTGTAACCAACATTTTACGAAGATGAAAAATGCTACCTCTTTTTATTGGTTACATGTACTTTTAGAAAATGTGAAACACTACTTGGTTGGCATAAAATGCCTGGTTTTGTGGTTAACAAAGTGTGGTGTATGCTATCTCTTCTGTTTAAATTACTGCTTTGATTTAAGTTGTTACTTTCTCTTCCTAACCATTGAAGGCAGGTAGAAAATAAACATAATTACTGTTATGATTTTATCTTGTGTTAACACCTGCTTCTTATTAAAATTCTGATCCAAAGCGTTAGTCTTGACATTGACATATAAATCTGCTTGCTTGTTCTCTTCTAATGTTTCCATTCTTTCCTCTATATTGTTATTTAGTTTATTTTGAGAGAAGTATTATTATATTATATTATACACACTAAAAGAGCAAATGTAACACTTTATCATTGCTGTCAACTTACTTTCTGAACTTAATAACGGTTCACTGATATGAGCATTCAGATAAAAGAGGATTTAAACATTTAAAATAAGCACATATAAAGAAAAATGTGTACAGAGCAAAGTTCTAATATTGCTTCTATATTCCTTCCCCAGGTGGACAAGAAAAATTTATCTGCAAATGATAATGAAGTAAATATTGCAGATTCTATGCCAGATGCTGGAACTATGAGGAGAATAGATGCAGGTGTTCTTAATGTTAGGCACATAATATTATCAGTGCTTGTCTTACTAGTTTCAGCTATGGTTTATCTGTATTTCAAGGATGTGGATGTGGATGTTGATGTCAGTCCATGAATGTATTGTAGAAATTTATGCTTTCTTTTACCCTTGTTTTTTTGGGATCTAGGATAGGAGGGGGAATTGGGGAAATGAGGTGTGGAGGGATTGAACCCCCAACCTTTAACACCACAATGATGGGTGAGTAGGGAAGGTGCCACTAGGTTACAACTGTCATTGACATTGTAGGTTGTAATGCATGTCATTGTGTAGTAATCAAATTTTGTTGTAACTGAGACTATGATTGTAGGAAATAATAATATTCGTTCCTTTTTATCTCTTTTAACAAGTTTTTGAGACCATACTTTTCCTTTATAACAATATATATTTATATAAAGATAAGATCTTTTTACACTAGTATAAGAGTTTTTAGATTTATACTAATGTAGGAAGATCTTTTCTTTTATATATATATATATTAATTTTATTAAAATGGATCTTTTGATTAATAATATTTTTGAAAATTAAATTTTTAACTAAGTTTAATAGTATCTAGTAATTTATTTAGTCAACTTTACTTAATGAAATAATATTTAATTATTATTATTTACATAATTTTTTATTTTTTACTAGTTAGTACAAAATTTATAGCATTAGTGTGTCATTAAAGTAAAACACATATTTTGTTAAGATATGATCTATCATTTATGTAAGATAAACATTGTTATTATACAAATATTAGGAATAGTGATGCAAACATTTAATCTATTTAAAATAAATAGATTTCAATAATATTAAATATATGGTTGATACATAAAAGTATGGTTAATCAACTTAGAATGATAATAAAACGTTAATAAAATATTGATTGAGCCTTTTTCAAATAAGGTGAATCAGTTACATGGATCAAAATATGTTATGTTTTACTGTAACTTATATCTATTGACAAACTATTGGCCTATAATCTTTGTTAATGGTAATATGAATGATAATAAAAACAAAATCAGAATGCATGTGCTTTCCTCATTTGTTTGCCAATATTGAATAAAAGCACTGACGCCAATATCTAATATAAATACCAATAACGTCCCGGTTGAAGGAAGGATGGAGATTTATGTGTATGCCACAAGTTCAATCTTGATAATATTTTCAATATATATATAGAAAGAAAAAAATCATCCACAACAAATTGTGATTTTATTCCATTTGCAACTTGTTAAATTTGTGTGCTAGAGAACGCGCAGTATAGTATCAGTGCTAACAGTTCCTTCCACTTAAAATTAGTATGACTTGGATCTATACCAGTCTCATTTGCTGGCTGCATGAATCTGTTCATAAAATCCCACTGTATGAAAATGTGTATCTGGCTATGAATCACGTGAAGAGCCTCTGGAGAATCTATTTCAACTTAATATCACATGCTTTTTTCGTTTTAGATATAAATTATCATATGCTTGGATCCTCTCCTCTACTTCTTCAACCATCCATGTATTTAGCTCACAATGAATCTACATGGATGATGAATAATATATCCAAGGTGATAAAAATGCTGGATAAGCCAACCAAAACCATTGGTTGTCCCCCAAGAGGCCACTATAGCAAGCCAGACCCAGATTGACACAAGCAGTCCCATCCATCTTGAGGGTATAATTAACCCAAGCTACATTTCAATGCAGGGAACCTGGACATCAATCTCGGAATGTGAGACTGCACAACCCAAGCATCAATCAGTGTAGGGGAATATCCATTAAGCCATAGTAGGCAGTGATTGGAACCTTTCCTACATTATTAAGGTATTACCTCACACTACAGACTGTGGTTTTGAGCCCCTCATAAGAATCTTGTTCTTCCACCTCCTCATCAAGCATGAAATCAATATCTGGAACATACCCAGCCCACTTCATCTCATCCACAAGTAAATGAGTTTGCTGATATATCTCTTCAGATCTTGGATGTGCCTTGTCTCCAACAAGAAATGCATGTACCTCGTCTCTTACCTCAATCCAGCTACAACCTGGCTCCTTCTTTAACTTACAGTGCTTCATTATACTTCTTATTCTTGCGACCTCACCCCACATCCCTATGTTAGCATATACATTTGATAAAAGAACATAAGCAGAAGAGTCTTGAGGGTCCAACTGCAATAAAGAATTGGCTGCTTTTTCTGCAACTTCTACATTCCCTTGTATCTTGCAATTACTGAGCAAAGTTCTCCAAATGACATCATCAGCTTCAAAAGGCATGCTTTCAATAAGCTTCAAAGCTTCATTTACTTGACCCGACCTCCCTAGTAGATCTACCATACATGAATAATGTTCCATCTGGGGATCTAAACCATAGTGACTTTGCATTTTCTGGAAGTAATGCAGCCCTCTGTCTACATAACCCATATGTGCACAGGCTCTGAGCACTGAAATAAAAATTGTGTGATTTGGTTTCACATTCAAAAGCTGCATCTTCTCAAATAATTTAATGGCATCTTCTCCTAGACCATGGTATGCATATGCACATATCATGGCACTCCAAGTCACGTAATCTCGCTTTGGTGCCTTCTCAAACATTAGCCTGGAATCCTGCATATTTCCACACTTTGAATACATATCTACAAGGGTGCTGGCAATATACACATCTGAATGCAACTGTAGCTTTAAGGTTTGAGCATGAATCTGCTTTCCAAGTTCGATAGTTGCCATATTAGCACAGATATCAAGAACTGTAGCATATGTGAAGTTGTCAGGTATTACACCCATTTCAAGCATCTGGGAAAAATACCTCTGAGCATTTTCACTTTGCTTTTGGGATGAGAATCCTGAAATGATCGAATTCCAGGAAACAGTTGTTTTCTGTTCCAGTCTGTCATGGATCTTTTCTGCCTCCATTAGCATTCCACACTTGCAATACATATCAACAAGGGCACTGCCAACAAACCAGTCTAACCCCATCCCAGACTTAATAATTCTTCCATGGATCTCCATGCCACAGTTTAATGCTTGCTGACCAGCACATGTCTTTACAACACTACCATAAGTAAAATCATCAGGTTCCATTGTTGATTGCAGCATTGATACAAAAAGAGAAAGTGTTTTCTCTACTTCTTCATTTTGCTCATGAGCAGCAATGATTGCATTCCAAGACACAGCATCCCTTGTTTCCATCTCATCAAATATTAAACAAGCATCCATCAGTGCTCCACATTTGCCATACATGTCTAAAATAGTGTTTGCAACACAGATATTAAACCCTAAACCACATTTGACTGCTAATCCATGTAATTGAATCCCCTCCAAATAGCCTTTGATCACTGAACAAGCGGTTAAAGCACCAGACAGACTAATTTCGTCAAAGCCGAGATAAGACTTCTGCAAAGACTGAAAAATCTCTAAAGCTTTTAGACCTTGATCTTGCCTAGCATATCCAACAATAATGGCATTATAAGATTGCCGAGTAGGATTAGGCAATGTGTTAAATAGCTTTCGGGCATCAGATATTCTGTCACATTTTGCATACATGTCCAATGTGGCAGTTCCAACTATACTATCATATCCAAAATCAGCCTTTAGTGCGTGACCATGCAACTGTGTGCCTAATTTAAATGCAGACAACCCAGCACAAGACCTAAATACGCTGGCATAGGTTGATTGACTCACCCCCATACCTACTTTCAGCATATCTTTAAACAGTTTTAATCCCTCAACAAACCAATCATTCTGAACATAGCCTGCAATTACAGCACTCCAACATATCAAATTTCTTTCAGGCATTTCACGAAAAACCTGAAAAGCATCATCTAGTTTCTTACATTTTGAGTACATATCTACCAGAGCACTACCCGTCACCACATCATTCTGAAAACCCATCTGAATTGCAAGGCAGTGCACCTGAAGCCCCAAGCCATAGTCTTCAATACCAGAACAAGCTTTTAAAACAACAGCAAAAGTAGCATAGTCATGGGGAATTTTCAGTGATCTCATCTTGACAAAAATTTCAATTGACTTTCGATTAACACCATTCTGTAAATAACAAGAGAGCAAAGAATTCCAGGAAACCACATCTCTCTCAGGCATTGAGTCAAATAAAGACTGTGCAAACCCCATGTTTCTAATTCCTGCATACCCAAATATCATAGTGTTCCAAGAGATTATGTCCCTTTGGGGCATTCTGTCAAACACCCTGAATGCGTAGTCCATATTGGAAGTTTTGCTATAGAATTGAAGTAAACAATTGGCAACATAGATGGTGGGCACAAAACTAGTTACAATCATCTGGGCATGGGCTTGTTTGCCAGGATTCAGGGTTTTAAGGCTGGAACATTTTTGGAAAATATGGGAAAATGTTAATTTCTGTGTGGGGTTCATTTGGGTTAAGGAAAGAGTGCAAAATGCATAAGGTGGCAAGGTTTTGATGAGTGAGTTTAATGGAGAAGAATTGAGCCTTGCAAGACAAAGGCCACAAGACACAGTATGCTGTAACATCTAAAGACTATTGTAGTACCATGCATGCATTGGCGGGATTTTCACACTTCAAAACAAAATTAACAATTGTTCTTCTAGTAGTTTTGTTTCCCTTTCCAAGTGGTCTTGGAGAAGAAAATTCCAAATAATTTGAATAAATCTAGTAAAGTTTTCTTTAAATAAAGATAAATCAGGCTTAAGAGAAAAGGTAAATAATTAACATTTTTGTTTGTTCGAAAAAATAGCATCACTTGTTCATTTTTTTTTGTTTAATTGTGTATTTGCCTATATATTTTTTATCTTATGTAATTTTAATTACTCACGTTAATTTTTATTAAATGCTAATTTTTAATTATTCTAATTAAGTCTTTTATATTAAAATTTTAATAATTAATTAAAAATATAATAAGTAATATATTATTGATTTATATAAATTAATAAAAAAAATATATAAGATATTTAAATAAAAATAGTAACTGATATGTATAAAATATGATAAAAGTTTTTTATTTTAAACATTTTTAAAAAAAATCATGTAAATTATTAATATAATATTTTTATTATATTTTAATAAATTATTAGATAATATTTTAAGATGAGCAATTTAATTCAAATAATTAAAAAATATTTAAAATTAAAAATAAAACTAATTAGGCCAGAAAATAAAAAAATAAAGTGCAGTTAAATCTATTTGTTTTAAAATCAGTTTTCTCTAAAAAAAGAATAGGTCAAATCTAAAAACTATATAAATAAAATTATTTTATTCTTGTAAAAAATAGCTAGTATTTTACTATCATTATTATATAATGACAGTTAGAAATCTTTTCAATATTCTTGAAATATGTTATCTTCTCTTTAAAGTAAGATAACGAACACGTATAGCTATTTTTCAAATTAGTTGATTACATACTCAATGGACATACTCAATGGTTTAATACTATATTAAAAAAAATTACATTCATATTTGTAACAATTCTATTAATATTAAACTTCTAATTGCATGTGCGGTTGTATGTTAAAATGCTAAAAAATATATTTAATTTGTTATAATATAATTTTGTAATATTTAATTGCTTATGATTAAAATTAATTTTATCCTTAAATTCATGTTTAAATAAGCATGGTCAATTATAATTTCTGTACTGAATAAAATTTTTATGATAAATTTTACTATAAATTTATGTTTTAAAAAAATTAAACATAAATTACATCACTTTAAATTCACTTTTAAATAAGATTAATTTTACAAAATTAAATTTATTCAAATTCAAATATATAAATGGTCACCCAAAGAAACCCTACATGAACTAGCCTTTGAATTTACAGCTAATGTGTTACCAAGTTAACATGCATTAAACCAGACCCAACTCTATTAGTTTCTGATAATAAATACTACTGCTCAAAAATTCAAATTACAATGTTAAGACCAAATTTTGATAAACATTGAAATGCTAAACGTACTCTTTATAATTGGTCCAAGTTTACTAAAAAAGTTAATAATAAATAATTAATATATTGAAAACAGAGTGTTACTAACATTAACATTAAGATTTTTCTTAATAAATAATGTTTTTAAATTCAGTTCACAACATTAAAAAGCATTGGATATTTTATTGCATTTTAAAATATTAAATGCATTTATTTTTTTTAATATTCTTAATCAAATGCTAGAAAGATTGACATAAAGATATTATTAGAAGATACAACATTATTCATTGTATAAGTGATGTGTCACTCAACAAGTGGTGTGATGCAATAGTCTATTATCTTTTCTATTACAAGGATTTCTAAGGATATTTCTGTACTTTTCCTTGAAAAATCAAGGGTCTGTTTATTTTTTTTAAAATTCTATTTCTATTTTGTTATTTTTAATTACAAAATTATTATTTTATTTTTATTATGATTTCTTGGATTGGTGGTACTCAATTTAAAGGTCATGATTTGTTGCATAACCTTAAAAGAACCTGAGAGGTTAAGATTGAAATGAAATGGGTGTCATCTTTTACAGCAGTGAATCCTAGAACCATGATAGCAGTTTATACCGTTATAGATATGCAATGCAACAAAGTTCTCTGAGATCTTATGGTGGATTTACTTTACCTACATATATATCCACTTTTCAGATTTGTTTTTTAACTAAGAAAATTGGAGCACAGGTAAGAAAGAAAAACAAAACAAGGGTGTCATTTTCATAATTTCATTAACCTGATGATCCCATAGTGTCCTTCTTGGCACTCAGAGAGAGCACTCATTTCCTCTAGAAACCTTGCTTTTGTGTGGCCCTTGATGGTGGCTTTGGTTCAACATTTCTACCAAGTACACCCCTTTACTTCCAAATGATTTAATTTTTTTTTAAAGGGTAAGTGGGGGCTAAGAATCATTATTACTTCAATCATTCTAGGTTTGAAAATGATGGGCAAGAAGGGTCTCTCAAGCTAGTGCCCCTTTTGTTTAGCTTTCTTTGTTGCTTTAGCTTACTCTTCACTTGTTGTTTCTTGATTACCCCTTTTGTCTTACCTTACCGGTGCATTAGCCCCCACTACCACTTTACCATTTTATAGCACACCCAACATAACATTGACAGCACCTGTTAACTCTGTTCTCTAAATAGGTCAGTCTCAAAGTGTGAAATTCCACAAAGCAGGCTTAAGGCAACCCAATTTTTTATCCGGGTGCATTTAGATAAATGCTTATTTAAGCATTTATTTAATATTTTTTAAGTTATATTTTATATTTTAAATTTAACGATGAAATTTATTAGAATGAGCTTAAAAACAACTTATTTTAATAAACTATACCAAAAAACTTATTGAAATAAGTTAAAAATAACTTATGAGAGTTATAAGCTATTTTTCATAAGTTATTCATGAGCTCTTTCAAACATACCTGTATATCCATTGTATTGGAGAGGAGGAATCTTTTTGTAAACCAAGAAAAATATGACTTGGGTGCCCACAGATAACCAATTAGCATAATAATAATTGATTCCACCAATAGTCAATTTTGGTTTAAATAACAATAATATTGATTATGTAAGTTTATCCATTATTAGACATAAGGCAAAAGGCTTATCCTCTTAGCCAAAGATCATTGTGACATCTTTGTGCTTCAGAGTGATGCCTAGACAAGAAATTCTGGTCAAGGAGGCACTGGATTCTGAACAATTTGGTCAGCTGATTTCAGAGACATCAAAGATAATGTTGAAGAGAGGACACATAAGAACAAAATCAGAAGCATAAAAGAGAGTCTAAAACAGACAACAAAGCAAAATAAGGCACCCTCAAGAGGGTGCATATCGCAGCATATCACATACTAATAATTCTGTGCTATGATAGCAATAGCATTTGATAATTCAATTTTGAATTTGAAGTATGTTGTGTCATCTCATGTTTGGAGAGAATAAAAGGAAAAATTGGGCAAGATGCTTCTTACATATTTCTCCTTCTCATTGCATGAATGCAGCTTGCTTTAGTTTTCTTAATAATCAGTTTTTGCTTCCATCTAATGGCTAAAGTTATTATTATTATTAAATTCTGTGTAATCTAATTGGTCTTTAACATCTTTATCCATATTTAAAAGCTTACATATGCATTCTTGTACTTCTGCAGCACTGATCCACTTCAATAAACTTTTAATTGGTGTCTTTGGAAGTTTCGTATTAACATTTAATAAAAATAGCTGGTTTCATATGAAGCAGTTTCTGAGTCCCTATAATATCATTCTATTGAGGCCTAAGGTTTTCAAATGACTTTTAATTCTACACGACTCAAAAATATCTGCCATGCCTTCTGATTTTCACTGGTTGATTAATTTATTAAATTGATCACTTTGATGCTCAATTGGTTGGAGCGCAATCCACTACCATATGATTATGTTTGTAATCAAACTAAGTGGCAAACGTTAAATTGCACTTACCCTTGTATTAATAATATCAAATTAAGTTTAATTTTGTCATAACACACAGTTAATGAAGTCTAAAAATAGCTGCTTAACACATGGCTAGAGTATGAAAATTGTGGTTGGATAATTTACGACAGCTGACACGATTACACAGTGGCAGCAATAAGAATATTAACAACATAATAACAGCTTCTTATTGATATGAGAGGTACATTTTATGACATGCCCAATAGAAAATTGGGGAGAATATACCCAATTTGCAATAAAAATGAATTATGTGCACTAACTTTATTATCACAAAATGTTTTGTCAGGGATCCAAAACCATAAAGAAGTACGTAATCCATTATATAATTGTACATGCAAGTGAAATGTTGCACCAAGCAAATATCTTAATACAATGACTTTTGCTAAAGAGAAAAAATATAAAGATCAAAAGTCAGGTACATAATATCTGTAAAGGAAAATACAACGAGATGTTTATGAGATTCTTGCTAAAAAATGATCATGATACGTGTCGAAAGCAAGTGAAATCCTCAAGTACTATTGTACTAGCTAGTATCCAATTTCAAAGATTCCTTGTCTTGATCTTCTTCCTATGAATGTGTAAAATGGTTTTGTTTTCTTTGTAGCTCCTATATTGTGATGCTTGGGGTATATTTGGTTGATGTAAACAAAGGAAATGAATTGATTGATAATTGAAAATTAAATACCTATAGCTATATATTTGTTGAGATCTAACCCTTCTTGTCATGCACATTGAGAAAGAAAAATGTGGGTTGTGATAATGGGGTGCACACGCATGATCATGTGACACCACCCGCCGCCCATGCTTGTTCCTTCCCTAACATCTATCCCTAAACTATATAGGAGAGAAAAAGAAAGAAGAAAAGGCCAAAATCATATATTAAATAAATAAATAAATGACAAATTTTTAATTTAAATTGTACATATTGATATCCCACAAAATATAAAGGAGGAGGAATTAGTTATTTTGCCAATTTTATTACTATCAAATTAATAAATGTGTTGTTCTTAGAAGTGAAATGAATACATGGAAATGTTTATATAAATTTGAGTGGTGTCAACTTGTCAAATTTAGTACATCAAAAAGATCAAAAAAATCGTAAGTAGGTTTGAACAACGAATAGTAAAATTTTTTGGTCAACTTGTGCCACATGATCGACTTTGATCATGAAACTTAATCATGCATATATTCCAAATTTTAAACACTTTTATTTTGTGTATTTATATTAGGAATATTTTTTAGTGGACAATTAATGATTAATTTCTTAAAAATGTATACATAACCGAAGTTCTAAACTTTCTAATGTATATATGTTATGACAAGTTAGACTTTTCTCATTAAAAATATTTGTATAAAAAGAATCATTAAGTAATTTGAAGGTGATAATTTTCAACAAAGTTTTGATTAAAAAAATCACATGTTGATTAGGGAGCAATATAAATAGACAAATTATCAAGAAACGTCATATTAATTAGTGAAAATTATCTTATAACTTTTTAATTGTCAAAATTATTTATGTTATTTATTTTTCATCGGTCAATCACAGCCACTTAACGACTATTACGTGAATAAAATATAATTCATCTTTGAAAAGTTAATAGTAGTTATTGAATGATTAATATTTTGATATTTGTTCTCAACGATTATTGTTCATATTTGATTGGTCAACATGACTATCACGTGAATGATTATAATTTATCTTTAAGTGATTAACATTTCATTACCGTCAGCTATTATTATTCATAATGCAAAGGTTATCACTCATTTTCAAATGGTTAAGTGTAGCAATCCAATGATTAACAATATAAGGGCTTAAATAAATTTTTATTTAGACCAAAATGAGAGTCAAACCCAAGATACCAAAATGGGAATTTGTTCTTTATATAGATTTCCATGTGATGTATAAAGTTCTTACCTAATTACTTTTTTTTTTATTTGTATCAAAAGTATAGTACTCAATATATATATATATATATATATATATATATATATATATTGAATACTATAAATATAACAATACTTAATCTAAAAATGAATAAATATATACCTTTTAACAAGTATAAATCAAGCACATCTATTCAAACAGACCCACAGATATCAATATAATTAAAAGAAAATTAATTAATTATTTGATTATAAATAATAATTGATATGACTTAGATGACACTTCTGTATTGAATATTTGTGCAAACAAATCAACAATGGCATGTAAAATAAAAGAAGTTATATTTTTGTTGGGTGGTTGATTTGACATGTTGAGAATAGGGTGGTGCAATAGACGCCCATGCGTGCTTGTTAGCATGGACCCTACACATGACATTTATCGTGCGCCCGCGTTTCTCTCGTCTCTCGACCTTTTCTTTTTTTGGATTGAAATTGTCAACCAATAAATTAATACCTTCGTCTAATATATATTTTCTAAAAATAAAATATTTTTATTCATTATTAATGATATATAAAATTTTAAAAAATATTTTTTATTGATAAATATATTAATGAAAAGGTAACTTAAAAGATAAACCAAACATTGTAGGATATGTTTGTTTTTTTTAAAAATAATAAAACCTTGTTTGTCAAATTAAGTTTTTAAAAATAATTTTTCATTTCAGTTTTTATAAATTTGTTCTACAATTTATTTTTAAAAACTAAAAACTTTTTTTAAAAATTAAATCAAACATGTTCTGACTTATTTTGATTTTTTTATTTCTCTTTTTAAAATAGTTAAAAATTCAGAAAATTCACTTTTCATTAATGATAAAATTATAAATTAAAAAAGAAAAACAAATGTTAGGGTTTAGGGTCTCAAAGGATTTCTGAAAAAAAAATTGCACAGAATTTTCTCACATTGTTGATTTTGATTTTAGTTTTAAATTATTTGTTTCTATTATAATTTTTAAAAATTATATTTTAAAACCTAATGTTTTTCATGCTACGTACCTAATGTTTTTTTTTTTTTAATGAACCTCTATTACGCCAAGTAAGTTCAGTCCACACATTTGAAATAATTTAATACATTTTTCTAAACAAAATGTTTTTTTTTTCACGCTTAAATAAACATACCAACAAAAAAAAAATCAGTAAAAAAAAAGTTTATAGTAGTTTTCATAAATAAAAAATAAATACTGCAATCACTTAATTTTAAAGATACTAGAACCGAGGAGTAGTGGTTTCACATAATATATGCATATTTTTTAATCTTGCATATTGAAATTTTTATAATTAAGACAACTAATTCTATCATATTATAAATTTTTGTGACTTGAATAGATTTTTCTTTTATGGAAAATATTACTAAAAATATTAATCATTTAATAACAAATAAACTAGAAATTAAAGTAATAAAAAAAATTCATAAGGCATGTTAACTATCTTGAATGAAAGTAAAATAATTTTGATTCAGTGACTGTACCAAATAGACAACAGTTAAATCAAGTAGCCGAGCCTGACTTAGTACAGCAATTTTAGGACAATGTCACATTTTCTCAATACTTGGTCCCCTGAGAAATAGTGAACATGTAGACAAATGGCAAGAATATTACGTTGTATATTACTAGAATAATGTTTCATTAACATCTATTGAATGAATGTTAAAAGGGTGAAAGAAAAAATATAAAAAAAAAAGTGAGTATAAAAGTATAATATTTAATCATACCGAAGTTCTGATTAAATTGAAATCATATCCTAGCATAAGATAATATTTTATTCCTGAAAACCATTGCAAGTTTTATTTGGATGCAGAGAAAAAATAATTCATATATTATTAGCCATTATCCAAGTTATTCAACCACTTACTAAAAATAATACAATTAACTATTTATGCAGAAGAACTAATCATGCTTTATTACATCACTATGGAAACCAAAACACCCTTACAGATTCGAATCCCCTTTAGGAAATGGGTTGCTCAATAGTCAATATGGAAGCATTAACACAACTGTTTTTGCGTTTTGCTTTTCTAAAGCTATATTATTTATTGGCCAAGTTAGAGTATATGCGATGTAGATTAAGAATCAAATTCCAAATAGATTGTATGCAAGGGTCATTGTCATAAATTTTGGTTTGGTCTCATTTATTATATTTATGGCATAATCTATATGACATGTTAGTATAGATAAATCAAATCATTGTTTTAATATAATACAGGCAAAGAAAAAGTTTAGAGGAATCCTTCTCTTCTAAAACACAGGTGTGCTATAATAACTAACCCACTCAGAAATCAAGATTATGCTACAACTTTTATGGCTAAGCACTAATAGATAAGTTGAATTAGCCATTAGTATTTTTGGTTTCTTATAAACTAGTTGAATTTTGTATTCAAATTGGCTTAGGCTATAATTGCCATTATGGAGCTAAACAAGTTTAAGGTCTTCACGTGCTTTTGAGGTCTCATATTTGTATATATAAGTCTCATTTTTTATCCTATCTACCACATCTGAAACTAGGAATGACCTCAATTTATTTACTTCTTGCTGCCAAGTGGAGTTGAACATTTTGTAAAGTATTCAACTTTAGATAAGGAAAAGAGTTAAAAAATCATTAAAAAAATTCAAGCATGCATACCAATAATATAAAATAGAAGTAATTATAACGAGACAAGGACTAATACTTCCAATTGTGGACTAGGATAAGAGAGGTAAACGCAATTGACATGGATATGAACAAAACTTAAAACCAGTTGCTAGTTGCAGATAGTCAATGATAAACTAGACCAAAAAAATATGAAGGGGAGAAAGTTCAGCATATAATCTGATTTAAATGTAAAGTTGAGAACTTTGTAGTCTTGTGGTTTAACATTTTGACCAAAGTCACCAAACCAGTGTATAGTACAAGCACAAAGTAGAGTACAAGTACAAGCATGTCAATGAAAGACATATTGATAAGTCTCCCAGTATATATACAAACATACCCTTATGCTCATTCTCACAAGTTAGAAAAAATAAATAGAGATACTTCACTAGAGAGAGAGAGAGAGAGTAAAGAATAATCAGAAGACAAGAAAAGAAAGAGGAGTCTAAATCTGTCTAATGATATTGTTGACCAATTAGTCCACTTAATTAGACTCACACGGGAAGTGCAGGGAGAAATCATTTTTCTAAACTAGATTTTTGGTTCCTGTTCTTCTAAATTGATTTAAGCTTTTGATTTAGTGGAAGATGCAATAGGAACACCATTCTTATTCATTAATTTCCACCATATATATGCATTATCATTTTTTCCACTCAGTTGGGTGGTTAAGTCTAAAATCATCTCTCTTTCTCCCTGAATGAGTAATATTGTTTTCATTATACGGAAAATGATGGTACCAAACTCAAAAAGCTACCTAAGTAACCAAGTTTTAGTATGCCAAGTATCATATTTTGTCAGGAACGAAATGGATTTCATGCCATGGATAACAACTGCTTGGAAGAGAAAGCACATAAAATCACTGTATGATCTTTTATTTCATTCATGTTCATAACAAAATGAATTTATTAAAAGCAATTAGAAATCTTTATGCTGATTTTATCATTTTCTTATTAAACAAATAATAGCCTATTGTAAAGAAGCGGCAGTGTGGAACTATTGGCCTCTTTCTGATTGGATATTTAACAACTTGTCAACACCACTAAAAAGATTGCTAACCTTTTCCCTCTCCCTTAGGGCTACTAAGTCTTTTCACATTCATATCATGTGTATCCTAAAGGTTCATCATATAAATTAATCAAGGAAATACAATTTAGGATGTGCAAATTTAAAATTTTAATGAGATTTTGATCAAGTATGGTCATCCTTGGTGGTGACTTTTTTATTTTATTTAACAGTTACTTTCAAATCTTTAACAATCATAAGCAGTCATATAACACTAATTTGTTTCAGCAGGGGCAGTTTATATGGAACAACCATGATAATATGCTAGAACACGTCGTAGTTGCATAACCTTACTCTTACACACTCCTTAATGCAAATTATTGGATAAAAACCTGGTCCGTACTATAACTTTTTCTGAATGGTTAAGATTGTGCACATATCTTACCTAGTTTATGCATCTTTTCCAAACACAACTTGTTCATCTTTTTAACAGCTCTATACAATGAATACAAAATACTAACACCTTGAGCATTTGTGCCACATAATTGGTGTGGGTAGAGTAATAGCAGATCTTGCTTTTCCTTGAGATTACTATTAAAGCTGTCATTACCAAGACGAAATAAACAACTAATACCTAACCATACTAAAAAAAACAGAAGTGGTTGCTGATCAAATATTTGGCTTCTAGTTACTTATATTATTGTTTATGGAGGTCCCAGTAAGAGTGGCTCTTGAGTCATCAAATTCATCAACCTTTCTTTCTTACTATTAGAAATGAGCTTGTCTTTCCCAATCTCCTTTATCTTCTAAATTTCTTATGTCATTTAAGTGAACATTATCCAACAGAGAATCAGCTTAGAAATAACACATTATTATACACTTACTATACTAAATTGACTTCTCAAACTCCCATTTTTCTTCTGTGCCTGCTTTTGCCTAAACAGTCTGCTAGTTGAATTATTATACTCCCCATGATATGAACTGCCTGTGTCTATCTGATGTAAGCATATTTTGTCCAAAATGATTATCCATTAACCCAAGTTGCCTCCCTCATGTTGCATCACCCATGTCTATGTGCAGAATGTCTTTCACACATAGCTTGTTCAATGAACCCAATACCCCACATAGCACATGAACAGAGCATGCATGTCACATCCACAAATAAATAAACACAACACAACATTTTGCTTGTGTGGATTAATCTTTTTCATTTTAGAAAACTTTTTGCAAAATGCTCCAAAGAGAGTCTTTACTTTTTAGGTTAAAGGGTTTATCTATCTATCTATATATATATAAAATAAACATTAAGGTACATTTGAGATAAATAACTTAATTTAGTACTTATTTGATAAGAACTTATTACATAAAAGCTTATTAACAAACTCGAATGTGACACTTGCTACTTAACAAAGAGAACTTATTTTGATATTTTTTGTAAGAATCTTATTTATAAGTTAAAAAAAAAAAACTCATATAAAAGTTGAATTATTTTTATAAGCTCTTTATAAACTCATACTCAAACATTGCACGCATAGACAAGGACATAACTACAATGCTAGTGTACTACATTAACATCTTGTTCTTGCGCATGACATTCCATCAATCTGTGCTTCAAAAAAACAAGGAAAAAAAAAAAAAAAACCCTCAATACTATTACTCTTGCCACATTGAGTGGGGCCATCTAACCATTTTCCCTCCCTATATATACTCAACTAACTCTTATTTCCTTCATCTCCATAGAAACTATTATTTATCCCTCAGTGTTATCTCCCCAAAGCCTTGCAATCTTTTGTTCATAAATTTCTACACCATGCAAGCTAGGGAGATTACAGGACTCAATTATTTACTCCCTTCAGACACTCCTCCTTATCCAAGTCACTACACCATGATTCAGAACAACATCCCCACATTTCAAATCCACAAACTCTCGAACCAATTCTATGGTTTCCAACACCAAAACCCTCCCCAACTACTTGCAGAATTCAGCCCTCAGTCCTCATGCATAAGCAGCAACTCAACTTCTGATGAAGCAGATGAGCAACAACAAAGCCTCATCAATGAGAGGAAGCACAGAAGGATGATATCAAACCGTGAATCTGCACGCCGGTCACGGATGAGGAAGCAAAAGCATCTTGATGAACTATGGTCACAGGTTGTTTGGCTGAGGAATGAAAATCACCAACTAATAGACAAGCTGAACCATGTATCAGAATCACATGACAGAGTTGCTCAAGAAAATGTTCAACTGAGAGAGGAAGCTTCAGAACTTCGCCAAATGCTATGTGACATGCAACTACACAGTCCATGCCCCCCCTTGAGCCCCATTGAAGATGTTCCCACCACTTCTCCCTATGTCAAATCTGATTCCTCAAACCAATCATCATTCACAAGCTCTATGGAACTTCTTGGTTAAATTTGAAGATAAAGCCAAAGTTTTTATATCTCTTCAATTTTTCATCTTTAAGTTCTTCTATGTGTGTGTGAACTGTGCAAGTACAAAATAGTACCAGTCTTTGCCTCCCTTTTGAGATGTATGAGGTGAAAACCATAAACGGCAATGACATATTTTGAATTTTTATTTTTATCATCAACTCACTAATTTTGCCACTACCTTCTAAATTCTAGTGATATGTTCTGAGCAATAAGCATTTAAAGTGGCTACAGAGCTACCTATAAACCTGCTGGATTAATTGTTAGCACCAACTTCTTGTGCACTCAGCAGATTAAAAAACACCATCATAATTCTTGCCCAGAAAACAATTTAGAAACCCTTTAACATTCATGACCTCATCTTCCAGTTCCAGCAGTAACCACAACAACAAAAGTAACAACCAACATGAATTATATAATTTCAATAAAAACCAAATAAATTTTAACTTATATATAATAATAAAGAAAATAAGTAGCTAAAAGAATTCTATAAATGTTAAGTCAAAATAAAACTTAATGTATCCTTAATGTAAAATAATAATGTAAGAGAGAGGTTGATAAGTGACAACATTTTTTTAAGTAGTATTAGATAAAATTTATGTGGTGTCACTAGTTGAATGTAATTTTAGAATTGTGCAAGTAATTATGTGAGGTGGAATATTGAGTGTATGAGAGTTGGACATGACGCATAGATAAAAGGGTGTGTGTAGTGGTTATTGGGTGACGATGGAAAAGGTTGTTGCTAAAAAAAGGGAAAACATATGGACAGGTTTTATAGAGGTAGTAGCATGCTTGACCAAATATTACTGGAAATAACTAAAGCTTTGTTAATTTACTCTCCATATAGGTTTGGACACGTTGTTGCAAATAGAAGCTGTGCATTTGCATAATGATTCACCTTTGGCTTTCCTCTAGTTTGGCTCGACTAAGAATAATTCGTGGAAATTAATGTTAGAGTAACACCTTTCCTTTTGGAATGTACTGTCATTCTATTAATCATCTGTTTATCAACATATCAAATTTGTTGTGTGAATATAAACGTCACGTTAATTAGTCATTTAATACTATATCTTCATCATCAAATTGATTTTCAAGAAAAAATTGACTTCATTTGTTATTACTAAATGAAAATATTTCATGTGCTTGATAATGGAAAACAGATTATACTAATCATATAAAGATGTTGATTAATATACCATTTAATATTGTTAATGCATCATAATTTTTATAAAAAAATTTGTATTGAAGTCTTAACTTTTTTTCCATAAGAATTTATAGTATAAATTTAACCATAAAATTTATTGGAATAAATTTAAGAGATTATTTAAAATAAATTATAAGACACTTATTAAATTAAGATTAAAGAAATTCTAATTATTATAAATTGTTTTCATAAGCCACCCTTAAACTCTTTTCAAATGCATCCTAGTTAAATTTTAGGTACTTTCAACTGCGAAAATTGATTACCAACTGAATACATTAAATTTATTATGTAAGCATGTCCTGAATTCCTGAAATTATCCCAGTAAGATATAGCTGTAGAACCAGTAAAATAATCTAACTCAACCTTGATTTAATGTAAGATTGCTCTTGTCACAAGTTACCCCATCAAACATGCTAAACCTTTTCTACTTTTGTATTTGTATAAGACAAAAGGTCAAGGTTGGTCCTGTCCTATGAAATTATTAACATATGGGATAGCTTATATATTCCCTAAAAATATTCAAAATACACCCAAACGGTTCATACAATTTGTTTTGACGGGTCTGGGAATAATTTTCTGATCTAAAGTTCAATTTTTTATACACTAGTCTAGAATAATTGAATGGGTCAAAGACTAAGAGGACTGTTTCAAAGATAACTCGGTCCAATTTTTATTTATTCTTTAATTTAAAATCATAAATATCTTTTGTAAAAAGTAATTTTGTTTAAATCACTTGAATCAACCATTTTTGTTGAATTTTTAAAAAAATTATTGGTGTAATAATAGGTTTTTCAATGGACAGGTACTACTTGAGTCAAGTTTAACACTCTACTTTTAACAGGGAGAAAAAGAATAATCTTGTGTTCTTAATTTTTATGATTGCAATCCAATCCTAGTAATTTGATTCCACACTGTGCAAAGAAAATGCTTCTAAGAAGATATTTCAAAACACAAAAATTCTAAACCTCCAAATTTTTTTATGCTAGGTATTTGATTTCTTTTCTGTTTTTCTATGCTGAAAATTAGAAAAAAAAAAAAAAACTGGTGTCACAGTATATGGTAGAGAAGATACTTATAATAGAGCTACATTTTATTTCATTCTAAAAAGAAGACTGATAATTTAAATTTGTGAGACCTCTCAACAAACCCAACCTCTTGATAGTTTTTACTTCACTCAACTTATCAAGTGTGTTTGGATTGAATTGTTTTAGTTGATTGCCTAAAAAATTATCATTATTTGTTTGATAACTTTTAAAAATCATCTTATAATATTTTATTAAATATTTTTTAATAAAAATAACTTATTTTAGATAAAAATTAGATCTTATAATTAAATTTTATTTTTAATAATTAATTATTTTAAATATAAATTAACTATTATACATGACTTTCTATCACTCCAAAAAAGTAATTCATTTTATATAATTCAAATATAATATATTAATTTAAAATTATTTCTCACTTCATACAACTAAGCACAAAACTTACTTTAGATAATCAGTTATGAAAACAATCGATATAACTTATATAATAGTCAATGTATCACCCCAGAAAAAGTAATTGACGAAGAAACTAAAAAGGTTTAAATTTTGTTAATATAATATGAAAATAAAAATTCAAATTTGATAAGATAGCTTCACAACTTACATTTTTCAATATACAATAGATGTATTTTATTAGATATGAATTATTTAATATTAATATAAGTGATAGTTACAATATTCATTATAGATCAGCATTTATATTAATTAAATTTACATAAAAAACACTACCACTTAAATGGAAAAAAAAGTTGCAAATGCAAAATGGATATATTCTATTAATGTCAAATTTCCAATTTTGCTCTCATAAATCATAAATAATCCATCATGCTGATTTCATTCACCTGTTGACATTGAAGTTTGATTTGAAGGCGAGTGTGTGAAAAGCAAAAGAAGAAAAGCAGGAACCACCAAACACGACAGATTCATATTGGGCCTGACTCTGACCCAAGTTTGAACTGGGCCGTCATAGTAAAATCAACGGTGTAGATTCCTCAAAAGCATGTTCCACCTAACCCCATTGGTTAGACAACTTTGACCGCATGCTTCCTTAACATTAACAAAATAATATTAAGATAAGAAAATTGCTTCTTCTTTTTTTCTGTTTGGTCTCAAAAATTTGGTGGTTGGTCTCATTAGCCATCGTCGGCTTTCAAGTTTCAACTCCTAACAGTACCTTAAAATAATAACAATAATACTTTTTTATTGCTAATTTTTCTCACTTTTATAATAATTATTGTTATATTATAAAGTATTATTAAATAATATATATAACTTATATCCCCACAGCTTTTGATCTGCTATCTGTGATACCCAGAACTCAATTTTTCTGTGATTCGCTTCAAATTTCAGGTCTGCCCTTCCAAGTTTCCCTTTTTACTTTATTGTTGAGATCCACTTTGAGTTAGTGTTGGTGGTTTATATGAGCTTAATATGCATGCCCAGAAAACTCTTTTGCAATTGCTTTGATTATTATGCTGGATTTCTTCTGTTTGTTGTGGTTTATGGAAAATCAATAGGGCAGTGTGATTGATCTTCTTCTGAGTGTTGCTGATCTACGTTTTTGTTCTAGTTTCTTGCTGATTCATACCCTTAATTGTTGTGAGATGAGTGTGCTGGACTGTGGTGTTCTGACATTTGCATGCAGCGGATACACTTGTTATGATTTGTTGGGTTGCTCTTTCTGTACCTTACGATTTTTTTTTTAAAAATAATAACAAAATACAAGTAATTGCTCTGTATTGCTACTCGAATATTGTCCTGTTGCATTTTGGTTTTTTGTGGCCTTTTGATTGTCACTTTGCTTGATATGTTCAGATCCAGGAAAGCATAGAGCTCGTTTGATAGTTGGGTTTAATAGTTAATACTAATCTTTTTGATAAGTTAAGAACTTATATTGAATTTGTTGCGTGGGGCAACATAAGAACCTTAAGCTTATGGTGCTCTAGTGTTTATATAGTAGGATCATGGAATCATTTTGACAATCACCCTTTATGAAACAAATTTGGGGAATCATGATACATTTTTATCTGTAAATATCTTGGAATTAGAAGACACCCTTTCTCCTCACTTCTTTATTGTTGGAATATGTTCAACATTTCAAGTTTTTTGTACTTGGTGGAAGTTTTATTTATGGCATTGAGAGTTCCCAATCAAATTCTTATTGTCTTTGGCTATTGTAGTTTACAGCTTTTTGTTTTCCTTGAATCAGAAGTTTGTGGCAGTTCTTGTGTGCTTTATTCTTATTCTCCTATGCATTATCAATCGTTGGACAGGAAATAAATTATGGCTCAACCCACAAATCCTACAAGAATAGGCCTTGCTGGACTGGCTGTAATGGGCCAAAATCTGGCACTCAATATTGCTGAGAAAGGCTTTCCCATTTCTGTTTATAACCGAACCACATCCAAGGTTGATGAGACTGTAGAACGAGCAAAACTGGAAGGAAATCTTCCAGTGTATGGCTACCATGATCCTGAAGCTTTTGTTAATTCCATTCAAAAGCCTAGGGTGATAATAATGCTCGTTAAGGCTGGGGCACCTGTTGACCAGACCATTAAGACCCTATCTGCATACATGGAAAAAGGTGACTGTATAATTGATGGTGGTAATGAATGGTATGAGAACACTGAGAGAAGAGAGAAAGCAGTGGCTGAGTTGGGTCTGCTCTACCTTGGGATGGGAGTTTCAGGTGGTGAGGAGGGTGCTCGACATGGTCCCTCTTTGATGCCTGGAGGTTCCTTTGAAGCTTTCAAATACATTGAAGATATTCTTCTCAAGGTGGCAGCTCAGGTCCCTGACAGTGGTCCTTGTGTCACTTATGTTGGTAAAGGTGGATCTGGTAATTTTGTGAAGATGGTCCATAATGGCATTGAATATGGTGACATGCAGCTGATTGCAGAGGCTTATGATGTGCTGAAATCAGTTGGAAAGTTGTCAAACGAGGACCTACAAAGTGTTTTCTCAGAATGGAACAAGGGAGAACTTCTGAGTTTCCTGATTGAGATCACTGCAGATATATTTGGAATTAAGGATGATAAAGGAGATGGATATCTTGTTGATAAGGTTCTAGACAAAACTGGCATGAAGGGCACTGGCAAGTGGACTGTTCAGCAGGCTGCTGAATTATCAGTTGCTGCTCCCACCATTGAAGCTTCTTTGGATGCTAGGTTCCTTAGTGGGCTGAAGGAGGAAAGAGTTGAAGCTGCAAAGGTCTTTAAATCAGGTGGCTTTGCTGATATCTTGACCGACCAACCTGTAGACAAGAAGAAGTTGATTGACGATGTTAGGAAGGCTCTTTATGCAGCCAAAATCTGTAGTTATGCACAGGGGATGAATCTGATCCGTGCAAAGAGTATTGAAAAGGGTTGGGATTTGAAGTTGGGTGAACTGGCCCGGATTTGGAAAGGGGGTTGCATCATCAGAGCTATATTCTTAGACAGAATCAAGCAGGCATATGACAGAAACCCTAATCTGGCAAATCTTCTTGTGGATCCAGAGTTTGCAAAGGAAATAATTGATCGCCAATCTGCCTGGAGGAGAGTTGTTTGCCTTGCTATAAATTCTGGTATCAGCACTCCAGGTATGTCTGCTAGTCTTGCTTATTTTGACACTTATAGAAGGGAACGTTTGCCAGCTAATTTGGTGCAAGCTCAACGAGACTACTTTGGTGCTCATACATATGAAAGGGTTGACATTGAAGGGTCTTACCATACCGAATGGTTCAAGCTTGCCAAACAGTCCAGAATTTAGATTATTGTATCAGGATTTTGAATAAATGTAATGTTTTCTGCTCAGACTGTATGCTGAGTTGAGTTTATTTACATAGCTGCAATGCGGTGAAGTTTTATTCCATTATATCCAACTGAATGGCATGCTATTTTTGTTTTCCAACAACTATGTTGTATCTTTGCTGTTTATGCTTGATACAAAATTGTCCCAGTTCATGGTGCCCTTTTAGTTTTCACATTTTGATAACATTTCCTTTAGCACCAAGGATGCGTGTTATGTTACTGTAGGAATTGATTTTTTTGTTACTCTGTTAACATTTTGAGTTTCATACTGATCCAATGTCAAATGCAAAAAAGTTTGTTATCTTAGAATATCTTTCGTGATTAGGTTTTGGATATTATTAGTGGGGTTGAGCTTGTACTATTAGTGCTAGTACTAATTATTAGTATAAAAATGAGTATTTAGTATTGGGTAAAGGTATTGTACAACATTACCTCTAGTAATAACATACTTTGTTTATTAACTTGAGCTTTCTCTCTTTTTTTCCTTCCCTAATCCTAAATTTATAATTCTTAGCGTACATTATCATTTAATCAGATGTTGTCAAACCATCAAGATTCTATCAAGTCAAAACACTTTTAATGTTATGCGGCAACATATGATTGGTTGGGTGATAGTGATAAACAGTGGATCTAAATTGAATCCGTATTTTTTACTCTGCCTGTGTTGTACTCAAACTTTACATAGCTAGTCCTAACCCCAGTTAATGAGGATAGATTTTGGAAGCCAACATAAAAATTTGTCAATTTTTGTTTATTCATGGATCAACAATTCAATTTTTGGGTTTTGATAGAGGTCAATGGCATTGATTAGTCAATGAAACTGGCCCCATTTAGTAGGATAATAAGTATTGGATGTTGTTGTTGCTTTAATTTCTACTTTAATAATAGTTGCACACTTGAAATTGCTCAGTTGTGGAGATTGACAAATTTTGATTTTGGGTAGCTTGCCCCAGTGACAAAGACAAATCAGTGGAGAACTGGTCCAAAAGTGGTGATGAAGAACCCGTTGAAACAGTTGTTTCAATTTTTATTTTTTCTAATTTTCAATTTTTTATTGAACCAATTGTTTGAAGTCAACTAAAGGACCGATGTTAAGTTACAAAAGTCCATATATGAGGTTCAGTTATAAATATTTACTATTTAGCCTCTTATTTTTTAATTTTTTTTCTTTCCATGATGTATAAGCGTGATTTTAGTGTTACAATTATTTAAGACTTTACCTAACTTTTTTTTTTTTTATCATTTTATAATAGTTTGTTAATATAATATATAAATTTGAAAATATATGTTTGGTTAAACAAATAAAATCATGTGCTTTCCCATGCATTGTATTAATATATATTCCATGAAAGCATTCAGATTGGTATTTTAAAACACGTTTAAGGAGTGAGTGAGTGAGCTTTTCTTTTAATTAGTTTACACTCAGCTTTTCCCATACATTTCCACTTTTCTCTACTTCCTCCTTGTATTTGAGCTATTAGTTAGAAGTAACTTTTGTGAATAATCTTTTACTTTACTCTAACCTTCACTTTTTTCCTCTTTTGGCATTGAGCTTCTTGGATTTGTATACATTTTCTTTGAAGTTTTCAGTGTCAATAATGAACTCAATGATTGAGAAGTGCCTAATGGTTTTGTCAATAAATGAGCTCAATGATTGAGAAGCATGTAACGACTTTTGGCTGAACAAGGGATTGGCACAATTCATGTGCAGCTTTTTTCAGTAAATAATATCTTGCTAACATCCCAAGGGGGTTTGAAGTTTCGCTTTCAAATTCAATAATAATTTTGAAGTTATTGAGAATTGAATGAATTGTAACTCTTAATAAGAAGTTCCTCTCTCTAAAAGAAGTTTCGAATTTGGATAATAAGTAATAGATAGGATCTTAGTATTATCCATTATTATCTTTGCCTGCGTTACTTGCCTGCTAATTTATACGTGAGAATCTATTAAAATCACGAGTACTCTTAGCAGTTGTGACAATCCAATTGAGTATTTAAAAGTAGTTTACAGGCTGAAAAATACAGAAGTCGAGGGTGATTGACATGTGATAGCTCTCATCAGAGTGTAGCAACACATATATTTTTAGTATTGTTCATTGAATTTTCATCTCGATAATTGGTTTAAAAGTTAACATTAAAGCTCAGGATAAGTTTATGAAATAAAGTTTTAATTTTAATTAGAGACTAACACTAAAAGTAATTATGGTATTGTTTCATTCATACTTCTCATGGAAACTATACAATATATTGTAAGGCAAAATTTAGTTAGATTGCCAATGTTTGAGCATGTAATATCAACTTTTGTTGCGTGGATTATTAAATTGAAATTTCAATTTTAAGTGACAAATAATATAAAAAATACTTAAGGGATTACACCTAAATTTAGGCTTCTATTTTAGGATTTTAATTTTATATAGCAGTGAGCATTGTGACAATCCTAAATCCATATACTACCAAAATTACCATCAAAGATTCAAAAGTGCCTGTTATTAATTAATAAATGGGACATGTACAAATTTATTTACAAATAAAATGGTCATGTTCTGTGTGTACTTGATGACTCACCAATCCAAGATGGAGTGAACAGTGACAATTTTTACCAAAGTACTTCCCTTTGGTTTCCTTCTTTGCTAAAACGTGGAGAGTCACACTCTTTTCTATCATAAATCTAAAAAAGAACTCTCTCTCTCTCTCTCTCTATTGGTTTTATATGAATGTGACCTATTGTGATTCCTTTCAAATCATGTGTGGCCTCATGTTTTTATGTCACTGATACAGCCTAAAACTTGCGAATGCCTTGCTGTTGCATTTGTGTCCCATCTTTGCAAAGTTAGTTCACATAACCAGCCAATGCCCTGTCACTGAAACAATGCTTTTATTGCTTATAGTTGTCATTGGTGTAACTATCTGAAACCTTACCCTCTTTCCAGCGCAGCATACCCCATTGGTGCTGCATAGCATTTGGCAGCACAGACACATGCATGCACGAATCATTATTGCAAGGTTTTTCCATAGAAAATACTTTCTCCCTTTGTGCCATTATCCTCAATCTTTTGGCCACATCTCTAACGGCCCCTCCTCACTTTTCTTGTGTCATGTTTCTTGTTTCTTCTGTCAACCAGCTCAATACAACTTTTCCATACGTAATAAACAAGAGAATTTCAACTTTGAATTGAACATTCAGCTACCCTTTTAACTTTATCTTAATTACTATGTCCTTTCACTCTTAAGTTGTGTTTGTTTGTATCTATGATGATGTCTTGATGAATGACCACACATTTAGGAACTGTTTGGTTTCAGAAAATGTTTTCTATTTCGATTTTATTTACATTTTTAATTACAAAATGTTACTTTGTTTTCATTTTAAACTAAGGAAAAAGAAATATTTAGAGGTTACATGATAAAAGATTTAATTTAACCCTCTTGTCTATAATTGCTCTTTCCCGCAACTCGGTACTTAAAAAGTTAGAAGTGCTGTTATTTGGCTTGAATATCATTGATAATGTTTCAATTCAAATGCAATTATGGTGTGTTTCTTATTGCTCATACATTGATCCTAACATATGGAAGTTTATTGTCACATTTAAAACAATAATAACATTCAACATAGAGTTTAGTCTAAAAAGGGATAAAACTTCAAACTTATGTTTCCATTACTTCAAAGAATGTTTGTGGATGTTTCCTTTGGGTAGAATTGTGAGTACAATCAACAAATTGAAATTTTGGAGATGCATGGTTACAAAAATCCCAGCATCATATGCAAAGAACATTTTCATCATTTTTTACTTCTGCTGTCAACACGTTTCTTCTCCTGCTTGTTTGCATTCTTCTTAGAAGAACACTTGCTTCCATGATCTTGTTTATCTTTCTTAGAGCCGTGATTACTTTGGCTTTGAGCATAAGCATGGTGATAATGAACTGGACCAGAGGAAGCATCCGAAGCCATCGAATCATCACTTTCTTCTTCATCAACTTTTACCCCTTGCTTCTTTCTCCTGTTTTCACCATAGATATTATCATGATGATATCCATAATTTTCATTGCTGCATCCAGCATCATCTTCCTGCATGGGAGAGGCAATATACATAGTCCAACCAGATTCACTACTGCTACATCCTTCTGCACCCCAGATTTGTTTAAAAGAATCCATTTCTGAGGCAGCAAAGCTCTATGCCAATTCAAAGCAAAAACAATACACACTGGCAAAAAAACATGCAGGGGAAGAAAGAATAAGAGACTATAGTTAATGAATGAAAATCTACATTTAACTTACATGAATAGAAATAGCCTGAAATTTGCTTGTCTGTGTCAGCAGCAAAAGTATTGGTAAAGGGCCAAAAGGGTAGTGAAATGGTAGATGCACTGTGCTAAAGGCTTAAATTCAAGGAGGAACCAGGAAGGTTCCTAATAGAAATTATAAAATAATTTGGAAGCATCAATTAAACAAAGGGAATGTTGGAACTGCAATCTTTGGTCATAAGAAGTATCTATAAATAATAATTTTTTAACCTCTGTTGTTGTCATCTTAAATATAAGTCTGACTTTTATTGCATAATACAGATGTCCCAATAGCACAACTGGAAGGAATGTAAAATCCCTGTCCTTGAATATGCTTTAAGTGCCTTTTCACTTTGTATGTATCTATCATTGCATAAAATTCTTTGTCTTGTCTGTAGAAAACAGGCCAATCTATTTATCAAACATGTATGTGTTTGTTCGTGTTTGTGTGTGTATCTTCTAATCTATATTATGTATAAAAATTAGTATTCTTTGAATGAGAAGCTGGCCAGTCTTTTTTAATAACATTGATTAGTTTCAAACTCCTTAGTTTAACTTTAATATATATGATGGCAGGTCGTTGTTGGTGGAGGGTTGTTGGCTAAACTTTGTTTAGGTGGGATGTGATCGTGCTAACCACAAAGACCACGTAGAAGCCGTACTAGGTTTGGTCTAATATTGGTAAATCTTGATAATCACATCACAAATGAGTAAATTACAAGATAAAATGACCATATTTTAAGTTTAATCATATTATTTTAACGACAATCTTTTGTAACACTTCTTTTTATCTCTTTTTATAGTGTTACTCATCTTATCTTATATATATATATATATATATATATATATATATATATAATTTTCTATCATTTTCTTAGACACAGAAATTTTTGCGAAAAAATAGTGTTGAAGTAGCTTTTTACTACGCTTAGTTGATATCATGTGTGTATAGGTTTCTAGGGGGTGGTGTAGAGAGGGAAAAGGAAGGTCAAAGTTTAGGTAAAATGACTTGGGTGAGATTAAATCATGGATTAAGTGGGCCCCAGAGGAATTGGGTTCAGTTGGAATACATTTCCAGTTAACTAACAAAGAAAATTTGGTAATCTATATCAATAGAAAACTGTCCAAAGTAACAGCTATGTTCCACGTTTGGTGAGAGTTTTTTATGCCTAATCTTATCATAATTTTCTTTTTCAAATTGGAACCCGTGTGCACTGCAAGGTTGATGCTCTAGTTTTACTTTAAATATAAAAAAATGTGCAAGAGAGAAGAGGGTTAATTAAGCTAAAAAACAGAACAAAATATATGTTTTACGAAAGACACATACCATATGGGCAAATTGTGACATTTTAAATGTGGGCTAAGGCCATTCTTAAAGAAATATTTTTGACAAAGATCAACCTTAACCCAATTATAATAACATGGGTTTGAAGGCTGTGCTTAGCATGACGGATCGAAAATGAAGCCCAAACAGTTAAAATAGGGAATTTGCAACATAATAAAGCCACACAATTGGTTCTTTAATAAGTAGAAAACAAGCCAGACAATGACAAGGGACAGGCTCTGCAAATGCAACAGCGAGTAATAATAACCACTGTAAAAGTAATTAAGAGTTGGGATATGTACGTAGGAAGAGTAACATGATTTGACTTTAACTCATAGAAGAACCATAGGATTTAAACTTAAACAACCAAAGCTTCTAATGAAATAACAATACATTTTTTATTTTTTCACTAACTCTATAAGTCCGTGAGGCATGGACAACACAATATTTGTAATTGATAATGCTTCAAAAAACAATGTTGTTATATTAATTATGGTTTTTAGGAAATCAACATTCAGATGTCAAGATGGCCGAGTTGGTCTAAGGCGCCAGTTTCAGGTACTGGTCCGAAAGGGCATGGGTTCGAATCCCATTCTTGACATTGTTATTTATTGTTTTTTCCACCAAACATTTTGAATTCTCATTCCTTTATTAACTGTGCCAACCTTGGAAATTTGGTAAGAACTATGCTTCCGTACAAACCCAATGACAAGACTTGAGAGGTGTCTAACGCTCTAAGACATGGCAAATCCACAACAATGCATGGAATATCCTCATAGAATATGTTATCTTATCCCCCAACTCCAACAACCCCCCCATCAACAAATACCCTGTTGCAATTTTCTTTCTCTTTTACTCATTTTTGTTTAGCTGTTTCATTTCTTAAAATTATGTTGGAAAAATATTTTTTTTTTTATCAAACAGTGAACCATCATAGTTTATCATAAGAACTAATAATAAAATTTATAATTTTCTCTTATATTATGTCACTTAGTAACATGAAAGAATCCAGGTCCATATTGCAACCACAATCACAACTATATGGGCTGTATTTATATGTAATTTCTGACGATGTTGTGACTTTTGAGGTTATAAAATGTGCATTTGCAACCACAATTTAAGTCACTGTTTTTCTTTCAAGTTTCAACTTGTGGACCTCCCATTAACCCATTTTTGCTTGTTGCCGATCAAGTCGCCGCGTTTCTCGAAACAAAAGATCAGATAGCAAAAGAAAAATCACTTTGTAAATAAGGGAAAAAGATAAAACAATCAAGTGCGTTTCGCCGCTGCCCCTTTTGAAGACTAATGTCAAATCTTTATGGCTCCTACAAAGTGAAGGCCACATTGCTTCTTAAAAAACAAAAGGCTTCCACTTTCACATGCATAGATGCTGTGTTATCCAATCCCACTTTTCCTTATGACTTTGATGGGTTTTGGGACTTCAATGCTAGCCGCTGATTATTTGATCATCCACCCACCAAAATATTTAGAATAAAGTTTCTCATATAGCCTCAATTTTTTAACTCGTGATATAAAAAGAAGAGATATATACGGTAAAAATAATACAATCATAATATAACGTGATATAAAAAAGGAGGTAAAAAAAGTAAAAATACTATATAAATATATAGATATAATTGTTAAAAAAAATTCCCTCCTTTATCTTTCTAGATATATTATATTTGGAATGTTCATTTTGATGACAGAGCACTAAACATTGTTTGTATGTGGTTATTGGTGATGCCCCACTTTAATTCTTCTGGCCTTTGCGTCCAAGTACAACACACTTCTGCGTTTCATGGCATCCCTCGCTCTCGCTCTCAGAATTTTAACTTAGAAACAAATGGAATCATATGCTTCATCGAAACACAAAAGAAAAAGGTGGAAAGAAAATAGATAAAATGATTTCTTTTTGTTCTTAAGTGACATGCCAATTCACCCCCTTTTTTCTTTTTTTAACTAATGGACCGTGTTCAACAGAATGCAATTCCGAGGCATGATTTAAAGATAGCTTAGGAAAAAGAATATGAAAATGATGCATCACTTTGTGGGGTGGTTCTTGTTTTCACTTGCCTTCAATGCTATTCTAATTGCTAAGGCTATGGAGATGGAGATGGATATCATCATTAAAGTTCATTAGTCACATCGTATAATATAAGAAAAAATAAAATGAGAAGCATAATATATGTATCCATATATATAAAGTCTAAGCCGCGATCCTTTCATTATGTAAAACCAAAATTCTCAAAAAAAACACTCATTCATCTTCATTAATCATATTCAGTGCTCTCACAAAACCACTGGAATATGAAAATTGCAAAAGCAAAAGAAACCCTTCTCTATATATATTATTATATAGTAGTGTAGAGCAAAATTTTGTTGTTGATGGCAAGTTAATTGGTTAAACTTTGGTCAATGGTGGAGCTTGATGAAGGGGTTGGTTGAGACCCGCAAGTGCAATAAAGTGAAGAAGAGATTGGTCTGGCAAGGTATGTGGGGTTGTGATCACCAGCCATTATGACAAGAACCTCAGGCTCTGAGTTTATCTCAATGATTTTGGGCATTGCTTGTTTCATGTCTTCGTCTGAAGGTGAAGAATGAGAAGCACGCTTTCTGTAGGAGCAAACAAGGATCACCAATGCCACAGATATTAGAGCTAGCATTACAGCTAAGCCTCCAAATAGGTAAGGAATTGGAGACTTCCATATTTTGATCTCACTCACACTAGTTGATGTTGTTGTTGTAGTTGACGGTACACTGCTTAATGGCCTCATCTCTCTCTCTCTCTCTCTCTCTCTCTCTCTCTCTCTCTGTGTGTGTGTGTGTGTGGATGGCAGTGAAATGAAGTGAGATGGTGGTTCTGAAATTTATAGTGAAATTGACACATTTTGATTTACTAAAGTACCCCTTTTGGCATCGAGGAAGATTCCTTTTTGTGCTTGCCTAGATGCTTCTTCATGTAGATGTGAGGAGTGAAATTAATGCATTAGTGATTTGGGATTGTAGAAGTGCCTCATACATGATTGTGTATTATTACTATTCATCTGCTTTTCACAATTGTATATATCAATATTTGGTGTTACCAATTTGGTATGTGTTTGGTGCTGCTTTTGTAGCACCTAAACACAATTTGCACTTCCCACCAAGATTTTGTCGTTTTCAAACTTGTTTGCAAAAATTTGATTTATATTTCAAACCGGAAACGTTGTTAATGATGATATTTATTTAATCTTCATGTTGGGGTGAAATTTTTATATTAGGTTTTATTATCAATTTATTTTTAAGATATATTTTTTAAATATTAATCATTTCATTTTAAGCTCAATTTCAGTCCAAATAAATTCATAAAATCAAGATTACGTAAAATTAAATTTTGTTAACATCAATCTTTTAAAAGTACAAGTCTCTAAAACTAATAATTTTTTAATTAAATAAAAATATATTTACGATTTTAGTTGTTTATATTCAATTTTAAAAGCTGAAATTCACAAAAGCCAATCTATTTGATAAGATACAAATTATATCTTGTAAAAACATAAATTCAAATCTTACTGATCTGTTATTGGGTTATTTATGTGTTTGTTTGCTGGAAGAAAAGTTAATATGCAAATATATACTCATCCAAATACCCACTGAAATTCCTTCACCATTTTGTCTGGTTTATACCTAAACACATGTAAGGAAAAAAAAATTGCTCTAAATGATTCAGAATTCAAAAGGAAGTATTTGCTCTAGCCAAAATATGGTAAGAGGCATAAGAAAGTCCTCATCTTTAAATTCAGCTAGATGGGTCACGAATCAAGATAAGGACTAGGGAGTAAATAAAGGCAAAACTTTATCAGTAACATGTTCTATGGGTATTTTATATGTGACATTGCTTGAAGCTTACACAGTTGACGTATACAGAACAGTCCTCATAAATTGTTGGTTAATGTATATTTCACTAATAATCATGTCAAGAAAAGCCTTAATTAATATGAATTTGGTGAAAACAATGGCAGTAAGGTGGTCCACAGAGTAAATCCTTGTCTTTCTATAATTACAAAGTCAGTATTTTAGTTCTTAATTTTATATAGTTAAAATGAAAATTATAAATTAACAGCTATAATTTAATGACAAAACTGAAAATTTACTACCCAGTTTATCAAAGCTATCTTTTATCAGATTCTATCTTATTTGAGTTAGAATCACTGTATGTTTATCATGAAAAAATATTAAAGTGAAATAATTCTATTAATTGATGTTTTTTAAACGTCTTTTCTTGAAATTTGATACATTTATGTTTATCATGAAAATATTCTGATATTGAATATAAATCATAGGAAACATGTGATTCTCGATGATGAAATAAAGTAACGTATTTCTAATTCTATTTCATAAATAACTAAAGTATTGCTATAAACGGTTCCTTGACATAAGTATTGGCACCCTCCATGAGATGAAAGGGTGAAGGAATTAGATACTTGCCCTCTCAACTTCCTTCATAATTTGGATTTAACGTCATTTCACTTTGTCTAAAATTCAGGTTTGATTTGTTGATGAAGAATATTAGAGAGAACGTCATGATTAAACCTTTAAGGCTTTATATACCTAGCCTTTCAAGTTCTATATATAAATAAAGGGTTCCTTTGTAGTGGAAAAACACATTTCAAAGGAAAATAAATCTCAAGATAAGAAAAAGAAATTCCCTCTCTCTAGTGTTGAAATTCCTTTGCTTGAGTAGCTGTAGAAGTTGGGCTGCACTATTTTTCATGTACGGCTATTTTAATTAAAAAAATTTGTCCCTTGGGGATAATATATTCTTCTCCATTATATTTCTTTTTTTTTTTAATCTTTTTTCTTTTTCGTTTATCTTGTCGTAGTCGTACATATGCAGCACCAAGATTTCTAAAGCCAACTTTGAAAGTGGCAAGAGTAATATCATTTTGATATACTTGATTTTACTTGGGATGTTAATAAACATTTTGTCATCTTCAGAAGTATATGCCCAATTTAAATTTAAAATATGATTTAAAATTTTATAAATTCGTTTCTGGTTTTCTTATGAGAACATATTTAAAAAAATCTATTTTGATTCCTTTATATGACTCCCATGCATCGAATTATTTATTATATTATTTTTTATACAAAAAATCCTTACTTAAATGTGATAATTTGGTTTCTTTCACTTTCTCTCTCTCTCTCTCTTATGAGAATGGATCATAATTAATCATAATTATTCAGTTTATTGTTTTAATGATAATATAATATTATTTTTAATTTGTATGAATTTTTCTGATCTCCATTTGCATAGAAGAGAAGGGTGAGTTAAAGCCAAAAAACAGTGATCCTAGTGTGGCTGCCCACAGTAATATGAAAAGGGTATGAGAAAGAGATTTGAGGGACAGAAAGTAGGCGATGGAATGAATCAGTGGGAAATTGAAGTCTTCTTTCCAAAGCCAACATTATCAGTGGGAAATTATTTTATCATTCTTCAAGAAAATCAACTTCATTCTCACTCATTCCTGCGTGTCATCATTATATTATATTATCATTAAAACAATAAACTGTTCATGTCTTTACATTCTCCATTTCTCGCGTCCACCAACCCACACAAACCTATTTTTTATTCCTTTAATTTCTTACATTCATTTTTTATTATGGAATTTCTTTTATTTAAAAGTGAGTTTAAAGGAATGTAATTTGTGTTTATAATTTTTTAAAATAAATTTATAATAAAAAGTAGTATAAATTCTTTAACTATCCTGTTAATTTTAACGTAAATTTAAAAAAAAAATCAAAATTTTATAATATCTATATATATATATATATATATAGAGAGAGAGAGAGAGAGAGAGAGAGGACCTTCCCGAGCCCTACCTGGAAATCAACGTAGGTTATAAACGCGATGGGAGCGAATGCCTGCTTTTGATTATTAACGTAAAATTGAGGGTCTTTTATTATGTGTGAGAAAATTTCTTACACTACAAAATCATGACCACTCACTTTAAAATATTAATTATTTTTAATAGTTTATTTATTGAAAAAAAATCAATTAACTATAATAGTTTTAAAATTATTTATCATTTAACTATTATAATGACTTCGACACTTTTAATAATAATAGTTTGGTAAAACTATTTTATCGTAAAAATATATAAAATTAATTATTTTTTAAAATTTTACATTATTGCTTACTAACATCTTGTGAAACAGAAGGAATACAAAATATTTTTAATGATTCACACAATTAAGAAAAAATATTGGACTAGTTAATACATTAATTTTTTAAAAATTAATTGTAACATTCCAAGTTGACCCTTAATTAAAATCAATTTTTATGTCAAAAATTAATAAATGTTCATAAAACTTTGTAAAAGATTTTATATAAAAACCGACAAAAATCTCTAAAACTAAATAGAGTACATTTATATGCATTTTGAAATACAATTGAATTAAATAATTATTTAATAAAATTTTCTTATGTGAGAGCTTTTTATAATTTATAATAAAAAAATTACTAAAATAAAATAAAAAATTTAGGTGAATTATAAGTTATTTTTATAAATTTTTGACAATTTTTTCCTAATGTTTATTTTTTTATTTAGATAATATTTTTTTTATAAAAGACAGTCTTATTGAATTAAGAATATTCATGATATAAGATTAGTATAGAAAAAATAAATAATTTTTATTCATAAAATTAAAAATCAATTATGATTATGTTGTGAATTTAAATATAAATATAAATACAAATACAAATAAGCGTTATACATATAAGATCACTTTTCAACTTTAATAAAAAGTATTAAATTTTATTTATTTAATATAATATTATGTTATATTTTTTATATAAAATTATTTAATATATTACTATAAATTTTATGAGTTTTAAATATATTATTTTATTAAATCTAACAAAATTTTTTAAAATACAAATTTTATATCTTTAATTAATTAAATCTTTTAAAAATTTAAAATTATATCTATTATCTAAGTAGGTTAAGACAAACTAAACTTTAAAAAAAATTAGATTATACTTTAATCTATTTTTATTTTTAATTTTATTTATAATAGAGATGTTGATTTTAAATTTTTTTATGTCTTTTGTTTTTATAGTAAAAATTAATATTTACTATATATAAAAATAAAATAATCAATAGAAAGATTAATATAGACAATTATTCAAAATTTTAAAAAAGTTATTATGTATAATTATTTTATTAAATTATTATTGTATAAATTTAAAAAATTATAAAAAATAGAATAAATCTCATTTATTAGAGGTATAATGTAACTGCGACGTTGGTTTTAAGAATAATAAATTGTCCACTTAATATCTCTGAAAACCTGGTTAGCTGCTCCAATATATATCCCTCTCATTTGGATGCAAACAGCATCAGATCATTTGAAGACTCATCAGTCATCTTCCACATTAACATTATGAAGCTTCCAAGCATTCTCTTCGTTTTGTGGACTGTGTTTGCTGTCTTCATGATCAGCTGCAGCTACGGTATAACTATTATCACTGTTATATCTTTATGATCTTTGTTATACATGCACTGCCTTTGATCTCTTATTAATGGATGTTTGTTGTATATATGCAGGAGAACTAAAGTTTTGCAGGAAAGAAATGACATTTGAGGGGTCATGTCCATACGGTACTTCTGGGTATCCATGCTCTCAAGAGTTTCATTCGCGACTTGGAGCAGGAGCCATGCCTATGAACTGCACTTGTAAAGATCTTCGTCCCCACAACAAACGTCTTTGCTCTTGTGACGTTGTTTGTCACTTT